GAACTTGTTTCAAAGTTCTTTAAGACTCAAATTTTGCGGCTCGTGTACATTAATTAAATCCATTTTGCTGTTGTTGTTGGTCTTGTTTTGGGCCATTACGAACACACATACAACCACGAGACACACTAATCAAATAAGAATTGAAAACAGTGACTTTGTGTTGACAAAAAATGCACCTGCAGGTCTACGAATTGAATTACATGTTTTTCGCAGAAATCATCAATTTTGTTCTCGCTTCCGTTTTACACAGAGTTGGGTGCATGTATTTTGACACGTTGGGACTTACAAACATTTTCCGTTTCCGCGTTATGCAGTTTCCGGCTTATACGGACCAAAATACATTAAATTGGGTATTTGAAAAAACGGGACTGCGGGAAATTTCCGCGATGAGCAGTTTTCCGTCTTCTACAGAGTCCGGCATAGACAGGTTTCACTGTAGTTTTTCACATACTACCTTGGTAAATTTAGAACGAAAGATGCGTAAAAATATCACCCCCCGACAAGCTACAATTCACTCCATTTCCATTATTTTGCTATAAAAATCTGTATCATCACCGTCATTTTCAAATTCAGATTCTGAATCAGATTCACCTAGCGAAATAATGAAAGGAGATATAGATTTGTACGAAAGAATTTCCATATTTTTTTCCCAATCTGCCAAAATAAGTTTTTCACAATGTTTACAAAAATTTTGCCACATGCTTGGACTACATTTAGAAAGCGCCTCAATCCATAAATTTTCCACTCTATTTTTTAATGAAGGTTGAGAATGTATATGTTTGTTGTAATAGTTTTTACAAAATCCCCATGCCATTTCAATTGGATTATATTGACAATGGTACGGAGGTAATATAAGAACTTCATGGCCACTTTGTCTTAATGTCTCGTCTACCAAATATCTTTTTTTCTATTGCTTCTGAAGGGTTTATTTAATTAAATCCCACAACTGTTTCTTCGAAATTTTTTTGTCAAATTCAACACTATGTTTAAAGAGCCATTCCTGCATTTCACATTTTTTACTAAAAAAAGTGGGTGGTTTATCCAACTGCACCAAATGATACGATGCATTGTCTAAAACCACCACACATTTTTTATTCAACTTTGCCAAAGCAGGAACGAGCTGATTAACCACCCAATTTTGAAAAATTGTCCCGTCCATCGTTTGATGATAGTCTCTATCGTTATTTTTTTAATTTAAAAAATTGTTACAACCATCCAAGAACCCCGTTGAACAACCCGCGTGGAGAATAGTAAACCTTGATCCTTCACTTTTAATTTTGGTGGGATTGCTTTTTATATCAGTATCGTGCACCCAGCGACGAATGGACGAACCATTTTGATAGATCCACGTTTCATCCAAATACACGAAAGTCAAATTTTCACAAGAATTTAGAAACTCCAAATATGTTCCCAAAAAAGTAATTTTGGCTGCAACGACGTGTTTTTGTTCACATAGAATTTTGCGACCATTTACTTCCCTGTATTTATAACCCACTGACTTAAGAATTTTGTATAAAGTGGTTCGCCTCCCTTTAAATTCCAACTGTCCCCTAGAATATGCCAAAAGAGTGAAATATTCGTTTTTTTCATTAAGTTGCAAAATTTGTCGTTGCAGGTCTTTCCGAAACATATAATTTGTAAATAAATCCGTTGGTTTTCGCTTGTCAGAGAGTGATGTTTTTAAATTTTGGTCCCCTGTTGATAAAATTTTCGCCACAGTTGATGTTCCCACCTATGAGAAAAATATTTAACAGCGTATTTTTACATTACAGAAAATATGTTCGAGACCCTCATAGTTACTTCTTCGAAAGAAAGATATACGGCCTGTCTTTTCGAAACTGCAAAAAACATCTTTTTATTGCAATTTTTTGTTGCAGTAAAACTATTTTAGGCATTTTCTTTTTAAATAATGTCGCAATGATCTGTGAATCTGTCACAATGACAAATTATCTATGCTGACAAAATTAAAACATTTGTTTGATTAAAAAATTGCGTCTAATAATTCTGAGATCTAATAAATGAAGTAGAAAAGTGGCAATCCAGCTCAAGGCAAATATCAATCAGACTACTGACACACATAAAAACTAAATCATCAAATCAGTTTATCCAACTTAAATATGTACAGTCGCGGACAGTGAATTTCGTCCACACAATTCACGCGAATTCACAAAAATTCACTGTCCACGACAATTGATTTGTTCTTCCATGGCGATTTCATTAGGATCGTAATCTGTCGAAGCCCTCCAAATAATTCACTGACAGCACTTTCCAATCTTGTTAAGGTATCTCTGTCTTTTACAATACCAATTATTGGCAATCTTCTTGAATTTTTGAAATTGAACTACAACTATAAACGGAAAACTTGTTTTTCTTCATCAACAATAGGTTCGATTCCCTGGAAATGGCTTTCAAATAAAAAGGCTGGATCGACGTCCATGTCGTCAATTTGCCTTCTAAAATCTCCAATTGAGCATAATAATCTATATATTATAAGAAAAAAAAGACAAAATATAAGCCCCGCCCACCCGCCCTACTTCTATTCTGATGACTTTTTTATTTATCGTGAACCGAGGGTGTAAAATCCTTATTTTTCTACGAGAAATTACCATGTAAAATATGGTCTTAAATAATAGTGTTATACAAAGAAAACTAAATGTATGAATTAAAAAGAAAACCAAAAGAGAAGCCCCACCCATCCGTCTTGATCTCAATCATGATGAATTTTTCATTCGTTGTCAGACCGAGAAGCGGAGCGTAATTGCAAAATCGATATTCCCCTACACAAATTTACTATTTTAAACATGTTTTATCTTTCTTGTTGTGAAAAGAAAACTAGGAGGTGGTGCACGCTTATGGTGTTTTTGAAAACTTGACACAACAAGCAGAGACAGTTTATCCTCAACAAGAACCAGTTACTTACGCATATCTCTTGCCCTCTTTATCTTACTAAAATTCAACAATAAATAAATGAAACAAAATACCCCAACACGTACCCATTTTAAACACATGATGCACCGCCACTGCCTTACCACACCACGCCTCTTAGAAGTGTCACTTGTCACTGTGACAGTTAACCTCAAAATGGCATCGCATCACTCCCACCTACAAGGGGGCCGCGTCGACATCTCCCTCATACAAACCACAGCCCGAAACAACCTCATCAGTCTGCTGGAGAAATGTTCGGGCCCCAAAGCCATAGTTTGGGACAACTCCCTCGCGGGCCCTGTCGGACTCATCGCCCAATACGCAGTCCTGCGGGAGCATTCAGTCACCAAAATGTTCCCTTTGCGGCCAAAGTCGCTCCCCGAAGCCGACGTTGCTCACGTTATATTCATAACGCGCCCCAAATTACACCTAATGGACTACGTCGGCCAGAATGTGCATGCCGACAGCAGAGCCAAAACCAAGAAACAGTATCACGTATTCTTCGTACCCAAGAAGAGTCTTTTGTGCATGGAGAGGCTAAAACACATTGGGGTCTTCGGGAGCATTAATCTCGTGGAGGAATTTCGGTGCGAGTTGTTCCCTTTCGATGCCGATGTGGTGTCGATGGAAATTTCGGACGTCTTCAGGGAGTACACGCTCGAGAATGACCCCACGTATTTATACCAAACCGCGCAAGCGATAATTTTTTTGCAAAAGTTGTACGGGCCTATTCCGAAAGTCTGGGGTAAGGGGGCTGCCGCACGACAGGTGTGGGACCTCGTCACACGTCTCCAGCGCGAAAAGAACAACAACGTGACCACCAGACCTAACCAAACTTCCACCATAGATCAGATTCTCTTGATAGATCGGACTGTGGATCTCATCACGCCTTTGGCCACCCAGTTGACGTACGAAGGCCTGATTGACGAAATTTTCGGCATCAACAACTCGACGGCGCACTTCCCCATCGACAATTTCCTGAGTAGCGAAGAACGCACGTCTGAGTCGTTGTCGGAAGATAAAAAACAAATTATTTTGAATTCGGCCGATAAGTTATTTGCTGACATCAGAGACAAGAATTTTAATGCAGTGGGCGCTTTTTTGTCCAAACAAGCCAAAACTATAAGTACTCAGTTGGACAATACACAGGAAAGGTCAGTGCAAGAAATGAAGTTGTACGTGCAAAAACTGCCACAGATTTTGGTAAAAAAGAAAGCTCTGTCACATCATACAGCCATCGCGGAGTGTATTAAAGAAGTGACTGACAGTTACGATTTTTTGGACACTTTACAGACTGAACAGGAATTTTTAAATTGTATTGAAGTTGATAAGGCGAGTCCGTACATTGAGGATTTGATAGCTCATGCAAAGCCGTTAGTGAAGGTCTTGAGGCTCATTTGTTTGCAGTGTATCACCAGCTCGGGGCTCAAGCCTAAAGTGCTGGAGCACTACAAGAAGGAGTTAGTGCAGGTATGTATTTTGGCAAAGTTGGTATCTGACAAGTGATTTTTTGATATTTGTTTAATTCTAGTCGCCTTTGATCAATTGACAGGTGTCACTTGTCACAAACGTCATTTACACCAACTTGATTTTTTTTCAGGTCTATGGTATCCAAGCTCTTCTGGCTATAACTAAACTGGAAAAAGTGGGGCTGCTTAAAATCCAGTCTGGCACTCGCCAATATACAGTTTTACGCAAAGCGCTTCGCCTCACCATGGAAGACACCTCTGAAATTAACCCAACTGACATCAGCTACGTTCACAGTGTTTACGCCCCCCTGAGTGTACGTTTAGCGGAACAAGTGACCAAAAATGGGGGCTGGAAGCAGCTGCAAGACGTTTTGGGGCTGCTGCCGGGTCCTACGTTGGACGAGTCTCCTGCAATTCCCAACAGTTTGGCTCAAAACAACTCAGACGCCCCACAAGTTGTTCTAGTTTTCTTCATAGGGGGCTGCACTTTCGCAGAGATTTCAGCGCTCAGGTTCTTGTCACAACAAGAGGACTCAAATGTGGAGTTTGTCATTGCTACCACTAAACTCATAAATGGGACAAGTTTTCTCGAATCCATTATAGAGCTGTGATAATATGTATGTATTTGCTTAAGTATAAAAATATCTTAATTCATGTATCTGTCAATATAGTGTATAGTTTCAAAAGCTACTTCTACCATAATTAATACTATGATCATCCACTCTAAGCGAATGTGGTGTTTGTCACTTAAATGCGTTGATAAAAGCTCGATGAGTTCCACACAGTGGTTGATTTTTTCGTTCATAACCTACAAAAGTGCATCATTACTCATTACTAACACCGTAATCAAATTAATTCACCCTTGTTCTCTTTGCTATTGCAAAATAATTGCACACTTGTATATACAGAGACTCTAGTTGTTCATTCTCCCAATAAAAATCAGGCGTGTCGAGCAAATCCGAGCCCAGATTAATCAAGTGCCTCAGCGCAAACAACTCGCCGTGTTTCCTCAAAACCTCCTCCCTCGTCATTCTTATTTTATTCCCTTTTTTCAAATCCTCTGTCACGAATTCAATCGTATCAATATACTTCTCAAGCGACGCCTCCCATATCGCCAGTTTGACCGACAACGACATCCCATTCGAGAACGTGTACTTATCCAAAGTCATCTCGCCCCCATCCCCCGTCGCAACCAACAAATCCCCATCCTTAGCCAAACCGCTCGGCAAATTCTCCAACTGATGCATATAATTCATCTTCTCACTCTCCTCTTGCACCATACTCTCCGAATAACTATCAAACTCATACTTCCGCAAAAAATTCAACACGTTACTGCTCTCCAGCTCCGTCACGTTCCACAACACCACACTCCCCTCCCGGAAGAAAAAAATCTCCCGGGGCTCTTCATCCACCTGGATTTTGGCAACAGCGTGCACCACATCTGAAGTATTTTTAATAACTTTAGGTTCATACAAATCGTTTTCTTTGAGTCCTTTTATTAACCTTTCGAGATCGTATTCTTCGGCGGTGGCGAACGCCACGACGTCGTAGAGTCCAGGGGGGCGCACCAGCTCGTCGTCGAGGATCTTCTTCTTCCGAATGAGCCGCTTTTTCAAATGGAGCGCGGAAATATTGTCTTGAATGGCGTGTGAATTGGTGGAAAAGGGGGTGAAAGTGAGGTTAGGTTTGAGTGACACACGCACGATTTTAGAAACGAGGGGGGTGGTGAAGGCGGCGTGGTGGCACCCGCGGAGGGTGTTTACGGGTGTTAGTTTGCACGAGTGTAACAAACGAACACCGATTAGTGCGAAAAAAGTTGTCATTTTCGAAAAGTGGGGTTATGTTGGAACAGTGTTGCCACTAAAACACTGAAAACACTAGGTAGCAGCGGCAGAAAGTGAGGTTAGTTCGGGGAGATGAGGCTCTTTCAGGCGCTTTGTAGGCGCTCTAGGATGCCCAATGGGGACATTTGGCGCGGCAAAAACCGCCTGGGTATACCGGTGACCATTCGCGACGTGCAGAAGCTGCGAAACGACTTGGAAATCGAAGAAAAGAATATGTTTCTATTGAGGCATTCATACTTAACCCCTGTATGTTTTTCGTGGTGTTTTAAGTGATATTTGAAGTTTTTCTTGTAGGAACAGTCATCTGGACACGGTCGCGCCCTTGGAAAGAACGAAGCGAACTACATAAAGACAATAGTTGCGAAAAAAAAGGACTTCAAGGAAAATATTACTATTGAGGAGGTTTTGGGGCACTTAAGGCACAAAGAAGCGTGGGACTAGTGTGGTAACACAATTCTATTGTGATAGATAAAGTAATTATAAAAATAATTGTAAATGCATATCTACAGTTAATACCAAAAATAAAATACTATGAGGCTTTAACTTAATCACAGTCGGTTTGTTCGCTATGATGCAGTTTTTTGGTCCACTGAAACTTGTCGTCGTTTTCGACGTCCTTGCGATACAATTTCTGCCCTTGTGCTAATATCTCTGCGAATTGCGAGACTACGGGGTCCCATGCTACGGAACTAGCAGCAACTACTTCGTCTCCATCTAGGTAAAACGCGACGAATTTCAGCTGTTCCACGTTCCCAATATAAATAATATCAGTGTATTTGCCATGTCCGGCATAGCGTAAACTCTTTGAGAATAATTTAGTCCAGAAGTACGGGACGGCTTGTAATTGTTTCGTCTTTCCGAGCATATTCAAAGCGGCGATTTTACCGTGGTAGTGGGCGAGGGGGTAGTGCCCGATCGCCGCCTTTTGGTTATTGTGGGACCACACCGGGGCATACGCGATGTCGCCCCCCACATAAACGCTTTGATTGTTGCTTTGTAAAAATTCGTTAACTTCAACTGTCCCATCTGAGCGCAAATCCACCCCCGACCCTTTGAGAAAATCGGTCAAACAACTGCTCCCCACTCCCATCGCTACCATATCCGCGTCCAGAACCGTCCCATCCACCAGCTCGACTTTCCCCACCTTCCCGGTCCCGTCGTCGATGATCCTCGCAAACCCGGAATTGGTGATAAAGCGAGCCCCCTTGTCCTCGAAGAACTTTTTAAAAGCGGCCCCAATGCGCTCCCCCGCTAGCGGCTTAAAAGGCACGTTCCCCCTCATCACTATCGTGACATCAGTCACGTCCTTATCCAGACAGTACGCCGCCGCCTCCAGCGCTATGAAACTGGCCCCCAGCACCACGACCTTGAGGTCGTTCCGCAAGATGGCGTGCGTGTTGCGCCCGTCCTCGAAATTCCTGTAAACGAACACGTTTTGCAAATTCGCCCCCGGGATGTCGGGTCTGTTGGCGCTCATGCCCGTGGCGACGTACAGCCTGTCGTACGACAACGATTTTCCGTTGCTTAGCGCGACGGTTTTATCGGTGGCGTTGACGGATGTCGCTTCGACGCCCTTGAGGACGTCGATGCCGTGCTCTTGGTAGAATTTGTCGGTGCGAAATTGGGTTTTTTCGATTTCGGAGTGCATGGCTTTGTTTACTAGGACGCGGTCGTAGGGGAGGTGGGGTTCTTTGCAGACGAGGGTTATCTGGCCGGAGAAGCCTTCCTGGCGGAGGGTTTCCACGCAGACGGCTCCGGAGGGGCCGCCGCCGATGACGACTATGTTTTGGGCCTCTCGGACGTCTTTTTTGGTCATGGGTTTGACGCGTTTGTTGGTTTGGAGCTCGGAGCGGCGGGCGCGGACTTTGACTTCGTCGTTTTCGACGGTCACTTGGTAGCAGGGGAGCGAGTCCAGACCTGGAAAAAATGACGTTTAGAGTGTACCACTGTCCTTAATTTGACGTAAATCAAATCAATGTCGACATAACCTTTAATTAATCACTTTTTGTCGTTGACAGGTGACAGATAATTGGTGTCACAGCCAACTCTAATATTTTATTTTATCTAGTATTTCGGAGGCAGCGGATACAGGCTATAATTTGTGGTTTTGCGTCCAAAGCGGTCAACGCTTCAAAGCTTTAAAATGTTTACGTGTTATATGCTTGTAAAGTACCGGTTTGAAAAACAGAAAAAAGTCAATGCCGTTTCGTTGATTAGCATCTTTGCATATGTTAAATTTATCCCGTGAGATATCGCAAGTCACAAAAAATCTAAACACAATTCAATCGGAACTAAATCTGGGACAACCGGTGTTGCAATTATTTTATGAGTAATCATTCAATTATTATCGCACCCGAGGCTTATCTCGCATTCCACGTTTTACTTCGAAAATTGTTGTGGATATATTGAGTAATTTTATTTTCAACGATTTATTTCTTCGAAACAAATTATTACGCAATGATGAACTACTTAGTTTGGTGTATTACCAGAATTTCCAATAAATAGTAAAATTCCACCAATTCAAGAAAGCATGAAATTATGTTTAGGTACATATTTGTTCAAATGATCCTGTCACAAAATTTTCCCTAGCTTAGAATTCATTTAAACCATACAAAAATCTCGCGGTTCCGCCTCCCCATCCACACCAACAAATTAATGACGTCATCTCAATATTTACTTCAGTAAATCCTATTTAAATTCATGACATAATATCCTTGTGAATTTAAAATTGTACAAGAAAATTTGAAAATTTATCTTAGATAGTACAAAATCGTTTGCTCTGAAATTTTGTGAATCCTTTTGAGCTACCGTAAATACAGTGAGTCGTTAATTAAAATTTATCTGTATAAATGCCATTCAAAATGTATAAAATAATTCGATTTTGCAGTTTCAAAGATTCGATTTATTCGGCAAAATTTTGAGAGGACGTTATGAACTTTTTAGCAGGAGGAAGAAAAACGAAAAAGACTACAAAAGGCATCAAAATGAGCGACAAAAAAGGGCTACAAAGCGACAAAAACTAAGAATAAAATGAAAAAACACCAAAAGAACAAAAAACCCTTCAAAACGGACAAAAAGGGGGATAAAAAGGGTACGAATAAAAAACGACAAAGATAACGTCATTAAGATCTTGGAGGGAAAAAACAGGTAAATTTTGATTTTGCTTTACTATGCAAAGTTTTGTGATGACGTCACCAATTTTTTAAAAAGGACAAAAGAACCGAAAAAACTACAAAAAGGTGACCAAATTAAGGGACAAAAATCGACGGTAAAAAAGGGGACAAAAAAGACAAAAAATGAACCAAAAAGAGGTGATAAAAATGGGACAAAAAAGGCGAAAAGAAACCCACTCTACAAAAGAATATATAATAGAGGGCGGGTGGGCGGTGCTAGTACTTGTTAAGATAGAACTGATTTTGGTAAATAACATACCTTCTAAGAAAATAAAGGGTGGGTGGGCGGAGCTAGTATTTGCTAAGAAAAGACTGATTGTGGCAAATGACAAGAAAGTGGGACAAAAAAAGAAAAACCAAGGTGAAATGAGAGGCCGGAAAATTTTTCAAAAAAGGCAGCAAAACACCCAAAAAGAGAAGAACGAAAAAAGAGGCAAAAAAATAATAGCAAAAAGGGTGACCAAAAAAAAGACCAAGAGGGACACTAAAAATGTGGGAAAAAGGCGATGAAAAACCTGAAAAAATAAGCGATTAAAAAATGGGAAAAAGCGGAAATGGTCACCAAAAAAAGCAATTGAAAAGGTGACAGAAAAAGACCACTAAAAAAGCAAAACACGCCAAAACGATACAAAAAAAATCCAAAAAAGGCGAGAAAACAAGGGACAAGAGGCGAAAACAGCGACAAAATGGATGAAAAATGGCCAGAAAAGAAAAGCAAAAAACGTGACAAATAGAAAACGAAAAACAGAGACTGTACAAACGTGGGAAAAAGGAACCCGGAAAAAGGGTGATAAAAACCTGAACAAAGGGCGATTAAAAAAAGGAACAAAAAACGAAAGAAAAAGGCCACTGAAAAGCGATAAAAAAGGGCCACCAGAAAAGAGGCCAAAAAAACGTCAAAAACTATGGAAAAATAGGCAACGAGAACATGATAAAAAAAAAATGGCGATAAAAAAAGACAACAAATCAAGGTCGCTAAAAAAAAGCGAAAGACACCAAAAAAAGAGTAAAAAAAAAGTGACAGAATAGATCATCAGAAAACTGATAAAAGAACGGCCGAAAAAAAGTCAAAAACTACAGAAAAAAAAGTGACAGAAAGAACGGAAAAAAAAGGCGAGAAAAGGGCATTAAAAAAAATAAAAACCGTAAAAAATTATGAAAAAACTTGAAACTAACAAAAAAAAGCGAAAAACGGCTAAAAAAATGTAACAAAAAAAATATCAAAAAAAGCGACAAAAAGAGAATAAAAAGGCGAAAAGACGCCAAAAATGCGGAAAAAAAACTCCGAAGACTATTAAAAAAGGGGAACAAAGAAGTGATAGAAAAGGTCACTACAAAAAAGCCAAAAAACGTAAAAAATCATTATGAAAAAGGGAGAAAAAAAAGACGAACATGTTTCAAAAGACGAAAAAACTTAAAAGTAACAAAAAAGGCGAAAAAAACAGCAGAAAAAGGACGAAAAATATCCCAAAAAAAAGATTTAAAAAGGCGACACCAAGAGGTTAAAAAAAAGCGAAAAGACGCCAAAAATGCGAAGGAAAAAGGGGCGAAAAGTAAAAAACTACGGAAAAAAAAGACAAAAAGTGACAGAAAGAGAACAAAAAAAAGCCCAAAAGAAACGCTAAAAATGTGGGAAAAAAAGATTAAAACGGAAAAAAGGCGAGAAAAGGGCACTAGAATAGAATTAAAAACTGTCAAAAATTATGAAAAAATGTGACAAGAACACGAAAAAATGGTGACAAAAAGATCACTAAAAAAGCAAGAAACACCAAATCCTTCCAAAAAAGCCGAAAAACAAGGGATGAAAAAGGCGACAAAAATTAACGAAAATCAGCCAAAAAAGAACATGAAAAAAACGCCAAAAAGACGACAAAAACAAAACAAAAAATGCAGAGAAAAGACATAAATGTGGGAAAAAGGCGATAAAAACCAGGAAAAAAAGGTTATTTAAAAGGGGAACAAAGAAGCGATAGAAAAGGTCACAATAAAAAAGCCAAAAAACGTCAAAAACTATGAAAAAGTGAGAAAAAAAAGATGAACATTTTCAAAGACGAAAAAACTTAAAAGCAACAAAAAAGGCAAAAAACGGCAGAAAAAGGACGAAAAACAGTCAAAAAAAAGATCAAAAAAGGCGACAAAAAGGGGACAAAAAGGCGAAAAGACGCCAAAAATGCGGAAAAAAAGCCGAAAAAAAGTCAAAAACTACGGGGGAAAAAAGTGGCAGAAAGAAAACAAAAAAAAAAAACGAAAAGAAACACTAAAAACCTGGAAAAAGCGATAAAAACGGAAAAAAGGTGACAAGAACACGAAAAAAGGGTGACAAAAAGAACACTAAAAAAGCAAAAAACGCCAAAACAAATCTTCCAAAAAAGCCGAAAAACGGGGAATGAAAAAGGGGGAAAAGGTGGGAAAAATGGACGAAAACAGCAAAAAAAAAATGCGGAAAAATGTGGGGAAAAGGCTATAAAAACTCCGAAGAAAAAAACTATTAAAAAAGGGAAACAAAGAAGCGATAGAAAAGGTCACCAGAAAAAAGCCAAAAAAACGTAAAAAAAAATATTATGGAAAAGGGAAAAAAAACTACGAACATGTTTCAAAAGACGAAAAAACTTAAAAGTAACATAACGATAAAAATGTGGGAAAAAGATCACTAAAAAAGCAAGAAACACCAAAACCTTCCAAAAAAGCCGAAAAACAAGGGATGAAAAAGGCGACAAAAATGGACGAAAATCAGCGAAAAAAGAACATGAAAAAAGCGCCAAAAAGATGACAAAAACAAAACAAAACAAAAATGCAGAAAAAAGACATAAATGTGGGAAAAAGGCGATAAAAACCCGAAAAAAGGCTATTTAAAAGGGGGAACAAAGAAGCGATAGAAAAGGTCACCAGAAAAAAGCCAAAAAACGTCAAAAACTATGAAAAAGGGAGAAAAAAAAGACGAACATGTTTAAAGACGCAAAACAGTCAAAAAAAGTAACAAAAAAAAGATCAAAAAAGGCGACAAAATAGGATACAAAAAAAGCGAAAAGACTCCAAAAATGCGGAGAGAAAAAGGGCCAAAATAGTCAAAAATTAAAGAAAAAAAAGTGGCAGAAATAGAACAAAAAAAAGCGGAAAAGAAACACCAAAAATGTGAAAAAAAGCGGAAAAAAAGCGAGAAAAGGGTACCAAAAAAGAATTAAAAACTGTCAAAAAATGAAAAAAGGTGACAAAAACACGAAAAAAAGGGTGACAAAAAGACCATCAAAAAAATAAGAAACGCCAAAACAAACCTTCCAAATAAGCCGAAAAACAGGGTATGAAAAAGGGGGAAAAAGGCTACAAAAATGGACGAAAATCAGCCAAAAAAACAAGATGAAAAAAGCGCCAAGAAGATGACAAAAACATAACAAAAAAACAATAGAAAAGATCACCAGAAAAAAGCCAAAAAACGTCAAAAACTATGAAAAAGGGAGAAAAAAAAATGTCTAAAAAGACGAAAAAACATAAAAATGACAAAAACGGGGAAACACGACAGAAAAAAGGACGAAAAACGGTCAAAAAATGTAACAAAAAAAAAATCAAAAGAGGCGACAAAAAGAGAATTAAGAAAAGCGAAAAGACGCCAAAAATACAGAGAAAAAAGGGCCGAAAAAGTCAAAAACTACGAAAAAAAAAGTGGCAGAAAGATAACAAAAAAAAAAACCGAAAAGAAACGCCAAAAATGTGGAAAAAGTGACAAAAACGGGAAAATGGCGAGAAAAGAGCGCCAAAAAAGAATTAAAACCTGTCAAAAATTACGAAAAAAGGTGACAAGAACACGAAAAATGGGTGACAAAAAGACCAATATAAAAACAAAAAAAAAACACGCCAAAACCTTCCAGAAAATGCCGATAAAAAGGAGATGAAAAAGCAGGAAAAAAAGGCGACAAAAATGAAAACCTGCCAAAAAAAGGATGAAAAAAGCGCCAAAAAGATGACCAAAAACAGAACAAAAAAAATGCAGAAAAAAGACGTTATAAATTTGGGAAAAAAGCGATGAAAATCCGAAAAAAACGACGAACCTGTTTAAAAAGACGAAAAAACTTAAAAGCAACAAAAAAGGCGAAAAAAAACTCAGAAAGAGAAAAGCTATTAAAAAGAGAATAAAAAAAAAACAGAAAAAGCCGTCAACAAAAAAAAAAGCAAAAAAAAAAGTCAAAATCTACGAAGAAAGTGAAAAACAGCGACGAGGGAAAAAGCCAGTAAAAAAAAAACACCAAAAGAGTAAAATAAACTCTTGCTTTGCAAAATTTTGAGATGCCCACATGGTTGGTGGGGACAGTATTCAACTTTTTTGCCACTTTACTTTCAAAATGTATTCCACAAACTGAACTTCCTTGATTATCCGTCAATTACAAGGGAAGTTGGGTTTAAATGACTTTGGACCAAGTTTTTTATTAAATTTGGTTTATTTATTAGGAAAAAATAAATCTAACACACATTTTTCAGTAAAAATATATTAAGTTTTTTTAGAATGATGTCTCCAATCTTTTAGAAGTAATAAATAAAGAAGAAACCCAAGTCATAATTTCTTTGAATTCAAATGTAAAGACGTGTTTTTTAACCAATCGTTAACGTTTCGACCACACCCTAGAGATTTGCCTTTATTTATTTATTACAGCAGCAATAATCAATGAAAAAATTTAACCCGCCATAAATTTTGCAACACTCAAATACGTCCTAATCTAATCTGTAAACATTTCGACCGATTTGATTCTTACAACCGTGAAAATTTCCTCTGCCATCAATAAAATTTTGACACTCGTTTAAAGCAGATTTTCGATGAAATAAACGACAACAACATTTTAAATAAAAAATTACTACATCGAGGTCATCACCCAACAGTTGCATAGACGCAAACACGCCCAACAACCCACAAACTATCGTTAAAAACACCAACAACCACTACCAAAGAAAACACAAAACATGTTTTCGAGTGTTGTTTGTTTGACGAACAACTGCACTAAAGATAATGCAATCAGCACGCAATTTTCGCGGTTCGAATCGTGCTAATATTTATTTACTTTGCCAAAAATGCATGAAATTAATAAAATATGCGAGGATGCTTCCACTCGAATGTTATCTACGTGACACTCCACTCGACGCTAATCTACAAAAATTAGTTTTATTAAGTACTGGAATTACTCCTGAAAAACGTCCAGATAAACCCAAGGTCGTGGTAAATTCTAAGCTAAAGTTAGAACATCGTACGCAATTTCATTGATCAGAGTCAACCCAAAAACACCGGATCTTCCAAAGTCACAGTTCTGAAATGTGCTCAATCACTATGACCTCATCTATAAGTTATTTATACACGCACCAATAGCAATTCAATACTGTAATAATTATATTCTTTATAATTGCTATTAACGACTACAAAGTGGCGGTTCATGTTGCTGTTAATCTTCAAAAAAAATTCCAGATAGCAAAACAAGGGTATCTTGTCATTTATTTGCTTTGTTACGAATATCTCAAATTAGTACAACAATAAAACATTCGGTGGAACTGTTTTTAGTATTATCTCACTTGTACGAAAAAATGTTCCTATAGTTGCACTAAAATTCTTGACCACTAAATGTGGCTATAATTATGGTGTAAATTAATTACGTAATTTAATTAATTCAATTTATTAGGAAGATTGAACACCTGACGCGCCAAAAACGAAATAATTTCTATTGTTATTATGCATACCTGTAGAATTACTAATGAGATTACATAAAGCAGACGCTCCTTAAATAATTGTTACTACTCAATTTCCGCAAAATTTTATTTTCTTCAAGTAACTAATTAAGGTGTACTAATGGCCGCTAATCAGCCAAAGTGCACCATAAGCATACTTAATCATGCAAATTGTTTTCCTAATGACCTGAGTAATTTGTGGACCTTGAAATCCGCAATGTCACTCAAACATGTAAAATTTTATTCAAACTTAAAACCTCGTAAAAAACTCATTACCTGGAAAATCCTCGATGTCCCCATTGAGTATATTGAAACAAGCCCCATGCCACTGACACCGCACTCGGCCATCTCCCAGGGCTGCGCCTGACAGCGGCGCCCCATAATGCGTGCACTTGTTCCCAATCGCACTCAACTTCCCCTTCTGTCGCACCAGCAGCACCTTCCCTGCATCCCCCAAGTCGAAAGACTTCATTTCATTCTCCTTGATGTCGGAGTCCTTACACACCACTCCCTCGACGTAGTCATCGCTGGGGGCGTCGGTGGCTGAAAACCAACGATAAACTTGTAAATACTTGTAAAAGTGAGTCGCGAAAGCCACCGCACTGTACATGTTGTCCCGACAGTTTGACAAATGGGTCGATCAATACGGCTGTCACCAAACTGGCGGACAAAAAAGGAGCGAAGTGCTAAATAGCACCAAAGACGGTGCTATCTAAAAATAAAACCGCGGAAATCCTTGTTGATAAACAATAATTGATAAGTGAGGTTATGTTTACACCTCACTGTGGTTTGGGGTTTGAGGGTTGGTAATGAAACAGGTGACTGTTTGACACTTACAGCGGGACACTTCGACTTTCGACGTGGAGCACCCCATGATTGGCGGCGGTTTTGGCTTGGTCAGAGCATGAAAGAGGCGCGTATGGTTCGCGTGACTACTTTCTACTAGTTTGTGTAGTTTGTAGAGTGAAAGGAGAAGTCTCATTGTGCTATCTTGTGTGACGCAAGACTAGGCCAAGGTCAGTGTCTGCGGTTGCCAGACCTGCATCACGTCGAGATAGCGACAGGTCCGGCTCGGCGCCAGGGTCAGCATTGAAAATTTTCCCTAACATGGTTACTCCTAAGTTTTATTAACGTTTTGTGTACAACTTTTTACACATTACATACATACTGGAACTAGAAACTAGAATGCATTTTAAAATTAATAGTTTACACGTACACATTTAAAAATGCCAACATGAATTGTTGATTACTGGAACTGTAGCCACGTATTATGTATATTGAAGAAATTATTAAAGAACCAGCAGCAATAAAAAACCTAACTATAATACTACGTTGAAATTAAGTATTTGTCGCGCCTTTTGAGGTCAGGACCGGTCTAAAAACAATCATAATTGACTCGTTCGCTAGGAAAAACCATTTTGACGATGCTACCGGGGCCCCATTTGTCATAGAAAAATGTGTGGGGCGAGCCGGCACTAACTACGACAATTTTTACAAGTCCTAGATATATTGTCAACATGTTCCCAAATTCTAACAATAATGTAACAACTACTCAATAACATTTATACAATATAGTGTAAAGTACGATGCAGAAACTTGTCAAAATGGTTTTTTGTTTTTATCTCGTATTGCAACAAACTTGTTCTCAAGCGGTCACGAAAAAAAAAACTAATAAGGAATGAGTGTTTATTAAGGAAAATAATGAAAATAAATAAAATAAATAGTTCAATTTAGGTTAAAACAATACAAGTCGTAGTCGTCTAGTTTTGCATATTTCATTATTTTCTTTGTAGAACACAACATAACCAACGAACTGCACCGACTCTCTAATAAACCCTTGGTAACTCTCTAATCCTTAAAAAACACCAAATAAATCACATTCATTACCATATTAAATGCATTTAATTCACTTATAGTAGTAATAATAAAAAATAAAACAAAAACCTCAATTTACTAGTTACTAGTAATAAAACCGTGCAGGCGTTTCGGAACAGTTCGCTTTGAATGAAATTGACGGTGTTGCCTGTGACGAAATTTAAATTAAATATTCACTAAATATGCAATTTGTTTAGTCCGTTTCCGCTTTCATGCCTCGCACCTCCCCCTTCTGGCGCAGCTTGTCCAGCTCCTCCTGCGTTCTGTCCTCTATTGCCCTGATATCCTCCATAGTCAACCCATGCCACAAATCCATCCAACAGAACACTTGCCTGCGAAAACTCTGTTAAGCCTCGCGTGCGCGCACACCCCCACTCACCTATGGAAGTTGGTGAACAGCCGCCGCTCCGACTTCTGTATAAAACTCTCTACGCGGCTCTGCAGACCGAACCACTTGAACTCCACGGTCACGAGCTTGTAGCATGTCATGACCGGCTGGACGGTGTTCTTCCAGTTCGGGCCGACCAGCGGCCCCCGACCGGTTTTCTCCGACTTGAATTTGCTCGGATCCTCCTTTTCCTTGTAGTCGCTGGCTGAAATGGGATCGTTGGCTATGTCTATGTGGACAACTTCACGCTGCTTGAGCTTGTCGGCTGGAAGCTCGTGGACCTGGGTGCAGGTGGGGGGGTTATCGCAAGGAAGTTCACTTGTTTGTTTAGAGTTAGCTGTTTGGAGCGATTTACTGGTTTAGGCGCGGCACACTTGTTGGGGATTTTTGGAAGAAATACGCGAAACTCGGGCGGTTGATTTCTATTTGTTCCAAAATCGCCATCAAATGTCGCTTTCGACTTATTCCATGTGACACGCACGACGCACAGCCATATTTACAGCAGAAAATAAAAAACACTACGAAAATTACTTATATACCAAACAGGGTACATCTCAAGGTCGCAATAAGCCAAAATTTAAAGCATGAATTAATTAGACATAGTATGCGACATTGTGACAAACCAAGCACACCATTTTGTTTTTTAGTACAACACCCTTTTTTTAAGTAAACCTGTTGAAACTCCTAAAGCACTGAATTTTTACTAAAAAAAAAAATATCCTACTTTACAAGGTCACAATAATTTCATTAAAAATAAAACAATAATGTAATAGATAAATTGTTTTCTTATCGATAACGTGATTATTGTGGTATGTTGTGTACAAATTTCGACACGTAATATACGCTTCGAAAAACAAAAACGATTAAAGGGACCCGTGAAACATGAAAACTAGAATATACGTTTTCGAAGTTTTTCTTTGTCGCAGGCATTTTTGCAAAGTTCTACTTGACAACAAAAAAATTAAGATCAACAGTTTCAATTAAATGTGAAAATAGTTGGATGCATTCAGTCGTTTCTATTAAATTTCATTTTTTGTGTACACGTGATATAAACAAATACTATTTTGTTGCATGTCAAGTAAGCCTAGCATAATTGAACCACTCACGAAACAAAGCAATAAAACAATGAGTGACCATCAATATTTTTGCTTTATTCATGTAATACCTGACCATCAAGTACTGAACAATACAACCAGTATCATTCATAATTACTAGGATAAAACTTCAACATATGATTCTAAAATACCGCTTCACGTTTTCAAGGAAATTCGGATTATTGCATTTTTTATTTCTCAAAACGGTAAAATTTTCTTGAGATATTCTGTATAAATATTTTTTTTATGGCAATTTTTTGATAAATGGGGTAAATAAAATAAATTGCTTCATTCATTAATTGTATAAGTAATTTTTAAAAACATGAATGCATTGATATATTTTGCATATTTTAGATAGGATTTATTCGGCAAAATTTTGAGAGTGGGTAAACGGATAAATTGTAACTGACGATTTACCTTGGTTTCAAACCATTCGGTTTTACAGTTACAAAATTTTGCATCGTAAAATCTTACACAATTTTGATTTTTTCTTTTTTCTAAAGATCTGGATGTTTAGGGTAAAAACTCAACACGGATTCATAAACCACAAGTGCAGGAATCTTATTTTATAAAATTTAAATAACATTTATATTGTTAATTTAGGAGAATTTTAGAAATTACAAAACTATAATGAATATAACGGCCTTATTAAATCCAAATAAATTAAACACTAATTAGGACAAAATATTTCCAATGAAATGAGACACTAATTTTCTTTTGATTTTTTACTTCCCGATTTTTTTACTTTTTGTTTTCTCGACGTTTCATGACTCATAGAGTAAGAAAAAATAGTTCTCCCGTTATGTCCGTCTGTGTTGATTTTATTAAACAAATAAATAATCTCCGAAACTATTGGACTGATTGTTATCAAGTTTTATCTATATTGTAGGTACGTCTGTAAAACGGTAATAAAACTCTAACCAAAATTTGTCATATCATCCACACCAATAATTTGATGACATCACCTAAAAATTTTTCATAGTACATAATTGCTGTTTAAATTGTATAAAATAACAAACTTAAACTCGTGTTCATGTATCCGCTTGGACTTTTTACTTATAGGAGTTGTAAAAAAAAACAAATTTTATTTTTTGAAAAAGGATTAAATGAAGTGCTTACTTAAAAAAAATCACTGATTTAAATCTTTCTTCTTTTTCAAACTATAAAAATATAATGAATATTACGGCCCTTTTAAATCAAAATAACTTGAACACTAATTACAATAAAATATTTCCAATGAAATGAAACACTAATTTTCGGTTGATTTTTTATTTCCAGACTTTTTTTTGGTTTATGAATTCGCTTGGATTTTTTTTACGTATAGAAGTTATTACAAATAAGATAAATTTCGTAAAAATAAATTTTATTTTTTGAAGAAGAAAGCAAATTTGGCTTGATTTAAGTTATTTTTGTTTTTTTATTTTTGTTTTCACATTACAAAAAAGATTATGAATATTACGGCCTTTTTAAATCAAAATAAATTGAACACTATTCAGAATAAAATATTTCCAATGAAATGAAACACTAATTTTCTTTTAATTTTTTACTTCCCGACTTTTTTACTTTTTGTTTTCTCGACGTTCCATGACTACTAGAGTAAGAAAAAATAGGTCTCCCGTTATGTCCGTCATTGTTGATTTTATTAAACAAATAAATAATATCCAAAACTATGGACTGATTGTTATCACTTTTTATTTATATTTTAGGTACATCTATCAAACGGTAATAAAACTCTAACCAAAATTTATCTTATCATCCACACCAATAATTTGATGACATCACCTAAAAATTTTTCATAGTACATAATTGCTGTTTAAATTGTATAAAATAACAAACTTAAACTTGTGGTTCATGTATCCGCTTGGATTTTTTACTTACAGGAGTTGCAAAAAAAGATTTCGCGAAACAAATTTTATTTTTTGAAGAAAGATTAAATCAAGTGCTTACTTAAAAAAAATCACTGATTTAAATCTTTTTTTTTCAAACTATAAAAATATAATGAATATTACGGCCCTTTTAAATCAAAATAACTTGAACACTAATTACAATAAAATATTTCCAATGAAATGAAACACTAATTTTCGGTTGATTTTTTATTTCCTGACTTTTTTTGGTTTATGAATTCGCTTGAATTTTTTTTACTTATAGAAATTATTACAAATAAGATAAATTTCGTAAAAATATATTTTATTTTTTGAAGAAGGAAGCAAATTTGGCTTGATTTAAGTCATTTTTGTTTTTTTTTATTTTTGTTTTCACATTACAAAAAAGATTATGAATATTACGGCCTTTTTAAATCAAAATAAATTGAACAATATTTAGAATAAAATATTTCCAATGAAATGAAACACTAATTTTCTTTTGATTTTTTACTTCCCGACTTTTTTACTTTTTGTTTTCTCGACGTTTCATGACTACTGGAGTAAGAAAAAATAGGTCTCCCGTTATGTCCGTCATTGTTGATTTTATTAAACAAATAAATACTATCGAAACTATGGACTGATTTTTATCACGTTTTATTTATATTTTAGGTACATCTATCAAACGGTAATAAAACTCTAACCAAAATTTATCTTATCATCAACACCAATAATTTGATGACATCACCTAAAAATTTTTCATAGTACATAATTGCTGTTTAAATTGTATAAAATAACAAACTTAAACTTGTGTTCATGTATCCGCTTGGATTTTTTACTTACAGGACTTGTAAAAAAATTTCGCAAAACAAATTTTATTTCTTGAAGAAAGATTAAATCAAATGCTTACTTAAAAAAATTACTGATTAATTTTTTTTTTTTTCAAACTATAAAAATATAATGAATATTACGGCCCTTTTAAATCAAAATAACTTGAACACTAATTACAATAAAATATTTCCAATGAAATGAAACACTAATTTTCGTTTGATTTTTTACTTCCCGATTTTTTTACTTTGTGTTTTCTCGACGTTTCATGACTCCTACAGTATGAAAAAATAGGTCTTTCGTTATGTCTATCTGGTCTGTGTTGATTTTATTAAACATATAGATAATCTCCGAAATTATTGAACTTATTGTTAAGAAGTTTTATTTATTTTTTAAGTACATTTATCAAACGGTAATAAAACTCTAACCAAAATTTGTCTTATCATCTACACCAACAATTTGATGACATCGCTTAAAAATTTTGCATAGTAATTGCTGTTTAAATTTTATAAAATAACAAACCTAAAGTTGTGGTTTATGAATCCGCTTGAACTTTTTTTACTTATAGGAGTTGTAAAAAAAATAAATTTCGCAAAACAAATTTTATTTTTTGAAGAAGAATTAAATCAAGTGTTTATTTAAAAAAACAAAAATCACTGATTCAAACCATTTTTGTTTTTTTTTTAATTTTCTTTTCAAATTATAACAATATAATGAATATTACGGCCTTTTTAAATCCAAATAAATTAGAATAAAATATTTCCAATGAAATGAAACGCAAATTTTCTTTTGATTTTTTACTTCCCGACTTTTTTTACGGGAATAAGACTGACCAAAATTTGTCTTATCATCCACACCAACAATTTGATGACAACACCTAAAAATTTTGCATAGTAATTGCTGCTTCAATTTTATAAAATAACAAACTTAAACTTGTGGTTTATGAATCCGCCTAGATTTTGTTTTACTTATAGGAAATATCATAAGCAAAATAAATATCGCAAAAATAAATTTTATTTTTTGAAAAGAAAGCAAGATTGGCTTGATTTAAATCGCGATTCAAATCAAGGGGTTATTTAAAAAAACAAAAATCACTGATTTAAATCATTTTTGTTTTTTTTTCTTTTCAAATTATAAAAATATAATAAATATTACGGCCTTTTTAAATCCAAATAAATTGAACTCTAATTAGAATAAAATATTTGCAATGAAATGAAACGCAAATTTTCTTTTGATTTTTTACTTCCCGACTTTTTTTCGGGAATAAAAATGACCAAAATTTGTCTTATCATCCACACCAACAATTTGATGACATCACCTAAAAATTTTGCATAGTAATTGCTGCTTCAATTTTATAAAATAACAAACCTAAACTTGTGGTTTATGAATCCGCGTAGATTTTTTTTTTACTTACAGGAGCTACCATAAATAAAATAAAATTCACAAAAGTAAGTTTTATAGTTTTTTTTTTAAACCAAGTGATTATCTCAAAAATCAAAAATCACTGACTCACATCAATCTTGTTTTTTTAATTTTCTTTTCAAAATACGAAAATGTGATGCATATTACGGCCTTTTTAAGCAATTTAAATAAAAAAATAAAATCAACACTGTGTAAGCTTTTGTTATCTCGACGTTTAATGACTCCTAGAGCATGAAAAAAATAGGTCTCCCGTTTGTCTGTGTGGAATTTATTAAACAGATTATCTCCAAAACTATTGTACTGAATGTTATCAAGTTTTTTGCACAGTAAATGCTATTTAAATTTTATAAAATCTAAACTTGATTTATAAATCCGCCTCGACTTTTTTTTTAAGTTAACAAACTACTATCCTCGACTAATTTTTTATTTTAAGAACAGGTTTAACAAATTATTAATTAAAAAGGTTGTAGTAAATTTTGTGAACATAAATCATTCTATTTCAATAAATGAAAATAAAATCTTGTTATTGGTCAAAACTCTCAGACAGCCGACTTTTTTGCTACTTTTATTAGAGTTTTAATTCAAAATAATTGAAAAAAAAAGATGGTATATTTTTAAAAAGTAATCGGTTCGGTAGTTCAAGTAATAAATTTGCTGCGAAAGTCCAATAAATATAAAACTACACACCGGCCAAAGTATTTTATGCAACAACTTTTTTTAGCTATAATTCGAGCCAAAGGATAATTACTTAAAAATTAACACTAATTATAACTAATTATAGCTAACAAGTGTCCCGCTTGCTGTAAAAAGACGCACACTGGTAACATCCAGTAGAACAACTTGAAACAACAAAAACGATGTCTTAGGTTTTTTTTTAAATAATTTGAAGGTGAACTAAAGTTTTATCAACCTTTGACGACCTTGAATTTAATACCAGAAACTGATTAGATTTTAATTTTCTTTCTCAAGGTGCCGAACCGGTTACTTAGGAAAAGTTTCATATCATTATCAAGATAAGGAACAAAAATATTTAATCTCGCCGAAAATGCAACCCTAAAAAAATATTACAACTTATACCGGATGTCTCAAGAAAATAATTAATGGATATATGTAATCCATAAATCATTTGGAAAAAGCTGACACGATTTCCTCGAATGCCACGAACTCGCCAACATTGAGATCACTGTTTAAAGACGTTGACGTCATCTCAAAAGGTTATTTAGTTCATCGTATTTTAGATGCATATTTTAATTTCCATTTTACTGGTGATTTAATATTGTGTTGATCTAAATAGTCTGTAAATCTAAAATTGTCTGTTACAACTATAGTCGCATCAATGCGATAATGGAATTGTTATGTGAAACATGTAGTATTGAGTCTATAAAAGGAAAAACAAAATGAAGTCTGCATTGCAAAACAAGAACATTAATTAAGAACGTCTGCAATAATTTTGTGACATAAAACGATTGAGAAATAAGTACACAACGCTAATTTGGTGAAACCCGTTTGTATAAAAAAAACAACCTAATTATAATAATCGTTCAGTTATAAATAAATTGCTTATAGGTTTTATTTCACATTACTCTGGAATTTATTGCAGGAATTACTTTTAAACAGGTCTTTAATGATAACAAACCACTTATCAGTAATAAAGTAAAGTTCAGGAGCGCCATCTACAGTGATTCTTTTAAAACAATCCCACCTACACACCCCAACAAAGCATAAACAAAAAATCCAAACAAAACGTATACAACACAAACACAGCATCTCTCACACCTCATAAAACTTACGTTATCTTGTGATCCCGTGTCGCCAATGTGCATACTTTCAATACAAATAACGAAATTCTCTTTCATATATCCAGGATTCTGATGACGTCACAGAAAGCCCAGCACCACACGAAGCCCAAGCATATGATACACAGTAATGTTTTATGAATCGACGAGTACGACCAACCCCCGGAAAAAAATAAAACAACATTAATACTCACATTGTCGCGCTCTCCTACACCGGGTGCATGCAAAGTTTCAATAACAAGACGAAATCTGTCTTTCATGTACGCAGGGTTCTGAAAAATCGGCCAATCGTCAAAATTTAGTACACGTCATGACCTTGAAATCATCGTACCACCGGCAATTTATTGTTTACTTGTAATCAGTCAATTAATGGCAAAAACCTGTAGAGTGTAATTAAGTGAAAACGACACGTTCTACAGGTCTACGAGTGATAAGATACGCAAATCGTGTTTGTGCAAAATTGCTATCAGGAGTGCTGTGGCCGAATTGACAGGTGACAAGTGACAGGCACAGCACTCCTGACTCGAAAGTGATTACCGTTATGACTGTACGGCAGTACGGATAGGCGTTCCAGGCCTCCTCGTGTATCTCTAGACTGCCCTTGGGGGCCAGCAGCCGTATGAAAGCCGGGACTTTGCTCGCCAAGTGGTAGATTTTGTACGTGTACTGGCCCGAGGTGTATTTGCCCCCCAGGAGCGGGTAGTTGTTGAAGGGCTCATTCTTGAGCACTTCGATCCCCTCCCCGCCGCCTGTGTTGTCTTTGGAAGCCTCGGCGACGCTGAACAATTGAGCAACTTGATACTATAAAAAATACAAATTAACCTTCAAAGTAATTGCACCGTCGGTCAACAAATACAGTAATTAAAGCGAAAACGTAAACTCACCTCTTCCACCGTCAGGGGCAAAGTTACTCGGCTAAAATGCAAAAAAAACACCAATTAAAATGACAGATGTCACACTTATTCAAGGCCCTGACATCCCAGATTGACATTTAGGTTATAGGTTGGGATTTTTTCGGGAGATGAAAACCGGTGGAAAAACCGCCCGCCGATCTCTGGGGACGCCACTCGACCGCGGACGCCCCATTTCGCGGCGATTATCACTCCGAGAGCTGAAACCGCCTGTTGGGTTGTTCCACACCGTTTCAAATCGATTTTTTTTTCGGGTCTAAATCGGCGTTTTGTATTGGGATGAAGCGGGATTTTCGTGGTTAATACTCACTATTCTTTAATTAACATCTTGCCGCTGATAATTTGGATAATTTGCACATGTGAATACCAACTTTTCCTTATCGCGAATAATTCTGATTCACTCGACTGCTGTTAATTGGGTTGCATACGGCGCAGGCGCAGTGACGCAATCCGATGACGTCAAGGTGAACATTGGCGTGGGCAGCGCACGGTCGCAGGGGCATGCACCGAATATTAATTTATGCAATCTTTTTTCACCTATTTAGCGACTTAAAACCGGAATTGCTGTGAATCATCGCCGGGTTCGATTTCAACCGCTGATGAAGTCAGCTTTATTTGCAGTTTATTACGGTTTTATTGCACATTAAGCCGCTTGTTTCTGTTTGAGTTATTTCGAAACAGGTGCGCAACGTACGAAAATAAAAACCCCTCCAATTCATTATGTTTAATATTTAAATTGAATTAATATTATACAAATAAACAAATAGTAATATACAGCCTTCTTTCTCACTTATAACCAACTAGTAAAACCGGCCTCACATTTTCTTGTTTTCTGAAACAAAATTCATACTTAGTAAAACACTCCCACAGCGACTCGTTCTTACCTTCGATTTGTCTTCTATGAGACTCTGCAACACAATAACAAAAAATCAACAAAAATCCCCAACTTGGCTATCAATCTTATAATTACCCATAAACTCCAATTGCTGCTTACGGTGAGCCTCCATTAAAGCATTCAGTTCAGCCTTTTGTCTATTCAACATCTCCTCAAAAGTCTCTTTCTGCCAACCCAAAGAAAAGAAAATTATAATCCACCCGAAACACCGCACCCCTCAACCAAAACTAATCATTCAGCTAAAAAATTAGTAACTACACAAAAAGCCAAGCAGCCATATTTTAAAAAGCGCCCTTGCACCATCGTTTCGATTCCAGTATATGTCTGAATCTTACCGTCTTATTGACGAAATACGTTTCCAAATATTGTTGGATTGGCACCACTGCCTCGCACAGTCTCCTGCCGCAACAACATTTGTAAATAACTTCAGTGCTGTTGGTACGACTGTTTAAATTATCATCGAACGCGAACATTTCGATATTACTGAAACCCCCGTGCACCGTATGATAATTATCAAAATTCTCTTCCTTCGCCAAGGTCACAATGTTACTCTTCAAATTGTGCATCGAGGCGGAATGTTTAAACTTCCAGTTTTTCTTCAAGAGATCGCCCGGCGTTTCGCCCTTTTTCTTTCTCTTCTTCCTCAGTGTCTTTCTTTTAAGGCACCCGTGCACCCCGTCGCTGTTGCGCCGACTCAGCGGAGTCTTAAGTTTGGTTTTCTTAAAGTTGGTACTAGTGACCATCGTCTCCTCGTACAACTTCTCGTCTGTCAAATCCGGACAGCTGACGTTTTTATCGCTGACGTTGTTTATCACGACTTGGTGATCGTCAACGTTCGCGTTGATGTCGGGTAAACTCGACGTGAGAGATTCGTCGGGAGGGTGCACTACGATCTGGGGGTACTGTCTGAACGTTTTCGACATACGTCTACCCCCAACTGCCCTCCGGGGGTTGCCCTCCTCCAACGGTCTGCCCATTGGGAGGAGATGCTCGATTTCCTTTTTTAAATCACAATAAGATAATGATTTCTGTTTTTTATGAACATGGTGGGTATGAGAATGGTGTGCAGTGGTGCCAACTGCATGCTGCTACAATGAAAAAAAACACTAGCTACTGATCATTTAGTCACGGGCGACTCGTGTTTCACGAGAATGGAATAAAGAAACAAAGCTTCTCGAGATTTGTACCAAAATAAACAAAAAAATTAGAAGAAAGAAAATGCACAACACAGAATTAGTAGTTATAGATTGCCGGTTGTGGTTAGTGTTCGATGTTCGGTTTTTCGCAATTATGTCATAAATGAAGGACAATAAAAAACAGAAATTTAATAAAAAAAAAAGTAAAGTGTGAGAAAGAGAAAATAGATTTAGAATGAAGAAAGAAAGAGAAAGAGAGAGAAATGAGAAAAGATATGTTGGAGAGTCGTTGGCTGAGACAGAAAAAAAGTCGAGGGGAACAAACCACAAAACAAATATGAAACTAAAAGACAAGAAAGGAGTAAAAAAAAAAAAAAGAAAAACAAGAATGTCGATTGGTCAACAGAACATCGAACACTCCCACCCCCACCCCACAAGCCCCCAAAAACTCACTTTGACTCTGTTAACTTCCGGCGCGAACTCTGCAACAGAAAAACAAATCATCAATAAAAACCCTGCCGCCGCCTCCGCACCACCCCACCTGTATCCGAGGGCAAAGTAGCTCCTAAAATATTAGCCAAACTGTTAAACGTATTATTAATAACCGATGTGTAATCCGAGTCCTTCTTCGCCTCCTCGCCCTCCTTCTTGGGGGAGGCGTCGTCCGGCTGCACCAGCTTGCTGCGGTCGGGCTCCGTCACCACACTGACCTTGAACCTCGACACGCGCCTCTCCTTCTGCGGGGCGGTCGCCGCCGCCGCCACCAACGCCGCTGCCGCCGCGCCCTCGATCACCTCCTGGGGCACGATGGCCTCGCCCGTCTCCACTATCACCTCTGGCCGCGAGTTGATTTTCTTCAGCTGGTTGTTGAGGTCGGCGAGCTGCTTCACCTTGATGTCGGTCGGGGGCGGCGCGAACGGCTCGAGCTCGATGGCCGGCGAGAGCATCTCGGAGGAGGCGGCGCCACTGCCGGGAGCGCTGGGGCACGACTCGGCCTGCAGCTGCAAAAGTTCGAGAGTGAGTGGGCGGGCGGCGGCGGCGTGGGCGGTTACCTTGCTGATGGCGGTCGTGACGAGAGATTCTTGAACGGAGAGCGGCGGCTGCTGCTGCTGCGGGAATTCCAGGGTGGCCGCGTTGGCTTGGGGACTAGATGGGGCCTAAATGGACGGGAGTTAAGACTGGGGCGGCGAGAGTGGGCGGCTTACCGTGGTCTGGGTCCGGGCGAGGGGGATGGATGAGAGTTGGTGTTGCAGATTCTGGAGCTGGGCGTCGTACTTGACGTCCATTTGGGGGGTGGAGACCTGGCTACTCCTGCTGGAGGCGCTGAAATTTTAAAAATCTGATTGTATTTTCTGGAGTAGACTGATCAGATGTTCTCGCAGTTTTGCAATCTGCTGCATTATCAAATGCCCCTAGCCTTTTCTTCTTATCTGACAAAGTTTCTATCTGGTAAACATTAGACTGATTAGATTTTATCGCCATTTTAAAAATTTGCTACATTTTGCTAGTTTTTTTAGATCCGACAGATTTTCTAGATGGTAAACAAAAACAGATTGATTAGATTTTATCACCATTGCGAAAACTGCAGAAACGCTATCGGATTTTTCACTCTTCAGAAATCTGACGTCACATTGGAAATTTTTACATACACGACCAATTTTTTAAAAACGATTCGAGGTTGACCAGATTTTCTAAAAGGATTTTTAGAAACTGATTGTGCTTTCTGAACCGAACTGACGAGATGTTCTCTCAGTTTTGGAATTTGCTTTATTTTCGGATGTCACTGACCGTTTTTTCATCAGCAATACACTGGTTAAATTTAATTTTAGTCATATTTCTTGAACCTCAGAAACGCGATCGCATTTTTCACTCCTCAGAAATCTGACACCAGCATTTGTCGCATTTTCTGATAGTAATTTGAGGCCAAATTGGAAAATTTAACATGCTGGAGCAATCATTTAAAATAGAATAGACGAGATTTTTTGAAAGGATTTTTGGAATATAATTGTTTTTTCTAGACCGGACTGATCAGATATTCTCTCAGTTTTGGAATCTTCTGCATTCTCGTATGGTATTGGCCGTTTTTTCAATTTTTTTGTCAGATTTCTAAAACTTCAGAAACGCGATCGGATTTTTCACTTTTCATAAATCTGACGCCAATATCTGACGCATTTTCTAGCAATAATCGGATGAGATTTTTTGCCTTCAGAAATCTGACACTAAATTGGCAAGTTTCGCGTACTCGAGCAATTTTTTAAAAAAGATTCGAACTTGACGAAATTTTCTGAAAGAATTTTTGGATTCTAATTGCGTTTTCTGGACCGGATTAGATGTTTTCTCAGTTTTAAAATTTACTACATTTTCGGATGACACTGATCAAACTTTACCATCAGTTTCTCGTCAGATTTATAAAACTTCAGAAACGCAATCGGATTTTTCATTTCTCAGAAATGTAACACTCATTTTCTGGCAGTAATCTGATGAAACTTTTCGTCTTCAGAAATCTGACGCCAAATTGAGAAGTTTCATGTGCAGGAGCAATTTTTTAAAAAGCATTCGAGTTGATCAGATTTTCTGGTAGGATTTTAGGAATCTGATAGTGTTTTCTGAACCGGCTGATCAGATATTCTCTCAATCTTTGAGATCTGACAGATTTTCTAAATAGTAAATAGATCTGACCCATTTTCTGCAACCCCCTCACCTTTCGCTGATCTGCTTCAGACTATCCGGCGGCAGCTTCTTCACCGTGAACCCTCCCTGCTGGTGCAGACTCAGCGCGTTGTCGTCCACCGAGATCGAGTGCTGGAACTGCTGCTGCTGTTGCGCCTGCATCGACAGGTTCTGCACCGAAACGGACGCCGTCATCGCGCCCGTTGGCGGCGGCTGTTGATAAATAACGCCGGCCCCGGCTGCCGCCGCCATCTCCACCGGTTTCTGTATGTTCAACATCATCTGCGGCGGCGACGCTTGCGACACCGGCTGCTGATAATTCGGCTGCTGCTGAAGAATGAGATTCTGTTGGGGCGGAGCCTGCGCCAACACCACCGGCGGTTGCGTAACGGCCACATTCTGCTGTTGCGGCTGCTGCTGCAACTGCGTCATTTGAATCTGTTGCTGTTGTTGCGTAGCAACGAAAGTCGCCGTCGTCGTGGTGGTGGTGGTCGTGGCCGCGACGAACGCCTGGCCCGTGGAGACCTTCTTCGTGTCGGACTCCGACGGCTCCTTCTTCGGATGCATGCTGTTCTTCAGATTATCCAAACTGATCTTGAGTTGTTCGAGCGTGTTGATCATCTCGGGCCCGCACATCACGGGCTCCTCTTTATTCGTGGACTCCTCCTTCAGCGAGGAGACGCTGATTTTCTGTTCGTTCGGTTTGTCGGCTTCGAGGTTCTTCGTGGTGGACTCGACCGGAGCCGAGCTCTTGCGCAACGCTTCGATCTTCGTCGATTCCTCTTCGGGCGGGAGCTCGGCGTTGCCGCCGAAATCTTTATCTTTTGGGAGATCTAGCTCGCCGGAGAGGACCGGACTTACCAAAAACCTTGAGATTTTCCTCTGGGGCACCTGGTGGAGCGCGGTTTAGTCGTTTCGAAAAAACGCTACTAGTACTGACCTTGAGGACCGCCTGCACCTCCACCTTCTCCTCCACTTTCTCCTCGTCCTTCTTCTCGTCCCCGTCCTCATGCGGCTCAGCCTCGGTCCGCAAAATGAACACCTTCAAGTCGACCTTCTGACCCGGCACCAACTTGACGTCGTCCTTGCGTTTCAAGCTGTCGTTCAGTTCGTCCTTGAGGAGGTCCTGGCCGTCGATTTCGCTCTTCGCGTCTTCAGCCACTTCGTTCGGGTACTTCAAGACCGAGACGCAGGTGTCGCTGGAGAACGACACCGTCGTTGATTGGTCCATGCGGTTGTTCGAGACGTAGGTGTTTTCCGGTGTGTAGTCGCTCGCTGTGCTCGTTTTGCGCGAAACGGTGCCGCTGCTGTTCAAACTCTCCCTGCATCGAAGGTTTTGGGTGAGTTTTTCGGAAAGGGTGCTTTTTAAACCTTGGAAGGTGTCTTCGTAGGTGTCGTAAGTGGGTTTGATTAGCATTTGGCCGCTGCTGTCGTCGCGCTGAGGGAGATTTTTGGTAAAGTTGGGTTAAAAAAAAATTGGGAGATAAATGATAAGTAAAAAATAAAACGTCAACGAACTACTTTGCAAACAGAAGAAACAAAGAGAGTAGGGGACAGGGTCTAGTACTTACGGATCTGTGTCTTCTGTGTGTTTTTTTATGAGCGTGGCGCGTTAACGAAGCATGCCTGACCTGATGAAGAGCAGCGTGTAAAGAAGAAACGGGTTTAAAGTAACAGGGTTGTTAATTTACGTTGAAGAAACATTAGTGCAGTATTTATATAGTGCAGATATTTTAGGCTCAGTTTAAAGCAAATTTCAAGTTCTAGGACTACTAGTGAGTCTGGGGTTTTCTTTAACAAAGTATTTCAGAAGTAACAAAATAAAGAATAAACTTCAAGCGGTAATATGCAGTATAAAAAGTGAAATCTGTAAACGCATAAAAATTTCCAAAAAAATGGTAAAAAGATTGTAAAACTGCAGAAATAAGTATTTTTTTTTAATTCAACCAAAGTCGGGTCATATTTCTCTTAAAATAATTTCGCTACATTTCAAAATATTTATTAAATTAAAACATAACTGAAGCTACAAATCGACTTAACGATATTTTACTCAGTCTGTACCAAAACATGACTTTGTATCCACAAAGTTTATAAACTAGACCAAAGACAAGCAAATAAACACCTCTGAAAACGTTCCTAGTTTATTTTGGGAAATTATAACAAACGACTTAAAATCACCCACACCATGAAGTTTGTATTTTCGAATATTTTTAAAACGGAAACAACTGGTTTTAGAGACAGACATTTCCTCAATCGTTGTCAATATGCCTGATAAAGCGGTAACTTTTTTAAGGCTTCTCGGTGATCTAGAGGAGCTTGAGAACTTTATAGACGAGGTCGCGAACCATTCAAAATTAAGCATTTTAAAGCGTCGCCTACAAATGTTAGAGGAACTAAAAGTTAAATTCAAAGATTTCGTTGACGAATTTGACTCTTAATCAATCGAGCTAGCGAACGACGATGGGTCCGAAGAATGCCAGTATCGTTTTCGAGACATTCAGGTACAGATCGTCGAAACTTGCTAAATACGATGATGCAATAGACAAAAGCTTAAACAATTCGACTAATCCTCCCAATTCCTCCAATGGTAGTTCAAATAATGCGCAATTCGTTAAGCTTCCTACCATTGAGTTGCCTAAATTCAACGGTAATTATGGGGAATGGGCATCCTTTTTCGACAAATTTCAAAGTTTAATTCACGCCAATGACGGTTTAACTGATATGCAAAAACTTCATTATCTCAAAGCATGCCTGGAGAATGAACCGAAAAGAACGTTAGAATCATTAAAAACAGATAACAACAATTATAAAATCGCGGTAGAATTGTTAAAAAAACGATACGAAAATAAACGTTTAATTATTAACAACAGTATAAAAAACATTTTTGATATTCGTTCAGTTCATAAAAACGACTCCGAAACATTGCGGATTTTGTTGATCAAATAAATATAAATATCAATACATTAAAATCGTTTCGTCGTCCGACCGAGCAGTGGAGCGATTTAATTGTTTACATCATCTTGTTTAAACTAGACCACATATCAACTTCAATTTGGGAGGAATCTCTCCAAATTGGAGAAATACCATCCCACGAGGATTTATTAAAATTTTTAGAAAAGCGGTGTCAAACTCTGGACTCAATCCATATTCATAAAAATCATTTTCACAAAGATATTAAGCAAGTTACGTTTGGAAAAAGCTCAAATTATACACCGACTCATAAACGGGTGGTGCATGTAACCCGAAATACTAAAAAATATCACATTATTGTATGTTTCTTTTGCAAGAAATGTATACGTTGTTGGTGAGGATAGAGGCTATTCCGCAACATGTTCTTATTGGACATCCCATCATTTTTTTTTGTTGGTGACATTCAGCACGCTTGTTGCCCACATATTTTTTTTTTACAACTTGTATATATACTTACATATAAAAAATTTGTACATATGCTTTTTTATCAAATTACATCATGTTATCTTTAAACAACTAAATTGTTTCAAGGTGGGGGGGTTATGTTGAGTACTAAGAATCGGGGTTGTTTCCCCTTCTACCGCAGGTAGCATTCTTACCATCAACCGCCCTGAAACGATCAGTAACACAAGTGACAGTAACATCTAGACATTCAATCAATAAACACAAAACCCAAAATACAGTCCGTTACTCAAAAACACAATCAAACACATTCTGAGCTACAACACTCAACACAGGTAACAAAATTCTTCTCTTGATTTATGACTTAGAAAACAAAATTTGCATTAATGAACAATAAATTTAATTTCTTCTCTTTACTGTCACTTTGTTGACTGATGACGTAGACATAAGTTCTAAAATAGCTGTAGTATCATATACTGAAGAGTAGCATCTACCTTAAGTCGAATACCCAGACTCACTCGCCTTACTATGAACATCCCCTTTCGCCTATCATACTTTACCAGAAGAAAACCAACCCTCTACTAGCGCCCGAGCTACGCAAAAGCGCTCTCCCTCCCGCCATACCTTCTGCACGTACGGCTTCGGACTCTCCGGCACCTTGTCCGGGTTCTTCTTCAGCTGCTCCATCACGTCCTTGAGATGGTCGTTCAGGTGCCTGTGCGGCCCCGTCTTCAGCAGCTCCTGCTTGACCATCCCGTCGATGATGTCCGCCGGCGTCGTATCGAACCTATTGAACTTAAAACTAATCGTTTTCTGTTTGCAAAGCAGCTGACACTCGACCGTCCCGTCCGGGTGGACGTTCTGGACGACTAACTGTTGCCTCGCCGACGACGATCGGTGCTTCCGCGGCTTCGGCTTGTCCTCGGTGGAGGTCTCCTCACTTACTTGTTCTGACGTCGACGCGTCCTCCTTGCCCTCCTCCTTGCCGGCCAGGTCGTCGAGCGAGTCCTTCTCGGGGATCTGCTGCTGCAGGACGTACTCCTGCATCGACGGCGGCTGCGACACCGTAGACAGGCGGCGCCCGTCCACCGGTGTCGACTCGAACGTCGACATCGGCGGCAGCGAGGCGGTGGAGACGCGGTGCTGTTGGGCGAGCTTCTGTTGCAGCTCGACGAGGTTCATTGGGGGCGGAACCTCGCCGGAGAGGCGATGCGAGCTGGAGTGCGGGTCGACGGGCGGATCGTGGGGCGGCGGCTGAGTGAGGACCTGTCGAACGAATTTCAATAGGAGTATCTTTTATTGTAGAAATCCTCTAGTGGGCTATGAAATTTATTTTTAAAATAATGTTGGCAACACTGACCGTCAAATAATTGAAACTATAATGTACCTGCTGTTGCGGCTCCACGTAATTGTGAAACTGCTGTTGCTGTTGTTGATACAACTGCTGGGAGGTGTGATCGACCGATTGCTGTTGTACGAACTGTGGTGGTGCCGTTTGCGGTTGCTGTTGCTGTTGTTGTTGTTCCTGATACGACGGTTCAACCCCCGGTTGAATGTAACTTTGTTGCTGTTGATAAACCGGCTGCTGTTGGAACGTCGCCTGCTGTTGATAGTTTTGTTGTTGCTGCTGCTGTTGTTGCTGCATCAAAATATTCGCTTGCTGTTGTTGTTGAACGTACTCTTGTTGTTGTATGTTAGGCGGCGCCACCGTTGACACTCTCTGCCCGTGGATAACCGCTTGTTCCGGATAACTCTGTTGAGTTTGATAAGTCGGCTGATAATTTTGAGTGGACTGTTGTTGTTGATACGCCGGAGCAGGTTGCTGCTGTTGTTGCGGCTGTTGGTAAGTCTGAGCGGGTTGCTGTTGCTGCTGATAAGTCTGCGCGGGAGCTGGTTGTTGCTGTTGTTGCGGATAACTCTGGGTAGGTTGTTGTTGCTGCTGCTGTGGATAACTTTGCGGCGCTTGTTGTTGTTGAGAATAAGATTGCGCAGGTGGTTGTTGTGGTTGCGGATACGACTGCGCGGGCGGTTGTTGTGGTTGTTGCTGCGGATAAGTTTGCGCAGGCGGTTGCTGCTGCTGAGGTTGAGAATAAGTTTGCGCAGGCGGTTGTTGCTGTTGCTGCTGCGGATAACTTTGCGCGGGTGGTTGTTGCTGTTGCTGCTGCGGATAACTTTGCGCGGGCGGTTGTTGCTGTTGCTGCTGCGGATAACTTTGCGTGGGCGGTTGTTGTTGTTGCTGTTGGGGATAACTTTGCGTGGGTGGTTGTTGTTGTTGCTGTTGCGGATAAGTTTGGGCAGGCGCTTGTTGCTGTTGAGGCTGAGGGTATGATTGCGCAGGCGGTGGTTGCTGCTGTTGTGGCGGATACGACTGCGCCGTCGGCTGTTGCTGTTGAGGTTGCGGATACGACTGCGCAGGCGCTTGCTGTTGCTGAGGTTGCGAGTAAGTCTGCGCTGGCGGTTGCTGCTGCTGCTGATAAGTCTGCGACTGTTGTTGTTGGTAAGTCGGCGCCGGCTGCTGCGGTTGTTGTTGGTACGTCTGCGCCGGCTGCTGTTGATAACTCTGCGCCTGCGGTTGCTGCTGTTGGTAGATCTGCGCTTGCTGCTGCGCCTGCTGCTGTTGGTACCCTTGCTGGTACGCCCCCGCCTGCTCCTGCGCCATCCCCTGGTGCGCGTCCAGCTGGCTATCCACGCTCAGCCGGTGCTCCGCCTGCGAGGGCATCGCGTGCAACAGCTCCGGCTGTGAGATGCTCGACAGCTTATGCTGCTGCCCCTCGCCCTGCTGCACTTGCAGGAACTCCGCCTGCTGCGGGTGCCCCTCGACGACGTAGTTCGACTGGACGAACTGCTGCGGCGGCGGCTGCTTGTGTATTATCGGCTGCTGCTGCACCGGCTCCATCGACTGCTGCCTCTGCAGGATCGGCGGGCTCTGGTGCTGCTCCTGCTGATAGATCTGCGGCGTCTCCGGCTGCATCGTGTACTGCACGATGCCCGGATCGCTCTTCTGCTGCACATACTGCACCTGCTCCTGCTGGTACTGCTGTTCTATGCCCTGCTGCGCGTACTCCTGTTGCTGCTGCTGCTGCACGGCCACGGTCGCGCTCTGCTGCGAAATCTGCTTCTCGACTTGCTGCTGCAAGTACTGCTGGTACTGGATCTGTTGGGCCAGAGCTTCTTTCTCCTTGTTCCTCTGCTCGCGCTCCTTGTTTATCTGGGCAATCTGGGCCTTCAGCAGCTGGGCGACGGTCTTCGCGTCCTCTTCGAAGATGATACCCGATTTGGCCTGAGTGAACGTCAAAACACTGTCAAATTTTAGCACGCGTGTCACTTACCATCTCCTCGGAGATCGTGTCGATGCGGTCGGTTTCCAAGTCGAACTCGAACTGGATGGCTTCGTTCTCCTTGTGTTTGTGGGTGCGCTTCTTCGGATCGATCACGCGCAACCGAAAAACGACTTTGTTGTCGGCCTGAGAGACGACTTCGACTTTCAGGCCGAAGTCTTCCTCGAAGAAGGCGTGAGTGAGGAGGTCCTTCACTTTGGGCCGGTCTTCTTTGCGGGGGCGGATGCAACTCTCGATCACGTCTTTCACTTCGGGATTCTGCACCTTCTCGAAACTAGCGGGTTTGACGCCCTAGAAAAGAGGGAGGGTGTCTCTGGAGAAGCGGGTAGGCCTTTTTATTTAAAAATCATTATTTTTAACATTCACGTTCGACGGATTCGAGGTGTTTAGGATATTCGCAAGTTTTAACATTTCAGATTCCTAACCTGTACTGTCAAACATGTTACAGTGACAGTCGTCACGTGAGGATTATACCATATGGACCTGACAGTTTTTAAACTAAAGTGGCCTAAAACTAGTTTGTTAATTCTATTTAAATTTTATACAGACAAAAGAATTAATCACCTTTTAGTATAAAGCTAAGATCAACTCTTGTAAAATTATCTGTAAAAAAAAAGTGCCTCGGGTCACTTAATTTCCCAAGGTTTGACAATATGGTAGTCAACGGGGAACGGTAAAACAGGAAACAACATATTTAAAACTAGCAGACATTATCGTTGACACAGATCCTCGGGAACTCCGACCAAACGTCTTCCACTTTTAGTTACTCCTGTATGTAAAACCATCACCATACAGTGGGACGAAACCGAAAATAGTGACCAAAACAGTGAAAAATAAAAATTTGTTTCTCTTAAAAAATATTACCTGTACTAGACGGATAGATGACTAAGTGGTTGTTTTTCATTAATCATCATTCGTTTTAATTTACCTGTTCGGAGTGGAATAAATGATTTCAAAAGTGTTTTTTTTTTTGTTTCATGTTAATCAAATTTGTTAAAATTATTCCTAACTGTACTTCAAAGTGAGTGTTTTTATAGTAGAGTAGTTACCTACATTGTTGTCAAATTAAAAATAATTTCGTATACTTTTGAACTGATAGTAAGAGTCCCGCGTTGCCCCATTATACATTAATTATAATACTGGGTTATTAGAAGTAAAGTATAAATGTTTTTTAACCTAAAATTATATTGCAGTGAGTTTTTGACGTGACTCGTTATACACTCTAAAAAAAGCGTAAACAATTGAATTTTCACCACCTGTTCCAAATATGTTTTTTATTGTATACCCATTATAACTAATACTCCTACTAGAGTACCTAAATATATTATTTTAATAAGAGTATAGCAAACACTGACATGACACCAATTACAAAATTTTGTCAGTTTTATGTCAAAAAATCAGTAGTGTCACAAATAACATTTAGATATTGAGTAAAAAAAGAAAATACTTGTTTCTCACACACTATCTTGATAGATATAACGCAACGAGGATTTAGGAAACCGAACTAAGAAAGAGAACTAAATAATTTATTGTTTTGTTGTTTTTTACTTCCTGAGCATAAGCTAAAAAAGTTAGTAATCGAGTCACTTCCGCTTATTTAAATTGTTTTCGTGCCTTTGGTAAAATCCGTTTATTCGACTGTACTTTACAGGCGAGGGAAGTTCTGTCAAAATAACCAAAAAGTACAAAATACAAATTTAGAAAAATCTAAAAACTAGAAATCAAGAACATGAAAAATTGAAGAAACGAAAAACTGAAAAATCGAAAAACTTCAAAATCAAAAAAACTAAATATTGTAAAATCGAAACACTGAATTAAAGAAATCGGAAAATCAGATAATTGAAAAATTCAAAAAAATTTAAATTGGACAACCGAGGAATCAAAGATTGAAAATTTGATAAACTGAATAAACAAAAAATTATAGAAGAAAAAACGAAAAACTGATATAAAATCGGGAAAATGAAGATTAAAAAATCAGAAAAATGAAAAATAAAAATGGAGAACTTGGAAAATTGAAAACTTGTAACATAGAAAAACAGTAAAACTAAAAAATTGGAAATCGAAAAAGTGAAGAAACGAATAACTGAAAAAAGCTAACTGAAATTGAAAAAACAAAAAATTATTAAGAGAATTATTGCAAATTCGAAAAATTGTAAAAATAAAGAATAAAAAACCGAAGCGAAAAAAAGCGAAAATTTGAAGAAATAAAAAAATGAGGAATCGAAAAACTGAAAAATTGAAAAGTCGATTAAATGAAAAAGTTTTAAAAACCAATAACTAAAAAAAAGAAAAATTCTAAAATCGTAAAATTGAAAAATCAAAAACTGAAAAAATGAAAAATTACAAAATCGAAAAAGTGGGAAATCAAAAAATTGCAAAAAGAAGAACTGAAGAAACAAAAATTGAAACATTTACAAACTAAAAATCGAAAAATTAAAAAACGAAAAATTGGAAAGAAAAAACAAATCGAATGCAAAAATTGGAAAATCCAAAAATTATAAAATCGAAAAATTAATTGTCGAGAAATTGAAAAATTGGAAAATCCAATAATTGAGAAATGGAAAAACTCTACAATCGTAAAATTGAAAAAGTGAATAATTTTCTAAATTATAATTATTACACATTTAAAACGAAAACTAGAAAAATTGCAAATCAAAAATTGAACAAACGAAAAATTAAATAAACGAAAAATTGAAAAATCTGAAATTAAACAAACGAAAAAGTAAAAAATTTAAAAGTGGAAAAATCGAAAAACTGAAAAATTTAAAAATGAAAACTCGGAGATTAGCATATCGTAAAATTGAAGAAACAATAAAAAAAGAAAAACTGAAAAATTGCAAAATAGAAAAATTGAAGAAATGAAACATGGAAGAATCGAATAATTGAAAAATTAAAAATTGAAAACTCGGGAAATTTTAAATTGAAAAATTGCAAATCGAAAATTTAAAAAAATGAAAAACTGAAGAAATTAGAATTGAAAAAAAAAAATCGAAACATTGAAAAATCGACTAGCTGAAAAAATACAGAAAATAGAAACCGAAACCAAAAAAATGTTTAAATTATGATTATTAATTTATCGAAAACTAGAAAAATTGCAAATCAAAAATTGAAGAAACAAAAAAGTAAAACATCTGAAAGTTGAAAAATCGAAAAACTGAAAAATTAAAAAATGAAAACTCGGAGAATGGCATATCGTAAAGTTGAAGAAACAGTAAAAAAAAAACAAAAATTCCAAATCGAAAAAATGAAACATTAAAAACTGAAAACTCAAGAAACTCAAATCGATAAAATGCAAAATTTAAGTAAAGATTGAAAAATTCAATAGGTGGAAAATTGAAAAACTGAAGAATTTAATGTAAAAACTCGAAAAATTTTAAATCAAAAAACTGAAAAAACAAAAAATTAAAAAATCAAAAACTGAAAAAACAAGCGCAAAAAGCTGCGGGAGTGTTGTTTACCCCACTGGTTTTTACTTTATATCGTAAAATTGAAAAAGTGAATTTTTTTTTTAAATATGATAATTTATCGAAAACTAGAAAAATTGCAAATCAAAAATTGAAGAAACGAAAAAGTAAAACATCTGAAAGTTGAAAAATCGAAAAACTGAAAAATTAAAAAATGAAAACTCGGAGAATGGCATATCGTAAGGTTGAAGAAACAATAAAAAAAAACAAAAATTCCAAATCGAAAAAATGAAAAATTAAAAACTGAAAACTCAAGAAACTCAAATCAAAAAAATGCAAAATTTAAGTAAAGATTGATAAATTCAATAGGTGGAATATTGAAAAACTCGAAAAGTTGTAAATCAAAAAACTGAAAAAACAAAAAATTAAAAATTGAAAAAACAAGTCAAAAAAGCTGCGGGAGTGTTGTTTACGCCACTGGTTTTTACTTTATAATTTCGTAAACTTGGAAAAATTATTTTTTTTTAATTATGATTATTACACATTTAAAACGAAAACTAGAAAAAATACAAATAAAAAATTAAACAAATGGAAAATTGAAAAATCATGAAACTAAAAAATCTAAAATTGAAAAAACGAAAAATTAAAAATCCAAAAGTTGAAAAATCGAAAAACTGAAAAATTTAAAAATGAAAACACGGAGAAGAGAGTATTGAAAAATTGAAAAAACAAAAAAAAATTGAAAAATTGTAAATAAAAAAATCGAAAAAATAAAAAATGAAAGAATCATTAAATTGAAAAATTAAAAATTGAAAACTCGGGAAATTTTAAATTGGAGAATTCCAAAATCTAAAATGAAAAATTAAAAAATTAAAAATTGAAAAAACAAGTCCAAAAGCTGCGGGAGTGTTGTTTACGCCACTGGTTTTTACTTTATAATAACGTAAAATTGAAAAAGTGAAATTTTTTTTAAATTATGATTATTAATTTATCGAAAACTAGAAAAATTGCAAATCAAACATTGAAGAAACGAAAAATTGAAAAATCATGAAAATGAAAAATCTAAAATAGAAAAAACGAAAAGTAAAACATTTGAAAGTTGAAAAATCTAAAAACTGAAAAATTAAAAAATGAAAACTCGGAGAATGGCATATCGTAAAGATGAAGAAACAATAAAAAAACCGAAAAATTCCAAATCAAAAAAATGAAAAAATAAAAACGTGAAAACTCAAATCAAAAAATTGCAAAATGTAAAGATTGAAAAATTCAATAGTTACAAGATTGAAAAATTTAACTTAAAAACTCGAAAAATTTTAAATCAGAAAACTGAAGAAACAAAAAAATTAAAAACTGAAAAATTGGAGCAAATAATTTTTATAATTTTCTAAAAGTGTGTCGAAATAAGCGTCGGCCAATTTTTTTTTCCTAAAACTTATCCACTTGTGACGCTACGATTTTTTGACAATTATTTGACGAAATTTTGGATCATAAATTGCCGTCATGACTCATCGTTTGCCCTTCCCTATTTCTGTTTTGTCTAGATATACTAATCACCATGTACCACTTGTAATTACATTCGTCTTAATATTGTTATGTTTTTTGAATATTAATTTTCTGTAATGCGTACCCAAGGGCTTACACCCCTCATAACGACGTCATAAAATTTGAGTATACACAAAAACAACATTCCGAGTTAGTTTCGTCGATCCGCCCCCCACTTACCGAGATGACCTTCTTGTAGATCTGCGCCGGCCCCGTACATTCCGAATACGGGTACTCGCTCGTCGCCATCTCCAGCATGCACATCCCGAACGCATAAACGTCGACCCCCTCATCGTAATGCTCCTCGTACATCTCCGGCGCCATAAATTCGGGCGTGCCGATCACCTAAAACCGTCTCTAGATCAAACCTCACTTTCCTCGTCCACGCAACCCTTACAGATTTGGCAAAACTGCGATTCTTCAAAGTGGCCAAACCCAAATCACCGATCTTGACTAAACCGGTAGTGCCCGTGATAAAAATATTATCACACTTCAAATCCCTATGGATGATCGGTGGCGACCTCGAATGCAAAAAAGCCAAACCTTTCAATATCTGCCTACACCACGACTTTAACACCTTCGGATTGATCTTCTTGAACCGGCGCAAGTACGTCTTCAACGTGCCGCTCAGCATCAGCTCGGTTACCAAAACGATATTCTTCTTTTTCGTACCTGTGGACTCCCAGTAGTTGTAGAAGCGCACGATGTTCGGATGCTGGAGCTTCTTCAGCATCTCGGCCTCCTCGCGGAAGCGCAACCGCTCGGCCTTGTTCAGCTTCTTCTCCTGGAGCTCGCACCAGGCCACCGCGACGCCGGTCTGCGTGTCCAGGCCCCGGTACACCGTCTTGAACGACCCCCGCCCGATCTCCTCCTCGTACTTGAAGAACCTGCCGTCGGGCGACACCGCGATCGGCCGGTACACGTCGTCGTCGTCCTCCTTCGGCCGACTCAAGTCGACCACCAGCGGCTTCTCGATGTCGGCGCTGTTCTCCGCGTTCTCGTCGTTGCGGTGGAGCTCGTCGATGGCCTGCTCCGTGATCTCCGTCATCTCCGTGCTCACGAACAGGTTCTTCGGGATGTTGTAGCGCGTCCCCACCTCGAGCAGCCGCTTGTCGTTCGCCGCCTCCGGCTCATCCTCGGCGTTCGAGTCGGTCTCGACGGGGATGAGGCACGTGACGCCGCCGTGCTTCACCGACTTCTTGTTGCGGAACTTCTCGCTGATGATGCGGTCCACGTTGTCGGAGAGCTCGGTGATCACCTGGCCGGCGGCGAGGGCTGAGTCGGGGATCTCGGAGCAGGAGTCGTGGTACTCCTCGTACTCTTCGACGAAGTTCCGGGCGTCGAGGAGGTTGTCGGTGGACGGGGTGTGCGAGATTATCTTCGGGGAGAGGATGTCGCCGGTGATGCAGCGGAGCCGGTTGGCGTAGGTGAGGTCCGCGGAGAGCTTCTTCCGGGTGCTCTTCTCGACCTGGAGGCCGTTCTTTTGGATTATCTGGAAGGCCATGTCGATGATGCCGTCGATTATTTGGGAGATGTCGGAACGGAAGTCGCTGCTGATGCGGATGGGTATGTCTACGAACAAGAAGCTTTAAAACTAACACAGTTTGACACACTTTCGCCGGAAATGAATACAACCAAACTAAATTTTAAAATCACCAACAAACGTTAACTCTACCGCGACATTTGTGACTCTGGACCTCAGAAGCATCGGTTTGGGTGTTTTCACAAAACCTAGCAAAATTACAGTCATTAACGTTAGAGATAACGACTTAAGAGGCATTTAAGATGCATGTACTTAGTGCTTCTTACCACGCCCTCCATAAGAAAGAACACAGACAGGCAGAGGTGATTTTGGACTTCTTATACACTTTAAACTGTTATTTTTTATAACTCTAGATCTCAGTGACATCAATTTATACTTCAAATTGATAAAACGATTAATTTCAAGCAGAAACTTGTCTTACGTACATACAAAAAAAAGACACAATTGTTCTATAGTGACTTCGAAAACCGGAACCTACTATAGCCCAAAGTAAAAAAAAATACGTATTTCTCACCTAAGTGTTAACATTGGCTTCAACACACGTTACATTTTACACACCAAACAAAAAAAAACTACCGTACGCACTTCATGCAAGTGATGATTTAATCAAAACCCTCTATCATCAATTCACTGAAGATCTTATCTATTGTATAGAAAGATAAATGAAACTTTCTTGTTAAAAATAACAACTGAGAAAATACCACATGATTAACTTTGATATAAAAAAACAATTGCGCCATTTAACTTCCGCAAATTATCAACAAACTTGAACAAAAAAAATCTACGTTACTTTCTTTTAATATCTCGTTAATGACGCTTAATACCGACACTCGAAAGAGCCGCAGTTATCTTTGGCTAAAATTAAAACATGGATTAAAAAATTTCTGACATACCTTTGGGCTTGTCAATCTTGCGAATATCCTCATCTTCGTTAAATAGTTGAACATTGCAAAATCTCTTCCTAAACGGCGCTAGATTTTCGATAATATTGTCATACGGAATAGACGAACAGCTGTGCGTCCTGACTTTCTTCTCATCGTTCATCTCCCTCTCATCAATCTTCGTAAACGTGTATCTGGAATGATAACAAATTAATCGCTAATTTTGGGATTGTAATGACTACTAAATATTTGAAAAAGATGTTGAACCACAAATATGTTCATGCATATTTTGAGTGTAAAAACTGAAGTTTTTGAAAACGAATTTTTCATGATGTGATTTTCGATAAAATTATATTTTCCGGTTTTAAGGATCTGCCATATACGTAGTATTATGTTATCTTCACCTCTTTAACTACACTTTGGTGTTCTTCAAGTATCCGTTATCGGTCCTAATCTATTTTTAATTTATGTTAACGACATATTTACTGCGGTTCAATCTCGTGATTTAATTGTTTTCGTTGCCGATTTCTTATTTTTCATCAAATAAAGAGGAACTCGTAAGAACAACGTCGATTGTGCTTAGTTTTCATTTTCGCTAATTCGTTTCGCTTATTGTTTTTCCAATTTTCGACAAAAAACAGTTTTTTGCTACATCTCGACCCTGTTTCAGAATTTTATAAAAAATACGAGAGTCGGACATCCATAAATCGAATCTTCGAGGAACCCTAGTACTCTCGAGTAAAAGAAACTTCGATTAAACAAAATTAAAAAATTGTACACTAAAAAACAAGTTTCATAAGACGTTTTTTTTGAGTACGAATCCCAAAATTAGAAAACGAGTCACCAGACGAGGGATGAATGCCCTAAAATGTCTTACGAAACGCGTATTTTAGACTATTTTGCCTAGTTCGGACCTTTTTTATTCTTATTTTTCCATTTTAAAACAAAAATTGGGATTTTTTAAATTGTAGGGAATTTGGACGTGGTTGGTACGACAAATGTCAGATTTAACATTTGACGTTTAAATTTTCACATAGCAGTAAAATGGGTCATTTTCAGCAAAAATTATGACAAGACACTAGTAAGATAACTACCTATATTGTAAAGGCTAAATAATAAGTGGTCAAAAGGTTTTTCGACAGAACTTCCCTCCCTTCTGAAGTACAGTCCAACAAATACAGCTTCTGGGAAAAATTATAAAATGTCATTTTGCGGAATTTTACTATTTCGTAATAACCTCTATAGAGTAAAAACTTTCGCCTTCTTAAAAAATGACACTTGAATCCCCTGAGAAGGTTTCACCTTATTTAAAAAAGGACATTGGGACCCCAGAGAAAGTTTCACATTCTTAAGAAAAAGACATTTGGGGCCCCCGAGAAGGTTTCACATTCTTAAAAAAACACGGTTGGAACCCCCAAGAAGCTTTCACATTTAAAAAAAAAACAATTGGGACCCCCGAAAAGGTTTCACATTCTTGAAAGAATACATTTAAAAAGACAGCTAGGACCCCCGAGAAGATTTCACATTAAAAAAAAGAAGACATTTAGGCCCCTGAGAAGGTTTTATTTTTAAAAAAGACAGTTGAAATTCCCGAGAAGGTTCACATTCTAAAAAAAAAACATTTGGCGCCCCCGAAAAGGTTCTACATTTCTAAAAAAGATAATTGGGAAACCTGAGAACGTTTCACATTCTTAAAAGAATACATTTGGGGCCCCCGAGAAGGTTTTACGTTTTTAAAAAAGACAATTGGGACCCCCCAGAAGGTTTCACATTATAAAAAAGCCATTTGGGGCCCTTGAAAAGGTTTTACATTTTTAAAAAAGATAGTTGGGACCCCCGAGAAGGTTTCACATTCTTAAAACAATACATTTGGGGGCCCCGAGGTGTAACGTTTTTAAAAAAGACACTTGGGACCTCCGAGAAGGTTTCATATAAAAAAAAGACATTTGGCGCCCTTGAGGTTTTAGATTTTTAAAAAAAAAAAGTTGGGACCCCAAAGAAGGTTTCATATTTAAAAAAAAAGACATTTGGCGCCCCCGAGAAGACTTTACATTTTTAAAATGACAGTTGAAATCTCTGAGAAGGGTTCACATTCTAAAAAAAAAAAGCCATTTGGGGACCTTGAGAAGGTTTTACATTTTTAAAAGACAGTTGGGACCCCAGAGAAGGTTTCACATTTAAAAAAAAGTCATTTGGCGCCCTTGAGAAGGTTTTACATTTTTAAAAAAGACAGTTGGAACCCAAAAGTAGGTTTCATATTAAAAAAAAAACATTTGGCGCCCCCGAGAAGGTTTTAGATTTTTAAAAAGAGACAGTAGAAATCCATCCCCGAGAAGGGTTAACATTCTAAAAAAAAAACCATTTGGGGCCCTTGAGAAGGTTTTACATTTTTAAAAAAGATAGTTGGGACCCCCGAGAACGTTTCATATTCTTAAAACAATACATTTGGGGCTCCCGAGAAAGTTTTACGTTTTTAAAAAAGACAGTTGGGACCTCTGAGAAGGTTTCACATAAAAAAAAGACATTTGGCGCCCCCGAGGTTTTACATTGTAACAAAAAGACAGGGGGGACCTCTGAGAAGGTTTCACATTTAAAAAAAACATTTTGGGCCCCCGACAAGGTTTTACATTTTTAAAAAGATAGTTGAAATCTCTGAGAAGGGTTCACATTCTAAAAAAGAAAGCCATTTGGGGCCCTTGAGAAGGTTTTACATTTTCAAAAAAATAGTTGGGACCCCCGCGAAGGGTTCACATTCTAAAAAAGAAAGCCATTTGGGGCCCTTGAGAAGGTTTTACATTTTTAAAAAAGACAGTTGGGACCCCTGAGAAGGTTTTACATTAAAAAAAAGCCATTTGGGGCCCCTGAGAAGGTTTTACATATAAGCCATGATCCGTGATCTGATACACATTCTAACCGATTTCGACCATAATTTCTTGCTGTTTCAACTTTCGAATTCTCAGTTTTTCGAAATTTTAGTTTGGGGACTTTTCAGTTTACTCCTATTTATTATTCAATTTTTGGATTTTACAACTTCTCAATTTTTCAATTTCTCGGTTTTCAGTTTTTCTCTTCAATTTTACGATTTTTAAATATTTCGATTTATAAACTCTTTATTTGTCGATTTTTCAATTGATTGATTTTTCAGGTTTTCTGGTTTTTCAATTTTTCAATTTTTTCAGGTTCCGATTTTTTAACTTCACTTTTTTTATTTTTCGATTTCTCAATTTTTCAAATTTTTAATTTCTCAGTTTTTGGACTTTTCAGTTTTGGGATTTTTCAGTTTACTTATTATTCAATTTTTCGTTCTTACGATTTTGCAGGTTTTTGATTTTTCAATTTTTCGATTTTTTTAAGGTTTCGATATTTCGACTTCACTTTCTTGATTTTGCGATTTCTCAATTTTTCGATTCTTTAGGTTCTCAGTTTGTCGATATTTCAGTTTTGGGATTTTTCAATATTTCTGTTCTTCGACTTTTCCATTTTTGACTTCTGGATTTTTCGATGTGATGACTTTTTACTTTTTCGATTTTTAAATTTTAGATTTCTCAATTTTTTGGTACATATTTTATTTTTTCAATATTTAAAATTTTAGATTTTTCGATTTTTCATTTCAGCTCTTCCATCTTTCAATTTTTCAAATATTTCGATTTTTCGACTTCCCGGTTTTAGATTTTCTGTTTTTCAATTGTCGTTTTTACAATTTTTCGATTTTTAAATTTTAGATTTTTCAGTTTTTTTTAAATTTTTGATTTTTCGATTTTTCATTTCAGTTCTTCGATATTTCCGTTTTTCATGTTCTCAAATTTTTCAAATGTTTTGATTTCTTAATCTATCGATTTTTCGACTTCCCGGTTTTTTCAAATTTTCGATTTTTCAAATTTGGCATTTATAAACTGTCAATTTTTCGATTTTACAATTAATCGATGTTTTGATTTTCCCATTTCTTGACTTTCGAGAGTTTCGATATTCCTGTCCCTCAATTCTTTAATTATTCGATTTTTTATTTTTTTAAGGTTTCGATTTTTCGACTTCACTTTTTGGATTTTTCAATTGCTCAATTTTTCGACTTTTTGGATATTTCAGTTTTCGGATTTTTCAGGTTATTAGATTCTCAGTTTATCTTTCATTTTTCAGTTTTTCGATATCTCAGTTTTCAGATTTTTCAATATCCCGATTCTTCGACTTTTCGATTTTAAATTTTAGATTTTTTAATTTTTAAAATTTTAGATTTTTCGATTTCTCCATTTTTCAGTCCAGTTCTTCGATATTTGAATTTTTCAAATGTTTTGATTTCTTAATCTATCGATTTTTCGACTTCTCAGTTTTAGATTTTCTGTTTTTCAATTGTCATTTTGTCAAATTTTCGATTTTTTAATTTTTCAAATTTGACTTTCATAAACTCTCAATTTTTCGATTTTTCAATTAATCGATGTTTTGATTTTCCCATTTCTTGACCTTCGAGTGTTTCGATTTTCCTGTTCTTCAATTCTTTAATTTTTTAAGGTTTCTATTTTTCGACTTCAGTTTTTTGATTTTTCGATTTTTCAGTTTTTAGATATTTCAGTTTCAGGATTTTTCAATTTTTGGACTTTTAAATTTTAGATTTTTCAATCTTTTGATATTTTAATTTTTCAATATTTCTTAATCTTTCGATTTTTCGACTTCCTGGTTTTAGATGTTCTGTTTTTCAATTTTTTATGTAGGCCTATTTCGGTTTCTCAGTTTTTCTAGTTTTCCATTTTTTCGTTTTTTGATTTTTCCGCTTTTCCAAGTTTTCAACTTTTAACTTTTTGTTTGTCGATTTCTCTATTTTTCGATTTTTCGACTTCATCACTTTTCGATTTCTCGTTCTTTTGATCTTTCAATCTCTCAATTTTTCAATTTTTCGAATTTTTAAGTTTTTTGACTTCTCGATTTATCGAGATTTGGATTTTTCGATATTTTGATTGTCAATTTCTCAATTTATAAATTTTTCGACTCCACGATTTCTTGATTTTTGATTTTTCGATTTCCAGTTTTTCGATGTTTCCATTTTTCGTTATTTGGTTTTTAAATTTTCGATTTTTGAATTTTACATTTTTTCGATTTTCTGATGTTTCATTTTTCGATTTTCAGTTCTTCGATATTTCGATTTTTCAATGTTTCAGTTTTCCGGTTTTTTAAGGTTTCGATTATTAGATTTCACGAATTTTCGATTATTTTAATTTTTATTTTTTTTTCTCACTGTTAATATCATCCAGTGTATCGAAAACAACCACAAAAATTGTCACTAAAAACATTTAAAAATTCATGCAAAAAAGAACAGTGTTTCCAAAACATTTTCCCGAAAAAAATCCATTGGGTTATTACCATTTCAACAATATTCTTAGTTTAAGACGTTTTGCTAGTATAAAACACAAATAAAGAATTAATTCTTAGTTAAACAAAATACGTAAAATCATCTAAATATGTGCCAAAAATATTCACTTAGTCGTTATAAAAACCGACCAATGAAATTATAGCCCAAACGAACCAAATCGCTTCTGAACGCTTAGAGTCGACATTGGCCTGAACGCGGTCTGGTCTGTAGATCAAACAAGTTCTGAGTTTTCAACATATTATAAGATCGTAAAAAATTTCATCAAATAAAATTTAACCACATGTATAATACTAGCATATATCAATACCAATACTGTAAGAAAATATGTCAGCAAACACTTATTTTGCTAAATTTATGTAACAAAAGCGTTAATACCTATCCAACGAATATTTAAAATTGTCTCCTCATCAAATTTTTCCAAGTACAAAAAGTAATTGTCAAAGTAATGAACTTTTTTCGGCCACAGCAAAAACTTTTGCAGCCTAGGCAATAAAATGGGACTTTGCATTTACTAATTGTCATAACAGAAACATGAACAATCCGATTCTTACCTATTCAAGCTCGTCGTGGTCGTGACCACGTTGGTGGAGACGACGTCCGTGGTGACCGTCCTCACCGTCGTCACCACCTCCCTCTTGTCCTCGTCGTTGCTCGCGGCCTTCTTCTCCTTCTTGCTCTTCTTCTTCCCGCCGACCGGCTTGGCCTTGGGCTTCGGCTTCGCCTTCTTGGCGCGCTCGTCGTCGACGACATGGTAGCCCTTGTTGTTGGTGATGATGTCCGGGGACGTGGAAGTTTGATCGATGTACTCTATACTGTCGAATTTGCCGAGGTCGGCGGGGGCTAGCGAGCTCTTACTGCTGGTATTTTGGTTTTGGTTGTGGCAAGTCTGGCTTCGAGCAGGGGAGGAGGATCCGCAAGCCGGGGAGTCTTGCGTAGCCTCCTCCCCCACGTCGCAAGGTTTCGTCGATGCGTTCGATAGTGTCCGCTTATGGCTGGCCGGTTTCGAGTGCCTGGTCAACGATTTCGTCCAACCATGGAAGCTTTTCGTGCTACTTTTACTGGTCGTGCTTGCCTCGCTGCCTTTGCGTGGAATGGTCGGACTATTGGTACTGGAAACAGGGGCGGTGAGTGGCGGCGGGAGCGGCGCGCGGTGTATAATGCTACTACAAGGGGTGCGAATGACATACATACAGAATTTTTTTTAGTTTCTACAATTTTGATTTCTTCCAAGAATCTGAATACATATTGCAAATTTTAGTTAACGTTGCAATCTTAAAATACTTCTAGAATTTCGCAGTAATCTATCCAAGGTCTAATAAATTCGTCAGCAAACAAACACTAGGAAAAGGGAACTACTTTTTCATATTCTAGAAATTACGAAACAAATAGGATGTTCGGAGACTAATAAGAATCAAGCTTGTGTGAGTAAGTAGCACCTTGGAACGTGTTTTTTCTCAATATCAAATGATAAACTGGTCATGAATCAATCTTTGATAAAAACGGAAAACTAAAACACTTGAATAAGAACAAACTCTAAACATTCACCCACAAAACTCAACAGACTTTATAATTGTACCAGTGTGTCATTTTATAGCTTCTAGATAAGTTAACTTCATAATTAAGGTTTCATTTCCAAAAATATCACTAATAAGGAATGTCTGGTGAAGATATGATACTTATAAATATTTTTATTTTCTTACTAAAGAAAAATCACAGAATGGGTTTATTAGTCACATTTTTTTGTATGAAACATTTTGTGAAAATATTAAATCTGACGTGATCAGTCCACACATACCAATGTTACAAAGCTCACATGAATCACCTAGTGCAATAATCCATTCAGCGATGAGTAATAGATCAAATTACAAATAAACAGTAGACACTTTTTAAACAAAAACCGGCGCCCCGATATAAATAAATAAACACAAAGATAAACCAAATATACTTAAGTAAGTGAGTAAACAAACAATTAAGTAGTAATTACCACTCCTACAGTAATAATTCTGTTTTGTTTTGCGGGAACACAAACAACACATGCAAAAACAATATTTGAATCAAATATGAATTAGCATCTGGCTGTTGTTTTCTGCATTGATTACGCAGAACTTTCACGATAAGATTGTTACAGTTTGGCTTAAATCGTTTTTTATTATCTCTTATTGCCGCCTTGTAGAAGCAAGTATACTTATATAAACAACTAAAACATATATAAAAAAAAGAAAAGAGACAATCTTTTCTTTTTTATTTTTGCTTACTGTTCTTGCTCAAATTTCGGGCAAGATTGCCCCGTGGTTCTATTTTTGTCCGGATGGCAAGCCTGACAGCGACTCGCTCTTAACGATCGTGCATTGGCCGAGCTTCCTTGTCCAATGTCATTTCGTAAGAAGTTCGGTTGGTAACGTTTGTAATCTTCAAATTCCAGTCTGACCAATAAAATCACTCGGTTCGAGAGAAACCCGCCTTATGTCCATCAAACACCAATGAAAACTTGCGAATATTTTCTTACTTAATAAACGATACAAACACGAATTCCGGTCTCGAATTAAACTAGAGTGAGTATTCAGTCTTGTCGATAAAACAAATCTGGAAAGAGACAGCCGGATTAATTCGTTGCGGTTTTTGCGACCCCTGTGAAAAAATTTCACGGTACGCCTATGGAGGACATATGTCAAATAATTTCTAGACTTTTTTCTTGGCCATGAAAAGTGATTTTATTATAGCAATCGATCCACTTACTTTTCGACGAGATTTCCGTCTCGAATACCGCTACAGTCGATTAAATTCGACTTTATTTTTGACTATTTCATTGAAACGCACACGCCAATTTCGCCAATTTTTTCGATGAAAGAGTCGACATTTCAATTGAAAAAGCACATGAAACTAATCGATTTTGTGAGAGGTATCCTGATTCAGCAGTATTACACTAAATTAACGCTAAATTTCGACAAAAACTTACATTTTTTAATGAAAATTGACAACACCCTCAATAACGTAAGAACACTTCACATTTGGCCGACAGATAGCGCTGCGGTTTATTGACGTTTGACACCTGATCAAAATCCCCTAGATGCGCCCCATAACCTCAAACCTCCGCGCAGAGTGTGCAAGTATTTCGAATCTATGCACGAAAATGAATCTTCTCGATGGACTTTTTCGGAAATTCCACGACCACGACCACTACGGAATCACCAGAACCGGACCAGCATCGTGATTACAAGTTCCTCATCGTCCCCTTGGTAGTGGTGTTTGTCATTTTGGTCTTGTCAGCCCTCGTGAGAGCCCCATTTGGAGTAATTTCGCCCGGCTAACGTGCATGTTGTAGGTGTATCTAATGGCGCGGCGGAAACGGCGACTTGACGTCCTAAGACACAGCCTAATGGTATTGTATGAGTTTGACTCAAATGAACAGGAGTGGGAGTCTTTGAACAGCTACGATAATCCCAACTATACCGAAATTAATAACACTGCTGTCTAGACAAATTTATTTATTTATTTCATTCATTGTACAGTATTAATCGCTATCATAATCGCTGCTAATACAGTATTTTTTAAACGTATTTTCAAATAAATCATTTTCAGTCATTTCATTCACGAAAAAACTGCAATTGTCATTCTCCTTGTTATCTAATCTCGTTACTAATTTATCGAGATTTTCGGGTATGTATGACGGCAATTTCCTATTTATTATGTCATCAACAATATCTGATACCTCTAAATCGTTTTCATCTCCAAAATTTGATTGATCCATATTAAATGAAAAATTCTGAGTTCTCTTTGGAGTTGACGCTGTCATCAAAAAAGAATCCAAAGTGTGTACTTTTTTCAATTTCTTTTTTTTACTGGGGCCACTGATTGACACGTTTTTCAATAAGTTATCAATTTCGTCAACAGATGGCTTCTTTTTCTTCCTAGTTTTAGGTTTTTTGGAATCCTCAAACTCCTTGACTAGCTCTGGGTATGCGCTTTCCACTATATTTTGTGGCTCTATTGTAGACCACAGCTTTTCTAAATCTCCATAATCTGACAGCTGCTCTTCTGGGATTAAGTCGCTAAATTGATTATATTTATCTTCCCAGACGATCTCATAACTTGCAACACCTTAAATACTCAATCAGTATTTTTAAGCTTGCTATTATCGTATTACCTTTAGGATTGCGACGCTTTTTAATAAACTTTGGAGTCACAACTCCTGTTGTATTTTTAGTTTGGTTGTGATGAAGCAGCTGCCACCTTGTTAAAACTGGGAAAAATTTTTCAAAGCTGTAGATTTCCTCCCAAGTGAGATATTTCACTGTGAATTTCTATGACAAAATTTTTTGAAATGTTTCAGCTGTAAACTTACAACAAAATTAATTAAATCTGGCTTGTTCCATTGTAAATTCAGTTCTGAAATGTTGCTGTTTTTGGTTAAAAATTCGCTAATAAGGACCTCGTCGGGGAAATTTGGGTCCTTTAACGCCTTACTCCTCATGTTTAGTTCATTTTTAATTTCCAACCTTTCAGCTTTAAATTTACTGGAATCGCAGCCTTGGTTGGTTCCACACTGGAAACATCCTTAAAAAAATAATTACAACAATGTGTTTCTTTGTTGTTTGAAATGGTACCTTTTTTGGTGTGACTTTGAACCTTCCCCAAGTGTCCACAAGACGTACAAAGACTCTTATCAGAAATTTTTCTTTCCATTTTTTCATACAATGTATCATTTTTCCACGAGCGCAGTCGCCCCAGAATTTCATTGTCGCTCACAATGTCAAACAATTTCGTCACTGAATCCTTCCCGATTCCGTAAACCCCCTCACAATAATCGCTTCCACACAACAACGCCAATGCGATTATTTTATTCCTACCAAAATCTACCCTTCATTATTAAAACTTGCACGAAATACACTCACCTAAACTCTCTTTTGCTCTATTTATATCATACACATCCACTGAGCCCCCTTTCGCCGCATGATTCCCCTGCTGCGAAATCGAGAAATTTTTATAAACCACGTGCGCCCCATACGCAAAACAATCCGAGTCCTGGCTGATAATCCCATCAACGAGCTACAACCCACAATTAGATACACCCAAACCCGACTTCAACTCACCCCATCTTCATTCAAATGCGCACACAGCGCCTCAGCTTCGCCCTCCCCTTTCACACACGCTATCCCCATCAGCCTCAGCATTTCCTCGCACTGCTTCAACGTGTGGTTAAACCTGGAACGGTCCTTTCCGGTTTTCACACCATCGGTCTTGGGTTTTTGCCCCTTGAACTGCACAGCGTTGCGAGCGGCGATGGTTTTGTATTTGAGCTCGGGGGCGCGGCCTTCCAGCACGAAGACCACGTGTACCCCCATCAGGAGGAGATAGCACGTCCGGAAGTACAAGTTTCTGTGAAAATTTTTAATTATTAGGGAAACGAAAACGGGCGTTACCTAACCTCAAATACATTCGCGGTTGGACTGTGTATTCGGTGATGTTTTGCGCTTCGCAGACCCAACAAGACAAGTCAATGGCGACTTTTTTGCCCTGGAGCTCGTACAGGGGTTTGCGTTCGCAAAAGGGGGCTAAAATTGTCCACAGATCTTTCACACCCATTTTCGAATTCAAACACACAGTTTAGGGATTTTGGTTTTACACTAGTGTGTGACAATTGACGTGTTTGACATTAAAGAATCCAAACATTGGGCCCCCTTCGACACTGTTTTCACAATGGAAGCCCTAAAAAAACATGCCGGAAGATAGGTTTTGGTTAACCAAGCGTCTTATTGTGATTGTTTTGTTTCTGTATTTTTTGTACGTTTGGAAGGAGCTGTGGGGGTGATGTCGAAGCACCGGGTGTCGTACTTTTTCAACCCCGACGTGGGTAACTTCCACTATGGTACGGGGCACCCCATGAAGCCGCACCGACTCTCGGTTATTCATAGTCTGGTTTTAAACTACGGTTTACACAAGCAGATGCAAATTTATCGACCGTATAAAGCTAGTGCTCATGACATGTGCCGGTTCCACTCGGACGAATACATAGGTGAGAATTAGGGTCACGCTAACTTCAATAATCCACCTCGTTCCAGATTTTCTCCAGAAAGTGACCCCTCAAAACATCCAAGCTTTCACTAAGCACTTGAGTCATTACAACGTGGGCGACGATTGTCCGGTTTTCTGGGGGCTGTTCGACTTCTGTTCCATGTACACAGGGGCGTCGTTGGAGGGCGCAATGAAACTCAACCACAACCACTGCGATATTGCGATCAACTGGTCAGGGGGGCTGCACCACGCCAAAAAATTCGAAGCCAGCGGCTTCTGCTACGTCAACGACATCGTAATCGGAATTTTAGAATTATTAAAATACCACGCACGAGTTTTATACATCGACATTGACGTCCACCACGGAGACGGTGTCCAGGAGGCTTTTTATCTGACTGATCGAGTGATGACGGTCAGTTTTCACAAATACGGCAACTATTTTTTCCCAGGGACTGGCGATATGTATGAAGTAGGGGCTGAAAGTGGGCGCTACTACTCGGTAAATGTACCGTTAAAAGAAGGCATTGACGATGCTAGCTACTGGATGGTGTTCAAACCGGTTATTTCGAGTGTCATGGAATTTTTTCAACCCACAGCGATTGTTCTACAATGTGGGGCCGATTCCCTTGCAAATGACCGTTTGGGGTGCTTTTCTTTGAGCACGAAAGGTCACGGGGAATGTGTTAAGTTCGTTAAGAGTCTCAATGTGCCCACTTTGGTGGTAGGGGGCGGCGGATACACTCTACGGAATGTTGCTCGGTGTTGGACTTATGAAACTTCACTGCTGGTTGATGAGCAAATTTCGAATGAGCTGCCGTACACTGAGTACTTGGAGTTTTTCGCCCCCGATTTTACGCTACATCCGGAGGTTGTGACGAGGCAGGAGAATGCCAATAGTCGACAGTATTTAGAAGCCATCACGAAGTAAGTGGTTTTTTTGTGAAAATTGGGTCATAATTGAGTTGTTCAAGGTTCGTTTGCGACAATTTAAAAATGTGTCAACACTCTCCAAGTGTCCAAATGCACGACGTTCCTGGAGATGCCATTCCAGAAGAAGATAAAATTAAAGAGGAAGATGATCCAGATGTCCGGATCAGTCAGGATTTGGAGGATAAGATGGTGGACGCGAAGAATGAGTTCTACGATGGCGATAAGGATAATGATAAGGAAGATATGGAGACTTAGTTTTTATAAGTTTTAAGTAATAAAATTTAATTTACATTTGTGGCTTCCCATTGGTGCGAAGTTTGCCGAAATTTGCCGATTGATTTTTTCCCGTCGTCTGTCTGCTATGTCCGTCAGTCTGTCTGTATTTCTTCAGTGTAGCGATTATGATCATAGTCTTTCCATAAATCGATTTTAAATTAAATTTAAAGCGAAAAATATTGTTGAGACGACAGTAGTCGATCTTTGACGGAAATTTCCGATCATCGTTTAGTCCAAAAAAAATACTTTTTTGAAAATGAGTGGGGGTTTAGTGCCTAGTAGAAGCACGGTTTACATTTCTAATATCCCGTACGAGCTAAAAAACAACGATTTACACAAGCTTTTTGAGAAATTTGGTAAAATTGTCAAGTGAGTAAAAGTGAGGTTATGTTATTTTTTTTTCAAAAATGTTTTTCCAGAGTTACGGTTTTAAAAGACAGAGAGACCAGAAAGAGCAAAGGAGTGGCATTTATCCTTTTTTTGAAAACCGAAGACGCAAAAAAATGCGTGGAAGACACAAACTTAAAAGAAGTGAGTTTTCACTTTTTTTTTCAAAATTCGTGTCTAGAATTTGATTTACTTGTAGATGTTTGGACGGACTGTTAAAGCGAGCATAGCGAAGGATAACGGCAGGACTACCGAGTTCATCCGGCGCAGAGAATATCCAGACAAAACTAAATGTTACGAGTGTGGTGAATACGGACACTTGAGTTACAAGTGCTCCAAAAATGCACTAGGAGAGCGCGACGCCCCAGCTAAAAAAGTCAGAAAGCGAAAAAAGAAAGAACCTACGTCTTTAACCCAGGTAACTTCAAACAATGCAGCTACAAAAATGAAAAATTAAAAATTGCAGGAACAAAAAGACTATTTTGATAGTTCGGAGTCTGACAATGATCAGCATAAAGAAGACGATGAGACTCTAAGTGCCGCTATCGCACATGAGCAAGAAAAACAAGCTCTGGAGGATTATCGGTATCGAGTGGCCACTGGCAACTATGAAGACGCTACAGCTGATGAAGGCCCCCCTAAAAAACTAATAAAGAAGAGTAGTTACTTCAGCGACGAAGAAGAAAGCGATTGATTGTAAATTATTGTAAATAAATAAAAAACTGAAAAGTCAAATCTGTCATAAATCTAATCTAGGGAGTTTTGGTAATTGCATGGTAACTTTCGTGTCGCCACGTTGGTCACAGTCTTTCTGTCAGTGACATTATCGGAACGTGTCGGAATAATTCAGACACGTTTGTTATCTTTTAATTTTAGACTAATCTGTAAGTATAGACACAAAATTGTCCCTTTAAACAGTCAAAGGGACACAAGTATACATTATGTAAGTGATATTTTAAGTGACCGTTGTTTACAAAGTGTGTTTTTTTGTAGCCCCACAATGGCGATTCGTCCCGTCTATAGGCCCCAAATCGTCAAGAAACGTACGAAGAAGTTCATTAGGCACCAGTCGGACCGATATGGCAAACTCAAGGTATTTTGGTAAATAAACATCGTACAATTGTTAACCTCAATTTTTAGCGCAACTGGCGTAAACCCAAAGGTATTGACAACAGAGTCCGCAGGCGCTTCAAGGGGCAATTTTTGATGCCCAACATTGGGTACGGCTCAAACTCAAAAACGAAGCACATGCTCCCAACTGGCTTCCGTAAAGTCTTGGTACACAATGTTAAGGTAATTTGGATTACAGTCAGACTACTTTTTTTTAACTAACATGATGTTTTATGGTAATTTGCGACTGAAAAGTCATGTCGAGAATTTTGACTGAGTAACTTAAAAGCGATTAAGCATTGTTAAATGAGTGCAGCAGGATATTGATGGTCATTTTTCAGGAATTGGAAGTCCTTTTGATGCAGAACCGTAAATATTGCGCTGAAATTGCCCACGGAGTGTCGTCCAAAAAGCGCAAGGAAATCGTAGAAAGGGCCCAACAGCTGTCAATCAGGGTTACGAACGGACACGCCAGGCTGCGTAGCCAGGAAAATGAATAAGTTGTAAACTTAATAAAAACGTTTTCATAACTGTGCATATTTTATTATTGTAGTTGTTGAGTGTTTTTTTTATTGGGTTGGCAATTGCGGGACGACTATTTTTCACCTTTTTCAATTAATTTCTTAAGGACGTGATGTTTGAAGTCAGGAGAAAGTTATAAATTATAAAACGTTTGAAACAAATAAATAATGACTGATTTATTTTGAGTGGGTGTTACGAGATAAAACGAACTTGTTTGAATGGTCTAGTTGCCTGTGAAATTGACATTTAATGGTGACAAATGACGGATTAATAGCCGTTTTTTCGAATTTCGTGGGGCGGTGGTGTCACGGTCCGGTTTGAATTTTTTGCGTGTGGTGTGAGCAGGCGGCGGCGGCGTCAAAACAATAAAATGTAAACAATTGCCGTCGGTGGTGGGGATTTCCTTCCGTGTGCGATTTTGGGCGGAGGCCGGTGCGAAGGGCTCCGGGGGCGATTGGGCACGCTTTCGTCCGTTTTCCCACAATAAATTAGCGTCCCTGTCGTGAAAAAACGAAATTCAAAAGAAAAACCGTTGGCCAAAGAGAAGGACGGTGTTTTGTTTATTTTGTGTTTGGAGCGTTCCGATTGGCCGTTCGGTTTTGGCGGGTACCTACAGCGCCTCCACCGGAACGCTTTCGAGCTAGAATCACAGCTCTCTGAAGTCTTGTTTAGGTAAGTCGATTTTATTCCCCTGTTAAAAATTAATATAAATTTGTAGAATTTTTCTACCAAACTAGATAAATCATATAAAAATAATAGTTTTTTCGTGTGAATTTACCGCGTTTTTGTTTTTCGCGTACGGTTCGTAGTATCAGAGCAATTAATTCCCGAGTCGGATTTTATCGAATAATTCGCCAGCCATGGCCGCTTCCATTTCTGCAACGAAGCTGGGCTTCTCGGGTTTTGCACTTCGAAAATTATTTTCTCGCGTTTTACGAGGCGGAACTGGCGGATTCGTGCACGGAATTAAAGGAGATTTTTGGCTGTTTCGGAGTGGACTCGTGCTCGCCGCCCCCGGCGGCTATTAACATTGGAAAATATTTGGGTGTTGCCGAGAATTTTAATATTATATTATTTTGAGTATGGCGCGCGCGGGTCGACACTCTTTCGAATGCCGACGTCTTTTGTTCGAAGATTTCACCCACAAGGGGGCCCCTGGTGGCCTCTGGGGCGGCAAAACGGCTTTTACGCGCCAAAACTCGACGAAATGACGCCAGCGGGGGTCGGGGCACAGCCACCTAAATTCTCTCGACAATAATCATAATAATAACGCAAAAATTACTCTTTGTTCGTGTTACTGATGCGAAAAAAGTGAAAATGCGGAAGCATAGACCGAGTTTTTACCGGTTTTGGACGTTTTGACGCCAACATTGAAAACTTCCGGAAAGCCAGCTTTCTTCAAACATGTCGGATAAGTGACGCCTAATCGACTAATTAGATAAGGCCGAAATTGGCGCCAAAAAAACGATTTCTTTGAACAATTTTGCTTTTGCTCCAATATTTCTGGTTTTTCTTTTCAAAATCTTGTTTCGTCAAGTATGAAATAATTAACTTCCAAATTTACTGATTGAATTTAAAAATTGTGACGTCAACATTTTTGGCAACTATAGTCCTTGGTGCATATTTTAAAGAGAATTCGTTGGCACTAACAAATCGGTGACCTCACTGGCTTGTCTTTTGGAAGTCTACAAGACGTCATGCTTTTCAAAACTAACTAACACTAACAAATTGTTGACCTCACTGGCTTGTCTTTTGGAAGTCTACAAGACGTCATGCTTTTCAAAACTAACTAGAGGTTTCTAAATGTTTCTTTTTTTAATTTAAAGAACAATATAAGTGTAAGTACGTCAGTGGCGTCGTAACTTTCACGTGTAAACTGAAGATTAAAAAAAAACATTAGTTTTCAGAGCGACTTTTCAAATATCACACACAATGTCTGATGATGCTGCACCAGTGAAGCGCGGCCGCAAGGCCAACGCCGAGAAGGCTGAAAAGAACGACGCCAAAGCCGAGACCAAGAAGCGTCCAAGAAAAGTAGGTTTTTTCATTTGTGGTTGAATTCTTGATTCTATGTTGTTTGTGTAGGAGGTGGCGAAAGCCGCTGATGGCGACTCCAACGACGAGGGCTCGTCGCCGGTGAAACGGGGGCGCGGCAGACCAAAGGGCTCCACAAAAAAGAAGAGCGCACCAGCCAAGCCCAAAGCGAAAGGCACAGGACGCCGAGGCAGACCAAAAAAGGAGGAAACTAAAGACTCTGCCGACGAAGACGGCGAAGAGAACGACGCCGCCGAAGAGGACGATGACTAAGTTGAGAAAGTAATTTTTTTAAGCGCAAAAATGAGGTGACCTTTTTCATATCTTTGTTTATGGTTTGTTCTTCACTCCCACCACATTAACATTAATTTAAGTCTAAAACACACTACTAATCATTCCATTGTAAGTTGTGCCATTTCATGTTCTCTGTTTGTATTTGTATTTTTACTCTCATCACAAGGTTGCCCTTTTTACTGTAAGAATGATAATTTTAAGTTGTGTGTATGATATTAAGGAATTAGATATTTATCTGAATTAGTACGAATCTCGATGTAACCTGACGTCTCATTGGCATTCATGTAAAATTAGTCTTGTGGACGGTTACTTTGAATAATAAAGAGAGTACATTTCAATCCTTTTTATTCGAGAAGTTTTCCTAAGCCGGGCCTGTGTACCGGCTTCCACACCTTAACATAATAAAGTGAATGAAGATAGAGCGGCGACACTCGCAATTTTCGTTTGGTTCAAAGCAGTAAAAGGTGCTTCAGTGGCGTAACTTGAAAATAAAGGAACATCACATTCAATCAAAATAAACATTTTTAGAATATCTAAAATTTTAATAACTTAAAGGCAATGTGGGAACTTTATTCTACATTAAAATACATACATCATTTTTATATAAAAATACTTTTAATATGTGTTATAATTAACTTAAAAATACTAGTTAGTTAACAACTAAAATTAAAAATTGGTCGAAAATTGCTTTGACAGAACTTCCCTTATTTCTGAAGTAGACTCCAACAAATACTGCTTTAAAAATTTATTAAATTTGATTTTGCGGAATTTTATTTTTTCGTGATAACCTCTATAAAGTAAAAACAATGTAACGGGAGTTTAAATAAAAACAACGTCAAGCTGGCTTTGCTTAGTGAATGATTCGTTCACATTTCCAAAGCCAACTTGACGTTTTTATTTGAACGCTCGTTAGAAGGTACTAGTCACAGTGTAATAGAAAAAAATGTTTCACCTTCTTAAAAAAAGACAGTTGGGAGCCCCGAGAAGGTTTCAAATTTCAAAAGAAATACATTTGGGGCCCCCGAGAAGGTTGTATATTTTTAAAAGACAGCTGGGACCCCGAGGTTTCACTTAAAAAAAAGACATTTGGGGCTCCCAAAAGGATTTATATTTTTAAAAAAGAACAGTTAAGACCCTCGAGAAGGTTTCACATTCTTAAAAAAGCACATTTGGATATTTGGCGACCCCGAGAAGGTTTTAACTTTTTTAAAAAGACAACTGGGACCCTCGAGAAGGTTTTACATAAAAAAGGCATTTGGGCCCCCCGAGAAGGTTTTACATTTTCAAAAAGGCAGTTGGGAGCCCCAAGAAGATTTAATATTCTTAGAAAAAGACACCTGGGCCCTCCGAGAAGGTTTTACATTCTTAAAAAAAGACAATTGGAACCCCCGAGAGGGTTTTACATTTTAAAAAAATACAGTTGAGACTTCCGAGGTTTTAAATTAAAAAAAAAAATTGGGTTCCCCGAGAAGGTTCTACATTTTTAAAAAAGACAGATTGGACCCGCGGGAAGGTCTCACCTAAAAAAAGACATTTGGCATACCCGAAAAGGTTCTACTTAAAAAAAAAGACAGTTGGGACCCCCGAAAAAGACATTTGGGTCTCTCAGAAGGATTTATATATTTAAAAAAGAACAGTTAAGACCCTCGAGAACGTTTCACATTCTTAAAAAAGCGCATTTGGACATTTGGCGACCCCGAGAAGGTTTTAACTTTTTAAAAAAGACAACTGGGACCCTCGAGAAGGTTTTACATAAAAAAGGCATTTGGGCCCCCCGAGAAGGTTTTACATTTTCAAAAAGACAGTTGGGAGCCCCAAGAAGATTTAATATTCTTAGAAAAAGACACCTGGGCCCCCCGAGAAGGTTTTACATTCTTAAAAAAAGACAATTGGACCCCCGAGAGGGTTTTACATTTTAAAAAAATACAGTTGAGATTTCCGAGAAGGTTTCAAATTAAAAAAAAAAAATGGGGTTCTCCGAGAAGGTACTACATTTTTAAAAAAGACAGATGGGACCCCCGGGAAGGTCTCACCTAAAAATTGACATTTGGCATACCCGAGAAGGTTTTACTTAAAAAAAAAAAGACAGTTGGGACCCCCGAAAAAGACATTTGGGGCTCTCAGAAGGATTTATTGTATTTTTAAAAAAGAACAGTTAAGACCCCCGAGAAGGTTTTACATAAAAAAGGCATTTGGGGCCCCCGAGAAGGTTTTACATTTTCAAAAAGACAGTTGGAAGCCCCAAGAAGATTTAATATTCTTAGAAAACGACACCTGGGCCCCCCGAGAAAGTTTTACATTCTTAAAAAAAGACCTTTGGCGCCCCCGAGAGGGTTTTACATTTTAAAAAAATACAGTTGAAACTTCGGAGAAGGTTTCAAATTAAAAAAAAAAAATTGGGTTCCCCGAGAAGGTTCTACATTTTTAAAAAAGACAGATGGGACCCGCGGGAAGGTCTCACCTAAAAAAAGACATTTGGCATACCCGAAAAGGTTCTACTTAAAAAAAAAGACAGTTGGGACCCCCGAAAAAGACATTTGGGGCTCTCAGAAGGATTTATATATTTAAAAAAGAACAGTTAAGACCCTCGAGAACGTTTCACATTCTTAAAAAAGCGCATTTGGACATTTGGCGACCCCGAGAAGATTTTAACTTTTTAAAAAAGACAACTGGGACCCTCGAGAAGGTTTTACATAAAAAAGGCATTTGGCCTCCCCGAGAAGGTTTTACATCTTCAAAAAGACAGTTGGGAGCCCCAAGAAGATTTAATATTCTTAGAAAAAGGCACCTGGGCCCTCCGAGAAGGTTTTACATTCTTAAAAAAAGACAATTGGAACCCCCGAGAGGGTTTTACATTTTAAAAAAATACAGTTGAGACTTCCGAGAAGGTTTTAAATTAAAAAAAAAAAAAAATTGGGTTCCCCGAGAAGGTTCTACATTTTTAAAAAAGACAGATGGGATCCGCGGGAAGGTCTCACCTAAAAAAAGACATTTGGCATACCCGAGAAGGTTTTACTTAAAAAAAAAAAGACAGTTGGGACCCCCGAAAAAGACATTTGGGGCTCTCAGAAGGATTTATTGTATTTTTAAAAAAGAACAGTTAAGACCCTCGAGAAGGTTTTACATAAAAAAGGCATTTGGGTCCCCCGAGAAGGTTTTACATTTTCAAAAAGACAGTTGGAAGCCCCAAGAAGATTTAATATTCTTAGAAAACGACACCTGGGCCCCCCGAGAAAGTTTTACATTCTTAAAAAAAGACCTTTGGCGCCCCCGAGAGGGTTTTACATTTTAAAAAAATACAGTTGAAACTTCGGAGAAGGTTTCAAATTAAAAAAAAAAAATTGGGTTCCCCGAGAAGGTTCTACATTTTTAAAAAAGACAGATGGGACCCCCGGGAAAGTCTCACATAAAAAAAGACATTTGGCATACCCGAGAAGGTTTTACTTAAAAAAAAAAAGACAGTTGGGACCCCCGAAAAAGACATTTGGGGCTCTCAGAAGGATTTATATTTTTAAAAAAGAACAGTTAAGACCCTCGAGAAGGTTTCACATTCTTAAAAAAGCACATTTGCACATTTGGCGACCCCGAGAAGGTTTTAACTTTTTAAAAAAGACAACTGGGACCCTCGAGAAGGTTTTACATAAAAAAGGCATTTGGGGCCCCCGAGAAGGTTTTACATTTTCAAAAAGACAGTTGGGAGCCCCAAGAAGATTTAATATTCTTAGGAAACGACACCTGGGCCCCCCGAGAAGGTTTTACATTCTTAAAAAAAGACCTTTGGCGCCCCCGAGAGGGTTTTACATTTTTTAAAAATACAGTTGAGACTTCCGAGAATGTTTCATATTCTTAAAAGAAACATTTGGATATTTGGCGCCCCCTAGGTTTTACATTTTTAAAAAAGTCAATTATTGAGACCCTCGAGAAGGTTTCACATTCTTAAAACAAGACATGTGGATAGCTGACTCCCTCGAGAAGGTTTTACATTTTGAAAAAAGGCAATTGGGACCCCCGAGAAGGTTTCATATTAAACAAAAATTGGGTTCCCCGAGAAGGTTCTACATTTTTTAAAAAGACAGATAGGACCCCCGGGAAGGTCTCACCTAAAAAAAGACATTTGGCATACCCGAAAAGGTTCTACTTAAAAAAAAAGACAGTTGGGACCCCCGAAAAAGACATTTGGTGCTCCCAGAAGGATTTATATTTTTAAAAAAGAACAGTTAAGACCCTCGAGAAGGTTTCACATAAAAAAAAGACATTTGAGGCCACCGAGAAGGTTTTACATTTTCAAACAGACAGTTGGGAGCCCCGAGAATATTTAATATTCTTAGAAAAAGACACCTGGGGCCTCCGAGAAGGCTTTACATTCTTAAAAAAAGACAGTTGGGACCCCCGAGAAGGTTTCACATTAAAAAAAAGACATTTGAGGCTCCCAGAAGAATTTATATTTTTAAAAAAGAACAGTTAAGACCCTCGAGAAGGTTTCACATTCTTAAAAACCCACATTTGCGCATTTGGCGACCTCGAGAAGGTTTTCACTTTTTAAAAAAGACAGCTGGTCCCCTGGAGAAGGTTTTACATAAAAAAATGCATTTGGGGCTCCCGAGAAGGTTTTACATTTTCAAACAGACAGTTGGGAGCCCCGAGAATATTTAATATTCTTAGAGAAAGACACCTGGGGCCTCCGAGAAGGTTTTACGTTCTTAAAAAAAGACAGTTGGGGCCCCCGAGAGGGTTTTACATTTTTAAAAATACAGTTGGGACTTCCGAGAATATTTCACATTCTTAAAACAAGACATTTGGATAACTGGCGCCCTCGAGAAAGTTCTACATTTTTAAAAAAGACAAATGGGACCCCCGAGAAGGTCTCACATAAAAAAAGACATTTGGCATACCCGAGAAGGTTTTACTTAAAAAAAAGACAGTTTGGACCCCCGAGAAGGTTTCACATTCTTAAAAAAAGACACTTGGGCCTCCGAGAAGGTTTCGCCTTGTTTAAAACAGGAACAGTTGGGACCCGCGAGAAAGTTTCACATTCTTAAAAAAAGACAGTTGGGACCCCCGAGAAGGTTTCACATTCTTAAAGAAGACATTTGGCGCCCTCGAAAAGGTTTTACATTTTAAAAAAATACAGTTGAGAGCCCCGAGAAAATTGAATGTGAAAGGCGCCAAATGTATTTTTTATGTGAAACCTTGTCAGGGGCCCCAACTGTCTTTTTCAAAAATATAAAACTTTCTCGGGGGTCTCAACTGTCTTTTTTTAAAATGTGAAACCTTCTCGAAGGTCCCAACTGTCTTTTTTAAAAATGCAAAACCTTCTCAGGGGCACCAAAAGTATTTTTTTTAATGCGAAACCTTCTCAGGGGTCACAATTGTATTTTTTTTTATGCAAAACCTTCTCGGGGACGCAAAATGGTTTTTTTCAATGTGAAACTTTCTCCGAAGCTCTAACCGTCTTTTTTAAAAATGTAAAACCTTCTCGGGTATCCCAAATGTATTTTCTTAAGAATGTGAAACTTTCTCAGGGGTCCCATCTGTCAATTTCAAAAATGTAAAACCTTCTCAGAGGCGCCAAATGTATTTTTTTATGTGAAACCTTCTCAGGGGTCCCAACTGTTTTTTTCAAAAATGTAAAACCTTCTCGGGGGTCTCAACTGTCTTTTTTAAAAATGCAAAACCTTCTCGGGGGCACCAAATGTATATTTTTTTTAATGCTAAACCTTCTCAGGGGTCACAATTGTATTTTTTTTTTTTTAATATAAAACCTTCTCGGGGACTCAAAATGTTAAGAATGTGAAACCTTCGTATGGGGCCCACGAGAAAGTTTTATATAAAAAAAAGGCATTTGGGGCCCCCGAGAAGGTCTTACATTTTTTAAAAAGACAGCTGGGACCCCCGAGAAAGTTTCACATAAAAAAAAAACATTTGGAGCCCCCAAGGTTTTATTTTTTAAAAAGACACTTGGGGCCCCCGAGTAGGTTTCACCTTCTTTAAAAAATTGGTCGAAAGCTGTTTCGACAGAACTTCCCTCGCACCTAAAGTACCACCGGGGACACGGAAAACTGAGCAGAGCTGTCACACAATTGTCAAAATTTCTAAACCAGACCTTAGCTGTGCATAACCACGCTTTTAATGTTTGGCGTATTTCTCATTTTGACACTGACAAAGTCGAAGTTTTATTAAATTTGTTGCAATTTATATTAACATGCAGCGACTGCTCGCCGATTTATTAAAAATTGATACAGCTGGCATGTCGAACCAATTGATAGACTTCAAAGTTAATTTGACAGTTTTTTCGAAAATATCAGTCATATTGACGCTAAAGGTACATTTACATTGACATTTTTTGAAATGACAAGAACACACTGCCCAGAATTCCATGTCCCTCATAGTACAGTGAGACATATTCAGTATTTTTGCGATGAGTTTTTACTTTACAGAATTTTGTGATGACGTCATCAACATTTTCGCAAGGAGACGTATATCAATTTGGTTTGGTGCACTGTAATACTAAAAATAACAGTATTGTATTCTCAAAATTGTCTGGAAAAATGGAGTGAGCCGTTCCTGATTTAATCAATAACATAAATTGACACATTCATTAATTTTTTTGAGCCGCCTGTATAAGCAAATCTAAAAAATATGAATGCAGTGATAAATCAAAAGTAAAAACTCATCAGATTTTGCACATTTCGGGTAGACTTATTAGGAATTTAACTCGTTACTATGGAAATTTGCAATTTAACACCTTTAAATTTCACAAGTTTTTACAAGAACAATAGGGGTAAAATCAGTTTTATGTTAACAAATACTAGGCCCACCCACTCGCCCCCTACTTTCCTAGAGGATATGTCATTTGCGGAAATAAGTCTTATCTTAACAAGTACTAGCCCCACCTACTAGCTCTTTATTATCTCAGAAGGTAGTAATTGCTCAGATAAGACTGATTTTGGCAAACGCCATATACTTTGAGAAAATCGAGGGCCGGTGGGCGGGGCTTTATTTTTGAAAGAATTTCAAAGATTCTTGGACGTCCCTGGTGTTTTGTTTTTGAAAGAATTTGGAAGATTCTTAGGGATTTCTGGTATTTGATTTTGGAAAGAATTCGTCACCGTCCGGTATTTTAAGAATGTTGGGACTCCTTGGGGTTTAGTTTTTGAAAGATTGTTGGACTACCTGATGTGTTTTATTAAGAGTCTTGGGCACCTGGTGTGTTTTTTTTAAGAATTTGAAGGAATCTTGTGGACCCCTGGTGTTTTATTTTTGAAAATATTTGAAAGAATATTTTGAGTCCTTGGTGTTTTGTTTTTGAAAGAATTTGAGAGAATCTTGAAATTTAAGGGACTTATTAGTGTCAACTGGTATTTCGTTTTTGGAAGAATTTGAAAGAATCTTAGAGCCCATGCGTTTTTTTGAAAGAATTTAAAAGAATCTTGACAGCCCCTGGTGGTTTTTTATATTTTAGAATTTTAAACCCCCTGGTCTGTTTTATTTTTGAAAGAAATTGAAAGATTCTTGAAGATCCCGGGTGTTTGGCTTTTGAAAGGATTTGAAAGAATCTTACGGATTTGTGGTATTTGATTTTGGGAAGAATTTTGTTACCATCCGGTGTTTTATTTTGAAAAAAAAGTATTTTAGAATTTTGATTCCCCTTAATGTGTTTTATTTTTGAAAGAATTTTTGAATAAAGCACCAAAAAATAAAACTGTCATAAGAAAACAGTTTTATTCATTTAAACAACTACAGAAAACAACAATAACATTTTAAAGAATAAACAAATCTTGATAGAATTTTATAATAAAATAACGAAATCACAACGAAGCTATAACAAATTTTCAAAGTGACGGCCTGTAATTTGTGCAGAAACATCTTCAATTCGATTTGCCAGTTCTTCAATACTAGTGACAGGACACAGGGAGTGAGGTCGGGGGAACTTGGTGGCCATACTGGTCCTATTCACTTATCCTTAAAATTTAGATTCGACCATCTCCACACTACTACAGCATTAGCTAGGAAAGCATCTTCTAGATACTGGAACAAAAAAAAATACGAATACTTACTCTACGTTGCGTGTGTCTCCGATGTTGACATACAATGGTTGAGGAGTTATAAAGGCAACTAAAATTGAAGAATTTGGAAATGGAGCTTCTAAATATCTCTTTCACTTCAGATGAACAAAGACAATAATGGAGAAAAAGCAAAGAAGAGGGGTAAGAGGACACAGATTGATGACTCTGTCATTGCTAAAGTTACTACAGTGAGTATTATTTAGATGTTTAACTACTTTTCAAGGATAGTTTACATAAATAAAATTTGTTGAAAACATCTTCCAAGAGTTGTCCAGTTTTTTTGGCCGCCACTGTACTTATGAAATATGGAAATTAATATCAAAAAAGCATTATTGCCAACTTTGCATAAATATCACCAAGTGTTTTTGTCATTATTTAATAAAAATCAATCTATTCCTCGTTAATAACAATGGAAACGTAAATTTGAGCCTCCGGTGGCCCGTGTGACTCATTTGACCTCCGTTGGAGCGCTTACTTAGCGCCTGTTTGACAATTGACCGGCGTCAATTTAAAGATGGCGTCAGAATGACGTTCCACTGACATTCCGACGTCACACTTTAAACATGGACGACGTGTCATCGTAAGTGGATGCAAATAAAAACAAATCTAAGCAGAAAATCGTGAAAATGGGCGACGTCGCGACGACGAAATCAAACCTGGCTCAAAATGAACCCGCCATGAAAGGCTGGCTCTTCAAATGGACCAACTACCTGAAAGGTTACCAGCGACGTTGGTTCGTGCTTCAAAATGGACATCTGTCATATTACAGGTGAAGTGTCATCCGATTTAATAATACATAAAGCATGCTTAAGGTGGTGTGCCCCTGTAGCAGTTCCTTAGGATATACGCATGATCCCACTTGGTTCGGCCATTAAACCCCCATTCTCATTCGGGTAGCTGTTGATAGTCTCATCAACTCACCGATCAAATAAAAACGGATTATGTTGTTGTGCAGGGCCGAGAATAATGGTGGTGTCCCAACTCTGTCAATTCGAAGACGTAGAAGGTTCAAGCAGGGGTGAGTAGCGTGAGGAGGCCCTGCACAACAACGCAACCCTGCTAAAAACCAGCCTGAAATGTCGTTCTCTTACAGGAACCAAGCCGAGATGACGCACACCTGTCGGGGCAGCATTTCGCTACACGGTGCCTTGATCTACACTGTAGACGCATGCACGTTCGTTATCTCGAATGGGGGCACGCAGACCTTCCACATCCGAGCGGCGTCAGAGGTAGAGAGGCAGTCGTGGGTGACAGCGCTGGAGCTCGCCAAAGCCAAAGCCATGTATGTCACCCCCCTAATAGTGTTTGTGTGGCTCTAATAGAGCGTTAGACGCAGCATGGAGTCCGAGGAGGACGAAGAGGAGGCCGAGGACGGCTCTGGCAGCCCCGAGGAATGGTCGAGCGTCGTGCGCAAACTTGAAGCCCAATTGAACGACATTCAGACTTGCAGCGACCTGATCCAGAAGCACTGGAAGTCGCTGGTGAAGCCTCTGACCGAAATGGAGACAAATCTGGACCCCGATGGGGTCCAAAGTAAGTCGAAGGAGGTGGGAGAGAGGGCTACTCTTTTCCGCATTTCCACCAACGCGATGATTAATGTGAGTATGGGTGGTGTGAAAGTGTCTGTATTGTGATTGGGTTGGCAGGCGTGCGCCGAGTACTTGAAGACTGCACAAGCCCACGGACACAAGTGGATCCGGCTCCTCCAGCACGAACGCGAGCAGCGCCAGAGACTCCAAGAGATGGTGGAGACGCTAGCGCAGCAACATTCTAAGCTCGAACAGGCGGCCAACGCCCATACAAACCGGCCAGGTGAGCCCCATTTCCGTGTTGACAGTTCGTTTTTTGACAGCTTAACCTAATTTTATTTTAATAAGTCAATTTTGACAGATCTAAGAGCTGCGGATTTTATGTAAAATTTTTGGTGTAGAGGGTTCGGAACGGCGCGATTATGAGAAAGACGCAGAAAAAGCGACGTAAGTATGCGTGGGAGAGCGGATTTCCGGCGATTTTTGCGGTGGCGGTTCGTTGACATAACCTCACTTTTTTATAAATCAATTCAACAAGTGTGCTGATTTTCCGGTCGTTAATTCGGTTGGGGGGCAACGGGGTTTTCGCTTGATTGACAATTTCTTTACGGTTGTGACAAATTTTCAGTGAATGCTAGTGACGGGGAAGAGGAGGATGAAAATGAGTTTTACGACGCGGTAGCCGAAAGCGTGGTTAGCTCGTCGGGGGTCTCTGACGGACACTTCACTTTGAACATACCCACAGGCACCGGACACCGCAGAAATAGCTCAGACAGTTCTAGCGAGCCCGATGAAACAACTGAAACAAAACAGGTTAGTGCTTACGGGCAAAAAGGGGTTGACCACCTCATTAACCTCCTGAACACGGCATAGTTTCCATGCAATAAAGATAAAACGCCTCGTTCAAAGAACGTAAATATAAATCCTGGGTACTTTTTTCGCCATATAGATGGCAATAAAAGTGGTATTTTTGTAGTTGTTATCAGTTATGTCAGTCTAAGATCTGAGTCCTTGTGATTTATGTAATAGTGACATTTTCGTGGTGATCCACGTCCCTTTATAACAGTAGTAATTTGGTGACTATTAATGGTTGAAGCAAATTTTTGTGTTGGCAACCCTGAATTATTGGCAGCAATGCTATTTAGTCGGTTTACAGTTGTCAATCTTAACATGAGCTATCTTAACAAACGTGTTAATATGGTGTCATAAATGTCAATTTAACAATCAGTTATGCTATCATAGTTTTAAATATGTTGCCAACCTGACAAAAAGTCACTAATATTAATAGTCACTCGGTGTTATGAATAGTAATGTGGCATTAAAACAAAACGTCGACTGATAATTTAAATTTGTCGTCAAGCGATTCGAAAACAAAAGCGGATGTCTCACATTTCAACTTCCTCCATTAAGTTATATCTAACTCATTAAAGGTCGATTTATGAACTTGTCGCTGACGTTGTTGTTCGCCGTTGACGTTGCCATTGACAGTTGGTACGTCGTTGGGGTGACGTTGACGTTGAGTTTTCAACCAATCAAATTGCGGTAGTGTGTAGTGCTGCCAACTTAAAAGAAAATCCCCTGAAGTAAAGGGGACATGTATAGTCACCTTTTCACAACAAGAAACTTATAACATGTTTAAAATGGTAATTTTTTATAGGGAAATATCGATTTTGCAATTACGCTCCGCCCCTCGGTCTGACATTTAGTTTTCTTTGTATAACACGATTACTTAAGACCATACTTCACATGGTAATTTCTCGTAGAACAATAAGGATTTTACAATGAAGCTCCACCCCTCGGCTCACGACGAATAAAAAGGTTCATCAGAATTGAAATAGGGCGGGTGGGCGGGGCTTATATTTTGCCTTTTTTTTGCATAATGAACGTAACCATATTTTCACAACAAGAAACTTAAAACATGGTTAAAGTTATTACGGGGCGAAGTCTACACAGATTAAAACAAAAAGGCAAAATCTAAGCCCGCCCACCCGCCCTATCTCAATTGTGATGATTTTTTTTTATTCGCCGCGAACCAAGAGGGCGGAGCTTAACTGCAAAATATTTATTTCTTTACAAGAAATTAAAAACATGTTTTTGAGAATCGTGTTCTTCAAAGAATACTGTGTATATTAAGAAAAAAAGACAAAATATAAACCCCGCCCGCCCACCCCATCCCAATTGTGAAGATTCTTTTATTCTTAGAAACTTAAAACACATTTAAAACGGTGAATTTTTGTGAGGAAATCTGGATTTTGCAATTAGGCTCCGCCCCTAGGTCTGCCAACGAATGAAAACTTCATTACTATTTAAATCAGGGCAGGCATGGGTGGGGCTTAATCTTTGGTTTTTTGAATAACACGATACTCAAAAACACGTCTTACATGGTATTTCTTGTCGTAAAATAATAACGATTTTGCAATTAAATTCCGCTCTTTGGCTCTCGACGTTTAAAAAAAAAATGTCACAATTGAGATTGGGTGGGTAGGCGGGGCGTATATTTTGCCTTTTTTTCTTAATATACGTAGTCGTCTTTTCAGAACAAGAAACTTAAAACAAAAAATGGTAAATTCTTGTGGACAAATATCGATCTTGCAATTAAGCCCCACCCGTCCATCTGACAACGAATAAAAAATTCGTCACAATTGAGAATTGAGATCGGGGCGGGTATGGGTGGTGCCTAATTTTTGGCTTTATTTTTTTCTTAATATACATAATTTTCTTTGAATAACACGATACTCAAAAACATGTTTTTAATTTCTCGTAAAGAAATAAGGGTTTTGCAGCTAAGCTCCACCCTCTTAGCTCACGACGAATAAAAAAAATCATCACAATTGAGATAGGGCGGGTGGGCGGGGCTACATTTTGGCTTTTTTTCTTAATATGTGTAGTCATCTTTCCACAACAAGAAACTTATAACATGTTTAAAATGGTAATTTTTTATAGGGAAATATCGGTTTTGCAATTACGCCCCGCCCCTCGATCTGACATTTAGTTTCTTTGTATAACACGATTACTTCAGACCATATTTCACATGGTAATTTCTCGTAGAACAATAAGGATTTTACAATTAAACTCCGCCCCTCGGCTCACAACGAATAAAAAGATTCATCAGAATTGAGATAGGGCGGGTGGGCGGGGCTTATATTTTGGTTTTTTTTTGCTTAATATACATAACCATCTTTTCACAACAAGAAACTTAAAACATGGTTAGTGGTCAAAATCGATATTTCCTTATACAAATTTTCCATTTTAAACATGTTTTAACTTTCATGTTGTGAAAAAAGTCTACACACATATTAAAACTAGAAGGCAAAATCTAAGCCCGCCCACCCGCCCTATTGCAGTTGTGATCATTTTTTTTTTATTCGCCGTGAACCAAGGGGGCGGAGCTTAACTGCAAAATACTTATTTCTTTACAAGAAATTAAAAACATGTTTTTGAGAATCGTGTTGTTCAAAAATACTATGTATACTAAGAAAAAAGCCAAAATATAAACCCCGCCCGCCCACCCCATCTCAATTGTGGTGATTTTTTTTATTCCTAGAAACTTAGAGCACGCCCCTAGGTCTGCCAACAAATGAAAACTTCATTATTATTTAGACCAGGGCAGGTATGGGTGGGGCTTAATCTTCGGTTACAATTTTTTCTTAATATATGTACATAGTATTCTTTGAATAAAACGATACTCAAAAACATGTCTTACATCGAGAAAAAATAACGATTTTGCCATTAAATTCCGCTTCTTTGGCTCTCGACTATTAAAAAAAATTATCACAATTGAGATAGGGCGGGTGGGCGGGGCTTATATTTTGCCTTTTTTTCTTAATATACGTAGTCGTCTTTTCAGAACAAGAAACTTAAAACATGTTTAATATGGTAAATTCTTGTAGACAAATATGGATCTTGCAATTAAGCCCCGCCCCTCGGTCTGACAACGAATGAAAAATTCATCACAATTGAAAATTGAGATCGGGGCGAGTATGGGTGGGGCCTAATCTTTGGCTTTATTTTTTTCTTAATATACACAGTTTTCTTTGAATAACACGATACTCAAAAACATGTTTTTAATTTCTCGTAAAGAAATAAGGATTTTGCGGTTAAGCTCCGCCCTCTTGGTTCACGGCGAATAAAAAAAATCATCACAATGGAGACAGGGCGGGTGGGCGGGCTGACATTTTGCCTTACTGTTTTAATATGTGTAGACGTCTTTTCAAAATATGAAACTTAAAACATGTTTAAAATGGAAAATTTGTATAAGGAAATATCGATTTTGTGATTACCATTTTTAACATGTTTTCAGTTTCTTGTTATGGAGAAAAAACAATATATTAAGAAGAAAAACCAATGCAAAACATAAGCCCCACCCACCCACCCTATTTCAATTGTGACGCTTTTTCTTTGTTCCTCGTTAGTCAAGAGGGGCGGAGCTTAATTTCAGAATCCGTATTTTTCTAAAAGAATTACATTAAGAAAAATTAAAGCCAAAGATTAAGCCCAACCCATAACTGCCCTGACCTAAATAGTAATGAAATTCTCATTCGTTGGCAGACCAAGGGGCGGGGCCTAATTGCAAAATCCACATTTCCTCACAAAAATTTACCATTTTAAACGTGTTTTAAGTTTCTAAGAATAAAAAAAAATATCACAATTTAGATAGGGTGGGTGGGCGGGGTCTATATTTTGCATTTTTTTCTTATACATAGTACTCTTTGAACAACCCGACACTCAAAAACATGTTTTTAATTTCTTGTCCAGAAATAAGTAATTTGCAGTTAAGCTCCGCCCCATTAGGTCACGGCGAATAAAAAAATCATCACAATAGAGATAGGGCGGGTGGGCGGGCTTACATTTTGCCTTTTTGTTTTAATATGTGTAGACGTCTTTTCACAATATGAAACTTAAAACATGTTTAAAATGGAAAATTTGTATAAGGAAATATCGATTTTGCAATTACCATTTTAAACATGTTTTCAGTTTTTTGTTATGGAGAAAAAATAATACAAAAATAAAACGAAACATAAGCCCCGCCCACCCACCCTATCTCAATCGTGACGCTTTTTCTGTGTTCATCGTTAGTCAAGGGGGGCGGAGCTTAATTACAGAATTCGTATTTTTCTACAAGAATTACCATGTGAAACATGGTGATGGTGTTGCTCAGAGAAGACTATATGTATTGAGTAAAAAAAAACAACACGCTCCACCCATCGGTCTAGATCTCAATCGTGACTAATTTTTCATTCGTTGTTAGACTGAGGGGCGGAGCGCAATTACCGAATCCTTATTTCCTCGTTTAAACACGTAAGTTTCTTGCTGCGAAAAGAAAACTACGAATATTAAGTAAAAAGGGGAAAATATAAGCACCGCCCACCCACCCTACCTCAATTGTGATGACTTTCTTTATTCATCGCTTATGCTGGGGAAGTAATTACCTTAGAATAGGGTGAAATTAAAAAAAAATATTATGTAAAAAATACCGTTTTACCGTCTACATGATTTTCATAATACTTATATAAAATTTGACAACAATCGGCCCAGACAGACAGACACGAGAAAACGTAAAAGTAGAGAGTCGGTCGACGGACTCGATTACAATACTTCCTACGCTTACGTTTAGGAAGTAATAAATTCACAAAATTAAATATAATTTTTCGAAGAATTTGTATCTGCTCGCCTGTTTTTCAGTTCTGTCTAAATAACTTTGGACCATTTTTTTTTTAAAGATTTCTAGCAGTTTTAAGTTTTTAGTTATTGAAATCCCTGTAGCAATTTTCATTCATGTAGCAAAATCTTCACGATTGAGATCGGGTGGGTGGGCGGGGTTTATATTTTACATTTTTTTCTTAATATTTATAGTATTTTTTGAATAACCCGATACTCAAACACATGTTTTTAATTTCTTGTCCAGAAATAAGTAATTTGCAGTTAAGCTCCCCCCTTTTGGCTCACGACGAGTAAAAAAAATCATCACAATTGAGATAGGGCGGGTGGGCGGGGCTACATTTTGCCTCTTTTTCTTAGTATCTGTAGACTTATTTCGACAGCAAGGAACTTAAAACATGCCTATAAGGGTACATTTTTTTAGTAATCAACTTAAATCCTCCATTTTTCTTCTACAACCCCTTTAAATACGACAAAAGTTGAACATCAAAGTTTCTATCAAGGGCAACTTGGCAATGGAATTTATAAATGACAAATTCCAGCTCTAAATGCAACGTCAACGGGAACTTCAACGTCAACAGCAAGTTTATAAATCCTACTTAATGTGTTGTAAACGTCAAAATAAAGCATTAATAAAAAATGTTGTAATAACTTGACAGTAATAACTAACTTAAGTCACTCAGACGCGCGATTTTTACTTTACTTTTAAGTCGAAACATTGAAAAATCGAATAATGGTAAAATTAAACCTTGAATCATAAAATTGTAAATTGATGAAACAAAAAAAATGAGAAATTGAAATTTAACTCGTCATTCGACGTCGGTGTTATCAAAAAATCCGCGACAGCCGGTATCTTTATTTTATGACTGCTTTAATATACGATGTTTGTGTTTTATCGCTTTATGTTTCCGAGGAATTTTTTAGTACTCAGTTATAGCCACAGCAGTTTTTATTATCGTCGTCGTTCCCCACTTTTAATCAAACCAAATACAAACCATCCGCAATGTGCACGACGGTGGTCGACCCCTCGTCTCTGACCCCACACTCCAACCGTCCACCGTTTCTCCAGGTGGTCGTAGTTACGGGTAAATCTTCAAGTTCGTTACGACAGTCGCAACACCAGACCGAAGCGTACGTTCCGCCTGGTTCCAACACGAGTAGAAAAGCCAGAAGAACTCGCGTTCCCGACAAGCCGCATTACCCGCTGAACTTATGGAGTATTATGAAGAATTGCATCGGCAAGGATCTGTCGAAGATTCCGATGCCCGTTAACTTCAGCGAGCCGCTGTCGATGCTGCAGAGGTTGACGGAGGATTACGAGTACGCCGATATCCTGGATGTGGCCGCGAAGGCGTCGGACGCGTGCGAGCAGTTGGCTTACGTGGCGGCGTTTACGATTTCGTCGTATTCGACCACCAGCTCGAGGACCGGGAAGCCGTTCAACCCGCTGCTGGGGGAGACGTACGAGTGCGATCGGACGGAAGACTTGGGGTGGAGGGCCTTCAGCGAACAGGTACGTATTGTTACAAAATTGGTAACAGTTCTTTTTTTAAATTTATTTAAAATTAAATTACAAGTATATTAACTGTTCACGATCTTTATATAGTAGGGTTGGCCATGAAAATCTAGTGAGTTTGTTGGTATTCGATGCAGAAGAATAAAAATTCCCTGAACTTTTTTCGTTAGGTTATGTTTTATTAAATTAAAGGTTAAAAAATATGCCAGAAATATAAACATTGTTGCTGATACTTTCAGTTTTCAGTAGTAATGACCAAGTTAACGGTATCCATTTCTTAGAAAGCATAAAACTTTACGCTATTTAAAACAGTTATTCGGCTTTTTGTAAGTGTTCATTTCATATGTAAGGAACAAACACTAAAATTTCACTTAAACATTGTTTTTATATGAATGGGGGTTCTGCATACGACTATTGTCGCATGCCACATTTAGCATCTCATCTTTAATTCTCAATCATCAGTTCGTTCCGCTCGCCCACTCTTCTTAGAAATGGAAATTTCGACATTTGTGAACAGCCTATTTCCATATCTTCCAACTTCCTTTTTCACTTTTCTAAAATTACTAAAAGGGTTGGTAAAAGACAACAACCTTGCTGTAGTGCTTTGATGGGTTTAGCTCTTCTGAAACATTTTTCCGGCCTTAAATTGAATGATTTATCCATATAGCTATTACTAATGCTTACGTAAGTGCTCTTTATTTGCTTTTACTAAGTACTTCCAAACGCTTATTAATAAGAACGTTACTATACGCCTTCTCCAAGTCCATGAAGAGTTACAAAAAAAAATGAAAATGCTTAAAATTTGGTGAAAAGTAACAACATGGATGAACTAACTAAAACTATACTTATTTTGTTGTACGTCAGGTAGTTTTTCACATACTACCTTGGTAAATTTAGAACGAAAGATGCGTAAAAATATCACCCCCCGACAAGCTACAATTAATTCCATTTCCATTATTTCGCTATGAAAATCTGTATCATCACCGTCATTTTCAAATTCAGATTCTGAATCAGATTCACCTATCGAAATAATGAAAGGAGGTATAGATTCGTACGAAAGATTTCCCATATTTTTTTCCCAATCTGTCAAAATAAGTTTTTCACAATGTTTACAAAAAATTTGCCACATGCTGGGAGTACATTTAGAAAGCGCCTCAAGCCATAAATTCTCCACCTTATTTTTTAATGAAGGTTGAGAATTTATATGCTTGTTGTAATAGTTCTTACAAAATCCCAACGCAATTTCAATTGGATTATATTGACAATGGTACGGAGGTAATCTAAGAACTTCATGGCCACTTTCTCTTAATGTCTCGTCTACCAAATATCTTTTTTTTCTATTGTTTCCGAAGGGTTTAATTAAATCCCCCAACTGTTTCTTCGAAAATTTTTTGTCAAATGTCAATCAGACTACTGCTACTTACAGACAAAAAACTAAATCATCAAATCAGTTTATCCAACTTAAAGAAAAAATATCAAAGCCTATTTTACTATATAAAGATCGTGACTGGATAATACATGATCGAAAAAAAACTCCTAGGACGCTGTGCAATTTATTTCTAAATTAATGATGTTGGCAACACCAACGCGTTGCTTGTTCAGTTCAACAATTACGGTCAAATAAAGGGTCAAGTAGCTGCCAACATCATTATTGTAAAAATAAATTGCACTACCTACTACAATGTGATCTTAAATCAAGACACATAAATTCAGTAAGTTTTCGCTTATTTTCCAGGTCTCTCATCACCCTCCAATCGTAGCACAGTATTGTGAAGGCCGGGGTTGGAAATGCTGGCAAGAGTTCACAATGACCTCGAAGTTCAGAGGAAAGTATCTTCAAATCATACCATTAGGAACCGCTCAAGTCGAATTTGACAACGGGAATAAGTTCTCTTGGAGAAAAGTCACTACTACTATTCATAATATAATAGTCGGGAAATTGTGGGTAGATCAACACGGTAAGTTTGGAGCGCTGCTGTACCCAACAAAAACCATCTATTGTTTGTGTTTAGGGGATATGGAAATAGTCGGAAAAGGAGTAGCTGCGGGCATCAAATGCCATCTTAAATATATTCCGTATTCGTATTTCTCTAGGGATACACAGAGGAGGGTGAAAGGAGTCGTGATGGACGCTAGTGGAAACGTAAAGTGGATTATAAACGGTAAATATTGGTGATTTTTATTGGTAAAGGCGTGGTGTTTGAAATTATTTATGTAGAAACGGGAATTTAATTGGCTGAGTTTAAAATTGGCGCGTCGTGGCTGCCATATGTTGCCATTTGATTGGTTCATGTTTGGAAGATTACTTTTTGCACTTCTAGATATTTGTTGTATAGGTATAGGTACATTATTTTTTCTAACATTCAAATGGCCAAGAAAAAACGTGTTAAATATTTAGTGAAATGAAACTACTATTAACTTTGATGTTCAACTTTTGCCGCATTTAAAGGGGTTATGGAAGAAAAGTGGCGGATTTTAGCTGATTACTACAAAAATTTACCATTTTAGACATGTTTTAAGTTTCTTGTTGTTGAAATAAGTCTGCACATACTAAGAAAAAAAATTGGTCGAAAGTTATTTCGACAGAACTTCCCTCGCTTTGCTTTTGCGGAATTTTAGTTTTTGTTATAACCTCTATGGAGTAAAAACGATACAGAAGGTATTATTCACAGTGTAATAGAAAAAACAACGTCACACCTTTTTAGAAAAAGACAGTTGGGCCCCCTAGAAGGTTTCGCCTTCTTTAAAAATTGACAATGGGGAATCCCGAAAAGATTTATCATTCTTAAAAAAATATATTTGGGGCTTCCGAGAAGGTTTCACATTAAAAAAAAAATAATAAAAAACAATTTGGAGCACCGAGAAGGATTTACATTTCCAAAAAGACAGTTGGGACCCCCGAGAAGGTTTTACAAAAATTGGGGGCCCTCGAGAAGGTTTTACATTTTCAAAAAAGACAATTGGGACGCCCGAGAAGGTTTCACATTTTCAAAAAAAAACCAGTTGGGGCCCTGGAGAAGGTTTTACATTTTCAAAAAAAAAAAACCAGTTGGGGCCCCCGAGAAGGTTTTACATTTTCAAAAAAGACAAGTGGGACTCCCGAGAAGGTTTCACATTTTCAAAAAAGACAAGTGGGACTCCCGAGAAGGTTTCACATTAAAACAAAAGACATTTGGAGCCCCCCGAGGTTTTACATTTTCAAAAAAGACAATTGGGACTTTCGAGAAGGTTTCACATTAAAACAAAAGACATTTGGAGTCTCCGAGAAAGTTTTACATTTTCAAAAAAGACAGTTGGACCCCCGAGAAGGTTTTACATTTTCAAAAGAGACAGTGGGGATCCCCGAGAAGGTTTTACATTTTCAAAAAAGACAGTTGGGACCCCGGAGAAGGTTTCACATAAAAAAAAGACATTTGGAGTTCCCGAGAAGTTTTTACATTTTTAGAACAAAAACAGTTTGGGCCCTCGAGAAGGTTTTACATTTTCAAAAAAGACAATTGGGACTCCCGAGAAGGTTTTACATTTTCAAAAAAAAAACAGTTGGAGCCTTGGAGAAGGTTTTACATTTTCAAAAAAGACAATTGGGACTCCCCAGAAGGTTTTACATTTTCAAAAAAAGATCAGTTGGGGCCCTGGAGAAGGTTTTACATTTTCAAAAAAAAAACCAGTTGGGGCCCCCGAGAAGGTTTTACAATTTCAAAAAAGACAAGTGGGACTCCCGAGAAGGTTTTACATTTTCAAAAAAGACAGTTGGGGCCCCGGAGAAGGTTGCACATTAGAAAAAAGAAATTTGGAGCCTCCGATAAGGTTTTACATTAAAAAAAAAACAGTTAGGGCCCTCGAGAAAGTTTTACATTTTCAAAAAAAAAAACAGTTGGGGCCCTCGAGAAGGTTTTACATTTTCAAAAAAAAAAAACATTTGGGACTCCCGAGAAGGTTTCACATTAAAAAAAAGACAATTGAGGCTCCCGAGAAGGTTTTACATAAAAAAAAATACAGGTGGGGCCCTCGAGAATGTTTTACATTTTCAAAAAAGACAATTGGGACTCTCGAGAAGGTTTTACATTTTCAAAAAAAAAACAGTTGGAGCCCTGGAGAAGGTTTTACATTTTCAAAAAAGACAATTGGGACTCCCGAGAAGGTTTTACATTTTCAAAAAGGACAAATGGGACTCCTGAGAAGGTTTCACATTAAAACATAAGACATTTGGAGCCCCCTAGAAGGTTTTACATTTTCAAAAAGGACAGTTGGACCCTCCGAGAAGGTTTTACATTTTCAAAAAAGACAGTTGGGACCCCGGAGAAGGTTTCACATAAAAAAAAAGACATTTGGAGTTCCCGAGAAGTTTTTACATTTTCAGAACAAAAACAGTTGGGGCCCCCGAGAAGGTTTTACATTTTCAAAAAAGACAAATGGGACTCCCGAGAAGGTTTCACATTAAAACATAAGACATTTGGAGCCCCCGAGAAGGTTTTACATTTTCAAAAAAGACAGTTGGGGCCCCGGAGAAGGTTGCACATTAGAAAAAAGAGATTTGGAGCCTCCGATAAGGTTTTACATTAAAAAAAAAACAGTTGGGGCCCTCGAGAATGTTTTACATTTTCAAAAAAGACAATTGGGACTCTCGAGAAGGTTTTACATTTTCTAAAAAAAAAAACAGTTGGAGCCCTGGAGAAGGTTTTACATTTTCAAAAAAGACAATAGGGACTCCCGAGAAGGTTTTACATTTTCAAAAAAAAAAACAGTTGGGGCCCCCGAGAAAGCTTTACATTTTCAAAAAGGACAATTGGCACTCCCGAGAAGGTTTCACATTAAAACATAAGACATTTGGAGCCCCCGAGAAGGTTTTACATTTTCAAAAAACACAGTTGGGGCCCCCATTAGAAAAAGGAGATTTGGAGCCTCCGATAAGGTTTTACATTTAAAAAAAACAGTTAGGGCCCTCGAGAAAGTTTTACATTTTCAAAAAGGACAATTGGGACTCCCGAGAAAGTTTTACATTTTCAAAAAAAAAAACAGTTGGAGCCCTGGAGAAGGTTTTACATTTTCAAAAAAGACAATTGGGACTCCCGAGAAGGTTTTACATTTTCAAAAAAAAAAGCAGTTTGGGCCCTCGAGAAGGTTTTACATTTTCAAAGAGGACAATTGGGACTCCGGAGAAGGTTTTACATTTAAAAAAAAAAAACAGTTGGGGCCCTGGAGAAGGTTTTACATTTTCAAAAAAAAAAAACAGTTGCGGCCCCCGAGAAGGTTTTACATTTTCAAAAAAGACAAGTGGAACTCCCGAGAAAGTTTCACATTAAAACATAAGACATTTGGAGCCTCCGAGAAGGTTTTACATTTTCAAAAAAGACAGTTGGGACCCCGGAGATAATTTCACATTAAAACAAAAGACATTTGGAGCCCCCGAGAAGGTTTTACATTTTCAAAAAAAACAGTTGGGACCCCGGAGAAGGTTGCACATTGAAAAAAAAGAGATTTGGAACCTCCGATAAGGTTTTACATTTTCAAAAAGGACAATTGGGACTCCTGAGAAGGTTTTATATTTTCAAAAAAGACAGTTGGGACCCCGGAGAAGGTTTCGCATAAAAAAAAGACATTTGGAGCTCCCGAGAAGTTTTTGCATTTTCAAAAAACAACATTTGGGGCCTTCGAGAAGGTTTTACATTTTCAAAAAAGACAATTGGGACTCCCGAGAAGGTTATACATTTTCAAAAAAGATAATTGGCACTCCCGAGAAGGTTTTACATTTTCAAAAAAAAAAAAACAGTTGGGGCCCTCGAAAAGGTTTTACATTTTCAAAAAAGACAATTGGGACTCCCGAGAAGGTTTTACATTTTCAAAAAGAAAACAGTTGGAGCCCTCGAGAAGGTTTTACATTTTCAAAAAAGACAATTAGGACTCTCGAGAAGTTTTCACATTAAAACAACAGACATTTGGGGCCTTCGAGAAGGTTTTACATTTTCAAAAAAGACAATTGGGACTCCCGAAAAGGTTATACATTTTCAAAAAAGATAATTGGGACTCCCGAGGTTTTACATTTTCAAAAAAAAAAACAGTTGGGGCCCTCGAAAAGGTTTTACATTTTCAAAAAAGACAATTGGGACTCCCGAGAAGGTTTTACATTTTCAAAAAGAAAACAGTTGGAGCCCTCGAGAAGGTTCTACATTTTCAAAAAAGACAATTAGGACTCTCGAGAAGTTTTCACATTAAAACAACAGACATTTGGCGCCCCCGAGAAGATTTTACATTTCCAAAAAATTGGTCGAAAGTCGTTTCGACAGAACTTCCCTCGCTCCTAAACTACAGTGAAATACATCCAGCATTCTCGAGTGTTTATTTTTAGCTTAATACATCGAAAGAATGTCACGTAGAAATTAGTCTGAATATTATAATTCTTATTTTATTATTATAAAGACGAGTTTTTCACATTTTCGAGGAAATGGGCTGACTCGTTCTTAATTTGACCAATAAAAAATTGGTAATGAAGTCATCAACATGGATAACACTGGTCATAGTACAAAAGAAAAGTACTCGCAGCGTATTACCAACGTAAGAAAAAAGTAAATGGTTAACTTCGACATCGAACCACTACCGCAATGTCCCACCGATTCTCTGGCCGTCTCCGAGGTCTCGACTTGCCGCTACGCCCCGGTGTTGGTAATATACGTATTGAACCTTGGAATTATTTTTGCGAAAATTTGAACGTTTAGCGAAAAAACTGAAAGCGGATTCGTACGCTACAAATATAGGAGTATATTTTTATATAACACTAAAATTATTTAAAAATACAATTCAATGAAATGACGTCATCAAATTGTTGGTGGGGATGATTATCCAAATTTTGGGTAGTATTTAACCATCTACATAATATTTCTAATATATATATACCAAATTTGACAACAATCGGTCCAGCAGTTTCGGAGATTACTTTTCTAATAAAAATGGATACAGACACCAGATAGACAGACAGACGGAAACGGCAGACTACTTTTTTCGTACTGTAGGGGTCATGAAACATCGAGAAAACATAAATGTGGCCATTCGTCCGATGGACTCGATTACTATACTTCCTTAGCTTACGATCGGGAAGTAAAAAGACAGTTGGAACCCCGGAGAAGGTTTCACTTAAAAAAAAAGACATTTGGCCCCACCCATATCCGCCTCGATCTCAATTCTTAATTGTGATGAATTTTTCATTCGTTGTCAGATCGAAAGGCGGGGCTTAAATGCAAGATCCATATTTGTCTACAAGAATTTACCATTTTAAACATGTTTTTCGTTTCTTGTTGGGAAAAGACGACCATGTATATTAAGAAAAAATGCACAATATAATCCCCACCCACCCACCCTATCTCAATTGTGATGATTTTTTTTTAATCGTCGAGAGCCAAAGGAGCGGAATTTAATTGCATTTTTTATTTATTATTATTTCTCTACAACAAATTACCATGAAAGACATGTTTTTGAGTATCGTGTTATTCAAAGAACATTATGTATATTAAGAAAAAATTACAGCCTGATCTCAATAGTAATGAAGTCTTCATTCATTGGCAGACCTAGGGGCGGAGCTTAATTGCAAAATCCAAATTTCCTTACAAAAATCACCATTTTAAACGTGTTTTAAGTTTCTAGAAATAAAAAAATTATCACAATTGAGATGGGGTGGGTGGGCGGGGTTCATATTTTGCTTTTTTCTTGGTATACATAGTATTCTTTGAACAATACGTTTCTCAAAAACATGCTTTTAATTTCTTGTAAAGAAATAAGTATTCTGTAGGTAACCCTCCCCCCCCCTTGGTTCTCAGCGAATAAAAAAAATCATCACAATTGAGATAGGGCGGGTGGGCGGGCTTATATTTTGTCATTTTATTTTAATGTGTGTAGACTTCTTTTCACAACATCAGACTTAAAACATGTTCAAAATGGAACATTTGTATAAGGAAATATCGATTTTGCAATGAGGCTCCGCCCCATAAAATCCATATTTTCGTGCAAAAATGTACCATTTTATCTATGTTTTAAGTTTCTTGTTGTGAAAAGATGGTTATGTATATTAAGCAAAAAAAAGGGAAAATATAAGCCTCACCCAACTCGCCCGCCCTATCTCAATTCTGATGATTTTTTTTATTCGTCGTGAGCCGAGGGGCGGAGCTTAATTGTAATATTCTTATTTTTCTACGAGAAATTACCATGTGAAATATGTTCTTAAGTAATCGTGTTATACAAAGAAAACTATATGTATGAATTAAAAAAGAAAACCAAAAGATTGGTCGCAGATTACAAACCTGAAGTCAGAAAGCCGAAATATTTTTTAAAAATATTTCGGCAACAACACTTTTCACATATACATAGACAATGCTTAATAAATAACGAATATGAAATCATATTCACCATAATACATAAGTAAAAGCAATGCATTGATATAGAAATAATTGAATTAAGAAATAAAGTAATAGTGGGATACTTTGTCGTTTCCAGGAACATGGGACGACCAGGTAGAAATAGCTCCCGTGACGGGTAACACCGGCACCGCCACCAACCCAGTATACGAAACCGGCGCGTCCATCGTGGCCTGGAAGCGGCGAATGCCGCCCCCAGACGCCGACAAATCCTACGGTTTCTCGACCCTAGCAGCTCAACTTAACGAACCCGAAGACGGTGTCGCCCCCACGGATTCGCGGCGGCGGCCCGACCAGCGGTTGATGGAGGACGGAAAATGGGACGAGGCCAACACGGAGAAAGTGCGGCTGGAGGAGAAGCAGCGGGCGGCGCGACGGAAGCGGGAGTCGGACGCGGAATCCTCAGCCCAGGAAGGTCGGTGTCGAGTTTCGGCGATTTCGCACGATTTTGACGCTTCTGTTGCAGGGAAGCCCTTCGAGCAGTACAAACCCACGTGGTTCGAACAAATGACAGGCGACGACGACGTCGTGGTCCACGTATACAAAGGAGATTACTGGCAGTGCAAAGAGAAGCAAAAGTGGGATAGGTGTCCTGATATATTCTAGTAACTAATCAATAAATAATCAAGCTTCAAAGTAATTATCAGTGCTCTGTTAATTTATTCACTAAACACTAAAAGGAAGAGGTTTATTTTACATAGCGTTTCTGGGTACGGTTTTAATTTGCTGCAGTCAGTGTTGAAATTGAAACAATCATATATCCTGTGTATATACTTGTTGTATTTTTAGCGGTATTTATGTTTTAGAACGTGGATTTACAAAAAGTCAATTTTTGTATAAAGTCACCTTTTTCCGCAATTATGTGATACAAGAATGTAAATAAATACATTGGTTCTTGTGCAGTGTACTGACGGAGGCAGGAGGATGGAGGTGTTGTATATATATTGTACTGATATGCTTTGGCCAATGTAGGATCAATAAATTTTATAAAAGACGGACGGCTTTCCTAACCCCATACGCTGTTTTACAAATTTTGTTCAAAACGACACAAACTCCTCTTAGAAAAACTGTCTACGTACGCCCTGCAAGAAGAAGATGACGTCAGCGTCATGTTAATCAAGTCATCTGAAATGTCACGTGTGATACTGATTTACCTATGGTTTGTTTCATAATCCATCCTCATGTGTACACATGCGGATCATCTTAAAAAAATAAAATTTGTACAAACAGATTTTGTGTTTTTTTAAACACCACCAAGCTTTATTTTCAAGAAAAGTTAAAATAGTCTATTTGAATAAAAAAAAAAATGTTGGCATATAGCGAATCTGTCACAAACTACAAATCAGAAGTCATTTTCACTATTGGTGCTCAAATAATCTTGAAAAACGTAAAAATTTTAAGAAAAAGTTAAAACAGTCTAATTAATATGTGTAATGTTCTAACTGAGATTATTATGCCTAGTTTTTTTTTTCTATTTTCTATGCATTTTTTTTTTTCAACTAAAACATCAAAAACCACGTTGAATTTTTTTTTACCCTTATTTTTAACCCCTAGCTTCTAACTCAGATTTTCCTAAAAACATCAATTTTTTGGGAAAAGACGAAAAGAGTCGATTTTCAAGTTTTAGTCGTTGAAGTTTGTTGAGTTTGAGCCCATTGAGGTCTTTACAAAAACACAAAAAATTGAGTAAATGACTTGTTTTTAGGCTCATTTTGTCTACTGAAACATCAATTTTTTTATGGAAACTACCCCATTTTTTATGGTCTTTTTAAAAATGTGAGCCAGATTTTTTTTACAAAAGGTAAGGAAAACTAAATACCTTTTTTTTACGATTTCTTTATAATGTGAGCTGTGATGTGAGCCAGACGTAACTACTGAATCTGTGGTTTTTGTTGAAAAAAAAAAAAATGCATAGAAAATAGAAAAATGACTAAGAAAACTAGGCATGCAAAGCTGCACCAGCTCCTGCTGAATTTTTAGCTCCATCTGTATAGAGAACCAACGAGTCAGGAATATTCTTTAGTTGGACGGTCAATCTGTAGATAGTTTGTATTTTTCTCTTTAATCATTTAGGTTCAAAAATACTAGGTCGAAAAAGAAATAGTCGAAGCGGTATAGCGCTTTATATCGTTTATGGTAACTGACCGAAAATTACTGCAAGTTGTAAGCGTACGAACAAGTTTGAAGTGGTCATTTGTGTCACATGCCCGAAGCATAATCTCATCGTTTGCGATATGAATATTTTCCAGTGAAATTTTTGGCGGTTTTTGATTTAGACTCAAATCTTTGTACTATATTTAGAATCTCTAAATTCTCTAGGAACTCTAGAATTGTTGGAGTCTTTGAAATTTTTGGAATTTTTACAACCAATTTCAGGAATCTTTTTATAATCTCTGAAATGTTTAGAATTATTAGAATCTTCAGAATCTCTAGAATGATTAGAATCGCTAGACTCTAAAACTTGTACAATTCTTAGAATCTTGACATTCTCTACAATTTACATAATTACTAGAATCTTTGGATCTCCGAAAACTCTTGAGTCTCTAAATCCCATGGAATCTCTAGAATCTTTAGAATATCTCCATCAAAAGCAAAATTTAGAATCTACAATTGCTGGAACCGCTAGACTATATCTGTGAATCTTTCGAGAATTTCCAGAATCTTTAACATCTCCAGAATCTCTAGAATCGCCAAAACGTCTCGAATTTCTAGAATCTCTAGAATTTTTGGCGTTTCTAAAATCTTTCATATCTTTAGAGTGTTTAATCTCTAAAGATTCTGTAACCGCTAGACTCTAAACCTTTGGAATTCTTGGAATCTTTGGAAAATCTAGAATCTTTAACGCCACCAGAATCTCCAAAATTTCTAGAATCTCTAGAACCTTTACAATCTTCAGAACACCAGAAAGATTGAAATCGCTAGACTCCAAAAATTCTACAATCTCTAGAAGCTTTGGAATCTCTACAATTGTTGGAACCGCTAGACTCTAAATCTTCGAATCTTTCGAATTTCCAGACTCTTTTAACATCTCCAGAATCTCTAGAATCGCCAAAACGTCTCGAACTTCTAGAACCTCTAGAATTTTTTGAATTTTTAACCTTTTTAGAATCTTTAGAGTCGCTAATCTGTTACCGCTAGACTCTAAAACTTTGGATTTCTTGGAATCTTTGGAAAGTTTAGAATTTTTGACGTCTCCAGAATCTCCAAAATCTCTAGAATCTTTATACTCTTTAGAATCCCTAAAAAGGTTGAAATCGCTATACTCTAAAAATTATAAATCTTTAGAATCTCTACAATTGCGAAACCGCTAGACTCTAAAACTTTGGATTTCTTGGAATCTTCGGAAAATCTAGAATATTTGACATGTCCAGATTCTCCAAAAACCTCTAGAATCTTTATAATCTTCAGAATCCCTAGAATTACTGAAACTGCTAAACTCTAAAACTGATACAGTCTCTAGAATCTCTAAATCCTCCACAATCTCTAGAATCTTTCAAATCTCTAGGATGGCTGGAATCCCTAGACATACCATTAATACCATATTTAGAACCTCTAAATTTTCTACAAACTCTCGAATCACTAAAATCTTCGAAATTTTTTGAATCTTCTGAATTTTTGAAATTTCTAGAATTTTTATAATCTTTGGAATCTCTAGGATGGTTAGACTCGCTATACTTTAAAACTTATACAGTCTCTAGAATCGCTAACTTTCCTACAACTTCCAGAATTACTAGAATCTTTGGAAATTCTGAATCTCTAAATCCTCTACAATCTTTAGAATGTCTGGAATCTTCAGAATCTCTAGAATTGTAGAATTGCTGGAACCGCTAGACTCCAAATCTTGGAATTTTTCGAATTTCCAGAATCTTTCAACTTCTAAACCTCTAGAATCCCCAAAAGGTCTCAAATTTCTAGAACCTCTAGGATTTTTGGAATTTCTAAAATGTTTCAAATCTTTAGAATCACTAATCTTAATCTGTGAAGCTTCTGTTGCCGCTAGACCCTAAATTTTTGGATTTCTTGGAATCTTTGACGCCTCCAGAATCTCCAAAACCTGTAGAATCTCACAATATTCAGAATTCCTAGAATTACTGAAACTCCTAAACTCTAAAACTTGTACAGACTTTAGAATTTCTAAATTCGCCACAATCTCTGGAATCTCCGAAATCTCTAGAATCTTTCAAATCTCTAGGATGGCTAGAATCCCTAGACTCGAAAATTTGCACCATATTTAGAATCTCTAAATTTTATGCAATCTCTCGAATTACTGAAACCTTCGAAAATTTTGGAATATTCGAAATCTTTGAAATTTCTAGAATTTTCAGAATCTTTGGAATCTCTAGAATGGCTATAATCGCTGGATTCTAAAACTTGTACAATCTCTAGAATTGCTAAATTTTCTACAACTTCCAGAATTCCTAGAATCTTTGGAATCTCTGGAAATTCTGAATTTCTAAGTCTTATAGAATCTTTGGAATATCTGGAATCTTTAGAATCTCTAGAAAAGCTGAAATCGCTAGACCCTAAAACTTTTAGAATGTTTGGAATTTTTATGATCTTTCGAATCTCCAGCATCTTTGGCATCTGCAGAAATTCTAGAATCTCTAAAGCCTCTAGAATTTTTAAAATCTCTAGAATTGCTGGAACCGTAGGCTTTAAAACGTTGAATTTCTGGAAATCTTTACAATCTCTGAAATATCTAGAATTTCTAGAATCTTCAGAATTTTTGGAATTTATAAAATTTCTTGAATCTTTATAATTTCTAATCTCTAGAATCACTCTAACTGCTAGATTCTAAAACTTTCGACTTCTTGAATATCCAGAATCTCTAAAATATTTAGATTCTTTATGATCTTCAGAATCCCTAGAATTCTGACATTTCAAAACTGTAAAACTTGCACAATGTTTAGAATCTCTTCTTCTCTATAGTCTCTAGAAATACTAGAATCTTCAGAATCTTTCAAGTTTCTAGCATGGCTGAAAGCGCTAGACTCGAAAACTTGTACCATATTTAGAACCTCTAAATTTTCTACAATCTCTCGAATTACTAAAACCTTCGAAATTTTTGGAATTTTCTGAATCTTTGAAATTTCTAGAATTTTTATAATGTTTGAAATCTCTAGAATGGTTAGATTCGCTATACTTTAAAACTTATACAGTCTCTAGAATCTCTAACTTTCCTACAACTTCCAAAATTACTAGAATCTTTGGAAATTCTGAATCTCTAAATCCTCTACAATCTTTAGAATGTCTGGAATCTTCAGAATCTCTAGAATTGTAGAATTGCTGGAACCGCTAGACTCCAAATCTTGGAATTTTTCGAATGTCCAGACTCTTTTAACTTCTAAACCTCTAGAATCCCCAAAAGGTCTCAAATTTATAGAACTTCTAGGATTTTTGGAATTTCTAAAATGTTTCGAATCTTTAGAATCGCTTATCTTAATCTGTGAAGCTTCTGTTGCCGCTAGACCCTAAAATTTTGGATTTCTTGGAATCTTTGACGCCTCCAGAATCTCCAAAACCTGTAGAATCTTACAATATTCAGAATTCCTAGAATTATTGAAACTCCTAAACTCAAAACTTGTACAGACTCTAGAATTTGTAAATTCGCCACAATCTCTGGAATCTCCGAAATCTCTAGAATCTTTCAAATCTCTAGGATGGCTAGAATCCCTAGACTCGAAACTTGCACCATATTTAGAATCTCTAAATTTTATGCAATCTCTCGAATTACTGAAACCTTCGAAAATTTTGGAATATTCGAAATCTTTGAAATTTCTAGAATTTTCAGAATCTTTGGAATCTCTAGAATGGCTATAATCGCTGGATTCTAAAACTTGTACAATCTCTAGAATCGCTAAATTTTCTACAACTTCCAGATTTCCTAGAATCTTTGGAATCTCTGGAAATTCTGAATTTCTAAATCTTATAGAATCTTTGGAATATCTGGAATCTTTAGAATCTCTAGAAAAGCTGAAATTGCTAGACCCTAAAACTTTTAGAATGTTTGGAATTTTTATGATCTTTCGAATCTCCAGAATCTTTGGCATCTGCAGAAATTCTAGAATCTCTAAAGTCTCTAGAATTTTTAAAATCTCTAGAATTGCTGGAACCGTAGGCTCTAAAACGTTGAATTTCTGGGAATCTTTACAATCTCTGAAGCCTCTCGAATTTCTATAATCTTTAGAATTTTTGGAATTTATAAAATTTCTCGAATCTTTATAATCTCTAATCTCTAGAATCACTCTAACCGCTAGATTCTAAAACTTTCGATTTCTTGAATATCCAGAATCTCTAAAACCTTTAGATTCTTTATGATCTTCAGAATCTCTAGAATTCTGACATTTCAAAACTCTAAAACTTGCACAATGTTTAGAATCTCTTCTTCTCTATAAGAGAAGAAAAAAAAGCACTAGAGTTAGAGCATAAGTATAGAGTCCGGAAACTTCTAAAAGTAATTTATAAAACAATTTAAAACATAAAGTAAAACAGTCTCTGTTCGGAAGGAAGTACACAGAATACAAATCAAATAACAAAAAAAAAAGTTAAAATGGCCACATTCGAAGAAAGAGTCCTAATTCCTAGACTTCAAAACGATTTTTTTTAAATATTAAAACATACTCTAATTGAATAAAAAAAAAATACATTGACTAAAGACTAAAGAATTCTTCATAAATTACCAATCTGAGTCATTTTCACCAGTATAAAAGTCAAAATACTCTCCAAAACTTTTCAAAAAAAGTTAAGGCAGACTCTATTTGAAGTTCAAACAATCTGTATTCGAAATAAAAAAGATGTTAAATTATAGAGAACTCTTTGCAGATTACGAATCATATAACAATAAAAAGTTAAAATAGCCTCTATTTGAACTGACTTATAGACACAGAAAAACTTAAACTTGAAACAGCCTCTATTAGAATAAAAAAACGCTAATATCCAGAGAACTCGTCAAATATTACCAATCAGAAGTCATTTTCGCTATTTCTCTTCAAACAATTCCGAAAAACGCAAAAATTTTAAGAAAAAGTTACAACAGTTTGTATTCGAAAGAAGAAAAAAAGCATTAGAGCTAGAGCATATAGCGTCCGGAAACTTCTAAAAGTAATTTATAAAACAATTCAAAACATAAAGTAAAACAGTCTCTGTTCGAAAGGAAATACACAGAATACAAATCAAATAACAAAAAAAAGTTAAAATGGCCACATTCGAAGGAGTCCTAATTTCTAGACTTCAAAACGATTTTTTTTAATATATTAAAACATACTCTAATTGAATAAAAAAAAACATTGACTAAAGACTAAAGGATTCTTCATAAATTACGAATCTGAGCCATTTTCACCAGTATAAAAGTCAAAATACTTTCCAAAACTTTTCAAAAAAGTTAAAGCAGTCTCTATTTGAAGTTAAAACAGTCTGTATTGGTAATGAAAAAGGTGTTAAATTATAGAGAACTCTTCGCAGATTACAAATCAAATAACAAAAAAAAAAATTAAAATAGTCTCTATTTGAACTGACTTATAGATACAGAACTCGTCAAATATTACAAACCAGAAGTCAGTTTCATTATTTCTTTTCAAACAATCCCGAAAAACTCAAACATGTTAAGAAAAAGTTAAGACAAATGACAGCGCTAGCACATATTGCAATACATTATAGACTACGAACAACAACTGATATCAATTCAACAGAAAAAGGTTAAAACAGTTAAATTACAGACAAATTGTCGTAGATTACAAATCTGCGGTCATTTTTGACATAATCTTCAAATAATTCCGAATTGTTAAAACAGCCTCTATTCGAACCGAAAATAATTTTGACTTACAGAGGCTTTTTTAAAAATTACAAGTCATAATAATAATTTCACCATCTTTTTAAGGTAAAAGAGCCTCTATTCGACCTAAATAAAAAGTAATCACATGTAGTAAATTCATCATAGATTCCAAATCTGAAGTCATTTTAGCTATGGCTTTTCAAATAATTCTGAAACACGTAGAAATTTCTAAAAGTTTCGAAAATTTTTCAAAAAACTTAAAATAGCCACTATTTGAATAAAAACATGTTAAAACTTAAATTAGTCAAGACACAAAAAATGCTTGCATGCTCACGCTATTTGAAGTGAAAAAAGATCTGGCTAATTGTATGAGACGCCTATAAGTGGGGTTCGCCAAATAGATATGGGCACTGTGAGAGACGTTTCTTATAAACAATGAGATAGAATTCCTTTATTATAGTGATATTTTACATTTCAAAATAAAATTAACAGGTATTGTAATTTTTCGTTTTTGTGGCTTCCATGATTTTGCATATTCTATTCATCATTATGGGCATTGTCGTTCAAGAATTTCAGTAAACGAATTCAAATAAAATAAATTTGATGAAAATAAGTCTTAATTTTATCCGTTTGATTGTTATTTAAACGATTTCTTGCAAAATTGCTCCTACGCACTCTAATTTTAAGACGGAGCATTGTAAAAGTGATGAAACTGACAGATCATGTGGGAGGCGATTCCATATGGGACCGTACGTCAATACTCCTCGCAATAAAACCCAAGGAACCACAGCCTCCCTTCTTGGCGCAGACGAAGAAAAAAATCCGCCCAATCCGGCCCTGTCCGCCGCTGTCACTCCTGACAGGCGCGTTCAAATTCCCCGCCCGCGTGACGTCAAACGAGCAGCTCCGACTCGTCCCGATCCCCATTCGTGCATTCAGTGTGGCGGGCGCGGCCATATTGGCAGTACGCGAGAGTGTCTTGTGTGTTTTTTAGTGTTGTTGTGAAATTTCAATCGATAATCATCCCAAAATGTCTGAAAGAGAGGATAACGTCTACAAGGCGAAATTGGCAGAACAGGCCGAGCGATACGATGGTGCGTATATTTCCCGGAAAAGCGTCCCGACCCGGCCAAAACGGCCATCGCCTCCCGGACGCTCCACCATTATTGACAAACAGCCATTTTGACAGCCCGCCGCGGCCCGGCCGCCGCCTCCGCCCCCGGCGGCCGCCGCTGCCGTTTACGGGCCGAATTCTTGTGCCGTGAATCATCGCGTTCTTGATTTCTCGCCGGGTGATCGATGCGGCGCCCCCGGGCTCGTTGTGGCCCGCCGCCGCCGCCCCCGGCCCGCGGCGCCCTTCGCACGTCATTTTTGGCAGAAAAATGCGGAAAATGCGTCAAATGGCGGCCGCCGCCGGCCTACGCCGGCTGGATCCTCGAGGAGGCGTTTTATTGCCCCGCTTGCTTGATTCGCTCGATTGCGTAACGCGGAACGGTTCCGGTTTTTTTCCGGAAATTCGCAAGTGACGATTTGACTGGATTCTGTTTGCTTTGGCACGTGCGTCATTTCGTGGAAAAGTTGGACGGGCACGTGACGATTTTCGAAAATCGCTTCCGGATCGACGATTCAAGGTTGGGGGTGCGGCTAACCTTGGCCCAGTTTGCTTAAAAAATGGGGATGTAGTTTTTTTCGGAAAGGGGATTGATTTTTGAGGGCGGCGGGGAGGGGTGGGTTGGGGTGGCGGCGGCGAATGCCAATCGATAGTAGCGCGAGAAGAATGATTCCTGGTTTAGACATAATTCTTAGGAGCTGGATGGAATTTCGGGGACGAAAACACCGTCTGTCACTAGGGGGTTTCATATCGAGCTATTTGTTTCAACTTTACGTCGAAATTGAATTGGCCTCATTCATGGAAACTAGTTTCATAAACCTGAATATGTTTTGGGTTGTTTTAAGTCGTTCCGGGGCCAAATTGCTGAATCCGGTGGTTTAAATTTAATTTTTGATGTGTTTTAGGGATGAGCCGCTTTACTGCGCTGTTAAACTCTTTAAAATGATGAATCGAGTGAAAATTCACTTTTACCATCGTGTTTAACATAATGAGTCAGAAATTCAATGTGAATTGTGAAAGCCTGGAATTTTAATTTTTTTAATAGCATTGATGTGTTATTTCGTGCATACAGTGGAACTTCCAAATTGTACAATGTTTGTAATGTTTGGTTGCTAAAGTAACAGTATTGAGATTATTCTTTAACAGTTTTGTCACCAGGAACTTGTGGTAATAACTATACATAAAACAGTAAAACTTGTCTATGATTCGTGATAAATTGCGTGGTGACATATGTCATTTGCGCATAATAAAAGATTCAGGTTTAAAACAAGAAAGTTGTTCCATTTACCAACTAATGAATTAATTTTAATGAACCAGTTTTTAATGTTCTAGATACAGTCGAACTTCCATAGGCGTATAATAATACTTAGTGTCTTATTCATTGTGTACTACATAAATTTCTTATTGGATAAAAATGGCAGCTTAAAAAAACATAAGTGTTGCCCAGGAATTTGAATTGCAATATTGAAATGTAAAAGTTTGCAGAAAGTTCATGATATAAAAATTTTGAGGCTAGTATAAAGTGGCTTAGTTAATCTAACAAAAGGTAAGTCAAAATTTTTGAAACTCTTGTTATGTTTTTAATCAGACGTTTAGGTATGATATAGGAAGGAGCAAAGACGGCTTGTGATGAAAGTTCTACTGTCGATGAAACAGAGTGCAACACGTGGGTTAAAGATATTTTGACTAGTATTTATAATTATGAGATGATATTCCTTTAGTAGAACTGATACAAAAAATTAATTTCATCATCACAGACAAAAATCTACAATGATCTTGAAGCCACTGAACAACCCACAGATCAATACATTGTCGATAGTGTGAAGGCAGCTAAATGCTTGAAGAAATGAAATAATGTGGAAAGGACAGAGGAAGTTTTTACATCAATAAATCTTTGAACGTTAAAGAAAAATTCTAAAAAAAAGCCCGTGACTGGAAGTTCGACTGTATTTGTTTCGGCTTTACGCCTAAGTTGAATCATTTCTCCAATTGGAATTACAGTTGTGCTTGACCTCATTCATGGAAACTACTTCCATAAATTGAACATCTTTTGTGTTGTTTTTTGATTAATTCTGGGGACAAAAGTGCCCCACTTCAGTGAGTCCAGTGTGTTACCGTATATGTTATTTTTGAAGTGTTTAGCGATGAGTCGCCTTCATGTCGCTGTAAAAGAACGGTTTAAAACGATGAATCAAATGAAAATTTACTTTTACCATCGTGTTTAAATAATGACTCAGAAGTTCAACGTGGATTGTGAAGGCCTGGAATTTTTCTTATTTCTTTAATGGTCAAGAGCACGAGTACAGAATTTTCAATGGTAATTTAATTGATCTGTTATCGAGTCCGTCGGCCGACTTTACTTTACGTTTCCTCGATCTTTCATGACGTTTCCGTCTGTCTGTCTGTCTGTCCGTCTGTCTGTCCATCTGTTCGTCTGTCTGTCTGTCTGTCCATCTGTCTGTCTGTCCGTCTGTATGTTCGTCTGTCCATCTGTCAGCTGTCCTGATTTTGATTAGACAGATAATTCCAAAAATACTGGGCCGATTGTTGCCAAATTTTGTATTTATATTAGGAATATCATGTAGATGGTAAAATGGTAACCAAAATTTGTCTAATCATCGCCACCAATAATGTGATGACGTCACTTCAAAATTGTACGTAGTAAATGGGTTGTAAATTGTATAAATAACATACTTCTACACATGTAGTTTATGACTCCGTGTTGAGTTTTTACCCAAACCGTCCAGAAAAAAATCGAAATTATAAAACATTTTGCAATTTAATTTTGAATCTTCCAAACTCATTGCTTTGAAATCTTGCAGATGTTTTAAATTTATGGTAAGCATAACATATTTTTAAACAAAGTATATTTGCTTATCTCCTCCAAAAAAATGATGACGTCGTCTCAAAATTTTACCGGATAAATCCTGTCTAAAATGTGCAAAATATGATCAGTCTATGCTTGTGATTTATCACTGCATTCATATATTTTAAATTTGCTTAAACAGGGTGATAAAAAATTAATAATTAATGAATGCGTGAATTTATATTATTGATTTAATCAGGAACTGCAAAACCGAATTCTTATTAAGTCTAATTAAACTGTATTTGCTCATCCCCCCTAAAAATTGATGACGTCACCTCAAAATATTTCTGAATATATCCTATCTTAAATGTGCAAAATATGATGAGTCTGTACTTATGATTTATTTTTAATACATAATTAATGTTTTTTAAACTTGCTGATACAGGGTATCTCAGGAAAATTAATGACTGAGTTGTTGAAAAATAAATATCCAATCAGATTTACGAATTTAACTCGTTACTATGGAATTATACAATTTAAAGCCTTTTAAAGTTATCAAGTTTTTACAAGTTTAAAAGGGCCAAAATCAGTCTTATCTTAGCAAGTACTAGCCCCGCCCACCCGTCCTCGATTTTCTCAGAGGGTATGGCGTTTGCCAAAATCAGTCTTATCTTAGCAAGTACTCGCAAGTATTACCTTCTGAGAAAATAAAGGCCGGGTGGGCGGGGCTAGTCCTTGCTAAGATAAGACTTATTTTGGAAAATAACACGTTCTGAGAAAACAGAGGGTGGGTGAGCGGGGCTAGTATTTGCTAAGATAATACTTATTTTGGCAAATGACATATCTTCTGGGAAAACAGGGGGCGGGTGGGCGGGCCTAGTATTTGTTAACATAAAACTGGTTTTGCCCCTATTAATCTTGTAAAAACTTGTGAAATTTAAAGGTGTTAAATTGCAAATTTCCATAGCAACGAGTTAAACTCCAAAGTCTATCCCAAATGTGCAAAATGTGATGAGTTTTTACTTGTGATTTATCATTGCATTTATATTTTTTAAATTTGCGTAATCAGGGTGACTCAAAAAATTAATAATGAATGCGTGAATTTATTTTATTGATTTAATCAGGAATTGCAAAACCGAATTCTTTGAAATCTTGGAGATGTTTTAAAGTTATCATAAGCATGGTAAATTTTTAATCAAAATGTGTTTGCTCATCCTCCCTAAAAAATTGATGACGTCACCTCAAAATACCCCCCTACTTTCTTAGAGTTTGTCATTTGTCAAAATAAGTTTCTTTCTCAGAAGGAGTGGCATTTGCCAAAATCAGTCTTATCCTAGCAAGTACTAGCCCCGCCCACCCGCCCTCTCTTTTTTTATAGCTTATGTGATTTGCCAAAATCAGTCTTATCTTTGCAAGTACTAGTCCCGCCCACCCGCTCTCTATTTTTTCAGAGGTTACGGCGTCTGGCAAAATCAGTTTTATCTGAGCAAGTACTACCTTCGGAGAAAATAAAGGGTGGGTGGGCGGGGCTAGTACTTGCTAAGATAAGACTGATTTTGGCAAATGATATACCCTCTAAGAAAGTAAAGGGTGGGTGGGTAGGGCTAGTACTTGTAAGATAAGACTTATTTCGGCAAATGACATCCTCTGGGAAAACAGGGGGCGGGTGGGCGGGCCTAGTATTTGTTAACATAAAAATGATTTTGCTCCTATTAATCTTGTAAAAACTTGTGAAATTTAAAGGTGTTAAATTGCAAATTTCCATAGCAACGAGTTAAATTCCAAAGTCTATCCGAAATGTGCAAAATGTGATGAGTTTTTACTTGTGATTTATCATTGCATTCACATTTTTTAAATTTGCATAAACAGGGTGACTCAAAAAAATAATGATTAATGAATGCGTGAATTTATTTTATTGATTTAATCAGGAACTGCAAAACCGAATTCTTTGAGATCTTGGAGATGTTTTAAAGTTATCATAAGCATGGTAAATTTTTAGTCAAAATGTATGTGCTCATCCCCCCTAAAAAATTGATGACGTCACCTCAAAATACCCCCCTACTTTCTTAGAGTTTGTCATTTGCCAAAATAAGTTTCTTTCTCAGGAGTGGCATTTGCCAAAATCAGTCTTATCCTAGCAAGTACTAGCCCCGCCCACCCGCCCTCTCTTTTTTTATAGCTTATGTGATTTGCCAAAATCAGTCTTATCTTAGCAAGTACTAGCCCCGCCCACCCGCCCTCTATTTTCTCAGAGGTTACGGCGTTTGCCAAAATCAGTTTTATCTGAGCAAATACTACCTTCGGAGAAAATAAAGGGTGGGTGGGCGGGGCTAGTACTTGCTAAGATAAGACTGATTTTGGCAAATGATATACCCTTTAAGAAAGTAAAGGGTGGGTGGGCAGGGCTAGTACTTGTAAGATAAGACTTATTTCGCCAAATGACATATCCTCTGGGAAAACAGGGGGCGGGTGGGCGGGCCTAGTATTTGTTAACATAAAACTGGTTTTGCCCCTATTAATCTTGTAAAAACTTGTGAAATTTAAGGTGTTCCTAAGTCTACACGAAATGTGCAAAATGTGACGAGTTTTTACTTGTGATTTATCATTGCATTCATATTTTTTAGATTTGCTTATACAGGTGGCTCAAAAAAATTAATGAATGTGTCAATTTATGTTATTGATTAAATCAGGAACGGCTCACCCCATTTTCCTAGTAAATACTAACTTTTGATAACAAAATAATGTTAGGTTAGAAGACATTTTCTCATTTTAGTGCAAATCTGCCTAACCCAGATTATTGAAATAAAATTAATAAATAATTAATTATTGCATATTGACGTCCTTCTGAAAGCATGCCGTGTGTAAGATTTTGGATTTTGCAGTTTTAAATATTCGGCAATTTTTTTTTTCTGTAGATTTTTTCGAAAAATATTCAGAAAAGAAACTTTTTCATTTTGTTTATCAATAATTGTGAAAGCTCTCTTCGATTTTCGTGGAATTAAAGACAACTCCATATGCTTCCTCTATTTCTAGATCTATGTCGGAATCGTCGTTGCCAGCCACTAGATAATACTATGCATATAATCTTTTGATATTTCTGTCAGAGTTTAGAAATGTTATATTCGTGTAATCTAAGTATTTAGAAACTAGAGATTGCCATCAAATTTTGTATTATTAAAAAAAAAACAGTCTTGATAAAAATGTCTGAAAAGAACTGATTTTTATCACTCAAACAAAGCAAAAGATGAAATAATAAACTATGATGAAAAATTGATGCGTAAGTGTAGGAAATGCTGTCAAATCAAATGCCAATCATCCGTCAACCCGACTGCATTTAAAATGTAAACCGTTCATGCTCTAACGTAAACTATATTCCTTTGGCTAGTCTTCGAAAATAATTACTCTATTATAAATAAACCGCAAATAATAAGTTTTTACTTGAGATTTATCATTGCATTAATACTTATTTAGATTTGCTCAAACAGGTGGATAAAAAAATTAATGAATGAGTCAATTTATTTATTGATGAAATCAGGAAAATTTTTCCATTTTCGCAGAAAATTTTGGGAGCCGGGCTAAATTTAGCGTTTTTCTAGTTTTATGAGAAGAGTAGCCCCGCCCACCCACCCTTTTTTTTCTTAGAAGATATGTCATTTACCAAAAACAGTCTTATCTTAGAGATACTAGCCCCACCCACACACGCTTGCTATTCTCATTCTAACGATTTTATCTCCCTTCAATTGAGATTCATCCGTCATTCGGATTTAATAAAATGAATCATTGAAATGGAGGCGGGGTGGGTGGGCGGGGTAAATTATATGTTCTTTTGTAAAGTGAAAATGAAAACTGCGCATGCGAGGTGCGAAGAAACTGTCTCAGCTAAGTTGCATTTGCTCGATTTTCTGCGCATTCACTTAATTTAATGCATTTTTACTTAGATCATTGTTCAAATCAACATACACATTTTTTTGGTAGCGATACACAAAACAGTTAAACTTATGAGTGATAAATTATCTGCTGTCGTTATGTGTCATTTGCGCACAATAAAGCATTCATGTTTAAAACAAGAAAATTGTCACTTTTACCACTAATGAATTATTTTAACGAACCAGTTATTTATTGGTCTAGATAGTACGCGACGTATATGACGTGTTTATTTTTTTTTTACATATTTTTTTTGTAGTTCGATTATAGACATTCACTCAAATGACGCACACGGGATTTAAAAAAGGAGATCTAAAAAGCGTCTGAGGTCGTTGTAACGACACCACATTAGGTGAATCACCTGTGCGTTCCTAGAAGTTATTAACCACCGAAATGTTATGGCGTGAGTAAGAGAGGTTGGAAGAAATATAGGGGTTGTAATTGAGAGAATTAAAGCCCACGGAGGACTTTATCGACGACGTTAATGAAACTTTGTTCATCCTATTCAAAAAATCGATGACGTCATCTCAGCATTGTTAAATGAATGTCGCTTTAAAAAATGCAGCGTGACGTGTTTGTTTATGTGTGTTTAATAGTGCGTTCGACTCTTCAAATGTGTACATAGCGGTTGTCCTAAAAAAATTAAGTTCGACATTTCACCAAGATACCATATGATTGAAAAAAAAAGTGGTCTAGAAAGCCATGAAATTTAGACTTATTGTTTTGCGCTGACGTGTTTTTTGGCAGTGAGTGTTAATCTCGTCTATTTTAGTGTACGTGTTAAGTTGACCTATTAGATCGTATTTACTAACACGATTAATGTTGAGTGCCAATTTTTAAAAAGTAGATTAAAAATTAATGTTTTCTGAAATACTCCTGTTTAATTACACGTTGAACCTCCATATCGATGATTTAATTTATTGATTGATGGCATGCTCATTTAATAGCATCGTTAAATTGGGAATGCTTTTATAGAACGAGAGAACTATAACATATAAATAGCCTTTGGAAATCATTTTATAACTACATACAACACCTTAGATCTGAACGTCGTTACGTTGAGGATAAACATTAAAGAGGGAATTGCGGATACAATCGAAACGATTATTTCCACAGGCGTTATAAACAGGGCACAGTTTTCGCACTAGACAAAATCCAGTTTTCTAGGTTTTTTTTAAGGTCACATTTTTCAACTGTGGTTACTTTGCACACTACAACACTGCAGACTGTTTACTGAATTATGTATGTTTGTTAAACGAAAACTTGCATATTAAGATTGCAATGCAACAAATTGACGTTAAACAACGTTTAATTTTTTCCACCCTGTTGCTCGATCCTTTCAACCGCCCGGTTTTTTCCGGAAATTCGCTGTTTGATCTACGTCGATTGTTTGTTTTAACATGTGCGTCATTAATGGAAAAATTGCTGGTGCACGTGATTTTCGAAATTGACTCACTGTGATTAAAAAAAGACGAGGAGGGAGGTTTTTTTTTTTCAGAAAGGGGATTGTTTTTTGAAGGCGACGAAGCGAGGGTAGGTTGGGGTCGCGGCGGCGGCGAATGCTAATCAATAATAGCTCCAGAAGAGTGATGTCTAGTTTACACATGACCGGTCGAGATTTTGGGTATTTTGGTTGAGTAATTTCCTCAGTTGGAGTGACTGGTTTTGTTTGAGATTATAGAAACTAATTTCGTAAAGCCAAACATGTTTTATGTTCTGCGAATTAATTATCGGTGCGAGAATAACCGGTGGATTTTATTTTTGCAGTTAATTTCGTTGCAGCTGCTGCAGAATTTCAAACTTTAACCGTTTTGTTTGGATAAATATGAATGGAATTTAGTTGTTTGGAGTACTAGTCGGAATCAAATTTGCGATAACTGTTGTACGGTGATCGATCAAGCTGTCTGGATGGTATTTCAAATGTGGCGCTCTGTCATATTTGTTTGAGATGACGTCATTAACTTCTGGAGGGGGCGAATAATTTTAGGCTGTGTCACAGTAATTAAATCAATATTGGTGTTTAAAAAACTGAAGTACATAAGTATCGTATGAGCAAAGCATAATCAAACACAACATTGTACAAAATAGGAATTTTACAGCTTGTAAGGTGCCATTAAAAAAATTGTTTTCTCGTATTGAATATTTTATTTTGAGAATTGTGATGTGACAAAAACAAATGGTTTTCAGCGGAGGTAATTTACAGAGTGCTTTTTAAACTGGCGCCTTAACACATTAAAACGAGTTTCACCGTAGAAACGGGAGAATCGTTATTGAAAAGTTGATTTTCTTGGGCTTCCCAGTCAAATTGGATTTTAAGATTGTTCCAGCGTCGAACGAGCTTAATATATGCCAGCAATAAACTTCGTCTTGGTAGCCATTCCCTTTTAGTACTGGAACGACGAGCAAAGTTCTCTTTAAATCAGTTTTTTTTTTGTCGTAAAGCTCATAGATTCCGAGGGCGACAGCGTGGGGTGGTGGGTTGTACTGGCGGCGGCGGCGAATGCTAATCGATACCAGCGCCAGAAGAATGATTCCTGCTCCAGATATAAATTTTCCAACTTGATAATCCCCGAAAACGTGAACAAACAAAAAATCGGTTTGTCACCGGGGTTTTTTTTATTGAGCCATTCGTTTCAATCATTTTTACGCTTTGCTTGGGTAATATCTTCAATTGGTGTGACTGATTGTGTTTTGTTCCCATTCATAGAGTCTAATTCTGCGAAACGGAAACAATGTTTTATTTGTGTTCTTTTAATTGAGTTTTATTTGTTTTCACCGGAACATGGCGCTGAAAAATTTGCGATTTCGTGTTTTGTGGAAGTATTTTTGCGATGAGTCGCGTCAACTCGTTAACACGAGATGTCGAAATGATGAATCAAGCGAAAATTTGCCGTTGCTAACTTGTTGATTTAGCGTTACGTGAGTGAGAAATTCAACGTAGGTTGTGAAAGTCGGAAATTTTTATTCTAGTGGTCATCGCGGAGGTACGAATAGAATGTTAATTGTTGCGAGCTGAACTACCGGATTAAATTTGCAATGGTAATTCGACAGTGATCTATTATTTTGTGGGAAACTGTCCTATAATTTATTAGTACTTGTGGTTTATGAAACCGATTTTTTTCCCGCAGAAATGGTCGACGCCATGAAGAAGGTAGCCAAACTGGACCTGGAACTGACCGTGGAAGAGCGGAACCTCCTCTCGGTGGCCTACAAGAACGTAATCGGGGCAAGGAGGGCCTCGTGGCGTATAATATCGTCGATCGAACAGAAGGAGGAGAGCAAAGGCACCGACGATAAACTCGAGATGATCAGGCAGTACAGATCACAAGTCGAAAAGGAACTGAGGGATATCTGCTCGGACATTCTCGCCGTCTTGGATAAGCACCTGATTCCGGCCGCGTCTACGGGAGAATCCAAAGTGTTCTACTACAAAATGAAGGTCAGTCGTAGTAAAAGGCGGTATTAAAACGGTCGCGGCTCGGTGCTGTTATTAAGTTAATGAATAATGAGCGAGTTGAGAGCTGTCGTTCGATGTAATTATAAAGAGAAAATTGAAAAAAACAAAATTGAGGAATTTTCTTATTGAGTGCAGCGCGGTGTAATTTGATTTGTCGATAGGTGTGACAGAAGGGATAATTTCGAGGGGGATTAACCGGCGGACGAGTTGTGTTATCTCGCATTTATTGAAAGTCTAAATGCGGTTTAATCATGCGGTTTCCAGGCTGGGTTTTGTCACCACTCGATGCGTTTGTGTTGATGATAAGTAGATATGAATTAAGCTGTGGCATTTAGAGCTTTTTTGCAGATAACGGGCGATAATGATAATGATAATGTTTATAGAAATAAATTGTAGATATGAGTGCAGAATTTTTGTTGGTAAAGTTGGAGTGCGCTTTTCGAGTAGAAAACGGAAAAAGTGGCAGAAAGAGGATTTTTTTCCTTAGTTTAATTAATTGAAACATTTTTGAAGGGTGTTGGGTGAATATTCGTTCATTTGATTCAAAAAGTTGATTACGTTCATATATTTAAGCTCGTAATGTTTCCAAATTTTGATCATTTTTTGTAAAAAATTAGTCATCACTACTTGCTACTTCAGATAAAACTGATTTTGGCAATCATATACCCTCTAAAAAAAGAGTAGGCTAAATTTTCTGCAATCACTAAAGTTATTGAAACCTGAAATTTTTGGAATCTTCTGAATCTTTGAAATTTATAGAATGTTCAGAATTTTTGAAATCTCTAGAATTGCTGGAACTGCTAGACTCCAAATCTTGGAATCTTTCGAATTTCCGGAATCTCTAATTTCTTCTAAACCTCTGGAATCCCCAAAACGTCTCGAATTTCTAAAATTTTTCGAATTTTTAGAGTCGCTAATCTTAATCTTTGCAGTTTCTGCTACCGCTAGACTCTTAAACTTTGGATTTCTTGGAATCTTTGGAAAAAATCTAGAATCTTTGACGTCTCCAGAATCTCCAAAACCTCTAGAATCCTTATAATTGTCAGAATCCGTAGAAAGGTTAAAATCGCTAGATCCTAAAAATTCTACAATCTCTAGAATCTTTAAAATCTCTAAATTTGCTACAACTTCCAGAATTCCTAGAATCTTTGGAATCTCTGGAAATGCTGAATCTCTAAATCCTATAGAATCTTTAGAATTGCTGGAACCGCTAGACTCCAAATCTTGTAATCTTTCGAATTTCCAGAATCTTTAACTTCTCCTAAATCTCTGGAATCTCCAAAACGTCTCGAATTTCTCTAACCTCTAGAATTTTTGTAATTTCTAAGTCGCTAATCTTCCAGAATTACTAGAATCTTTGGAATCTCTAGAAATTCTGAATCTCTAAATCCTCGACAATCTTTAGAATGTCTGGAATCTTTAGAATCGCTAGAATTGCTGGAACCGCTACACTCTAAATTTTGGAATCTTTCGAATTTCCAGAAATTTGAACTTCTTCAAAATCTCTACAATCCCCAAAACGTCTCGAATTTTTAGAACCTGTAGAATTTTTGGAATTTCTAAAATTTTTCGAATTTTTGGAGTCGCTAATCTTAATCTTTGAAGTTTCTGCTACCGCTAGACTCTAAAACTTTGGATTTCTTGTAATCTTTGGAAAATCTAGAATCCTTGACGTCTCCAAAATCTCCAAAACCTCTAGAATCTTTATAATCTTCAAAATCCCTAGAAAGGTTAAAATCGCTAAATTCTAAAAATTCTACAATCTCTAGAATCTTTTGAATCTCTACAATTGCTAGAACCGCTTGACTCTAAATTTTGGATACTTCCGAATTTCCGGAGTCTTTAACATCTCGAGAATCATTTGAATCGCCAAAACGTCTCGAATTTCTAGATCCTCAAGAATCTGTAGAATCTTTATAATCTTCTGAATCCCTAGAATTGCTGAAACTGCTAAACTCTAAAACTTGTACAATCTCTCTAGAATTTCTAAATCTTCACAATCTCTAGAATCTTCAAAATCTCTAGAATCTTTCAAATCTCGAGGATGGCTGGAATTCCTAGACTCAAAAACTTAATACCATATTTAGAATCTCTAAATTCTTTCGAATTACTGAAACCTTCTAAATTTTTAAAATCTTCGGAGTCTTTAAAATTTCTAGAATTTTCAGAATCTTTGGAATCTCTGGAAAGTCTGAATCTCTAAATCCTACAGAATCTTCGGAATGTCTGGAATCTTTAGAATCTCTAGAAAAGTTGAAATTGGTAGACCCTAAAACTTTTGGAATCTTTGGAATTTTTATAATCTTTAGAATCTCTAGAATCTTTAGCATCTGCAGAACTTCTGGAATCTCTAAAACCTCATGAATTTGTAGAATTTTTAGAATCTCTAATCTCTGGAATTACTGGAACCGCTAGATTCTAAAACTTTGGTTTTCTTGGAATCTCTAGAAAATTTAGAATCTTTGACGTCTCCAAAATCTCTAAAACCTCTAGAATATTTATAATCTTCAGAATCCCTAGAAAGGTTAAAATCGCCAGATTCTAAAAATTCTACAATCTCTAGAATCTTTAGAATTTCTACAATTGTTTGAAACGCTAGACTCTAAATCTTGGATACTTCCGAATTTCCAGAATCTTTAACATCTCCAGAATCTCTAGAATTGCCAAAACGTCTCGAATTTCTAGAACCTCTAGAGTTTTTGGAATTTCTAAAATGTTTCGAATCTTTAAGAGTCGCTAATCTCTGAAGCTTCTGTAACCGCTAGACTCTAAAACCTATGATTTCTTGGATTCTTTGGGAAATCTAGAATGTTTAACGTGTCCAGAATCTCCAAAAACCTCTACAATTCCTAGAATTGCTGAAACTGCTAACTCTAAATCTTTACAATCTCTTGAATCTCTAATTTCTCCAGTCTCTAGAATTTTTCAAATCTCTAGGATAGCTGGAATCCCTAGACTCAAAAGCTTAATATCATATTTAGAATATAAATTTTCTGCAATCTCTCGAATTACTGGAACCTTCTAAATTTTTAGAATTTTCGGAGTCTTTGAAATTTCTAAAATTTTTAGAATCTTTGGAATCTCTGGAAATTCTGAATCTCGAAATCCTATAGAATCTTCGGAATGTCTGTCATCTTTAGAATATCTTGAAAAGTTGAAATCGCTAGACCCTAAAACTTTTGGAATCTTTGGAATTTTTATAATCTTCAGAATCTCTAGAATCTTTAGCATCTACAGAACGTCTAGAATCTCTAAAACATTTAGAAATTTCTAGAATCCAGAATTGCTGGAACCGCTAGACTCTAAAACGGTGAATTTCTTGGAAGATTCTAAAGATTCCCTAAAACCTCAAGAATTTCTAGAATCTTAGAAACTCTAATATCTGGAACTACTGGAACCGCTAAATTCTAAAACTTTGGGTTTTCTTGGAATCTTTGGAAAATCTAGAATCTTTGACGTGTCCAGGATCTGCAAAACCTCTACAATCTTGATAATCTTCAGAATCCCTAGAAAAGTTAAAATCGCTGGATTCTAAAAATTCTACAATCTCTAGAATTTTTAGAATCTATAATTGCTGGAACCGCTAGACCCAGAGTCTTGGATACTTTCGAATTTCCGGAATCTTTAGCATTAGAATCTCTACAATTGCTGGAACCGCTAGACTCTAAATCTTGGATATTTCCGAGTTTCCAGAATCTTGAACATCTCCAGAACCTCTAGAATCGCCAAAACGTCTCGAATTTCTAGAACCTCTTGAATTTTTGGAATTTCTAATGTTCTTCGAATCTTTAGAGTCGCTAATCTCTGAAGCCTCTGTAACCGCTAGACTCTAAACCCCACGATTTCTTAGATTCTTTGGAAAATCTAAAATCTTTAACGTCTCTAGAATCTAAACAAACCTCTAGAATCTTTACAATCTTCAGAATCTCGAGAATTGGTGAAACTGCTAAGCTCTAAAATTTGTGCAATCTCTAGAATCTCTAAATTCTCCACAATCTCTAGAATCTTCAAAATCTCTAGAATCTTTCAAATCTCTAGGATGGCTGGAATTCTTAGACTCAAAAACTGAATACCATATTTAGAATCTCTAAATTCTTTCGAATTACTGAAACCTTCTAAATTTTTAGAATCTTCGGAGTCTTTGAAATTTCTAGAATTTTGAGAATCTTTGGAATCTGGAAACTCTGAATCTCTAAATCCTATTGATTCTTCGGAATGTCTGGAATCTTTAGAATCTCCAGAATCCTTGGCATCTGCAGAACTTCTAGAATCTCTACTAAAACCTTTAGAATTTCTAGAATCTAGAATTGCTGGAACCGCTAGACTGTACAACGTTGAATTTCTTGGAATCTTTACAATCTCTAAAACCTTAAAAATTTCTAGAATCTTTGGAATCTATCGAATCTCTGGAATTACTGGAACCGCTAAATTCTAAAACTTTAGAAAATCCAGAATGTTTAACTTCTGGGCGGGGCTGTCAAGATAAGACTGATTTTGGCAAATGAGATTTCCTCTAAGAGAAGAGAGGGTGGGTGGGCGGGGCTAGTAGCTGTTAAGATAAGACTGATTTTTGGCAAATGCATATCCTCTAAGAAAAGAGAGGGTGAGTGGGTGGGGCTAGTACCTGTTAAGAAAGCCTGATTTTGGCAAATGAGATTCGTTTAATAAAATAGAGGACGGGTGGGTGGGGTTAGTGCCTGCCAAAATAAGACTGAGATTGGCAAATGGCCTACTCTCTAAAAAAAATGAACGGCGAGTGGACGGGGCTGGTACTTGCCAAGATAACACAGATTTTGCCAAATGACTTACCCTCTAAGAAAATGAAGGGTAGAGCGTATATCATTTGGCAAAATCAGTCTTATCTTGGCAAGTGTTGACCCCACCCACCCACCCTTTCTTTTTTTAGAGAGCAAAATTGACAATAAGTTTTTTTTTTTTGTTATAACCGGCCAAGTTTTACAACATTTTATATGATAATGTATTTACAGGTCAGTAACTTAAAGTAGTTAACATGAAATGTTTAAATAAACGCCACACACAAAGTATAAGTTTCTCGTTACTAAGAATAATAAAGGATAATAAAGGAGTCTAACAGCATTTGTTTCTGTTGTTAAATAGAGACCATTAAATGTAATGAAGATTTACTAGAAATGTCGTAAAATGCTGTTCAAATATGTGGTAAAAATTCTCCACTCTATTTAAAAGTAGTACATATGTCGTAATAACTTAAAAATAATGCCATTACAAACACTGAAAAACATACAAGTAATAAAACCTTATTTCACAAAGTTTTGCTTCATCGTTTTTCTTAACAATCACAAATTATTTTTTTTAAGTAATTCATTATTTTAACAATTACTTTTTTACATTATTTTTCTATCATCTAACGGGGCAAGAAAAAACGTGTTAGAAGGAAAAAGTCAGTGAGTAATTAATTTTATTGTTACGTCGATGGGTGAATAAAATCGGCGTGTATGAAACTGACTACACAGCAATTATGTACAATATAAATCCGGCGCAACTTGACTGTACTCTCGTGGACTGAACTGACTGAATAATAATCGTTCCCGAAGGTGGCCTCTATTTAAATCCATACTCCCCTTTTAGAAGTTCCGCAGTCGAGATCTTTCTGAACTGCCCAAAGCGATTTCCGCTTCCAAGCTTTTCTCCGGCCGCCGTCATAGAAAATGAGTCATCATCGCATTATTAACGCATTTGTTACGTATTCACATCAATAAAATCAAATAAAATAAATGGAATTGTATTACATTTTGTAAACATGTCTCTAAAACATGGAGCACTTTAATTCAGTAGATTTAATTGTAAATAAATTATTTCACACTTACCAAAATATCTTTCCGCAGATTTGAGGATGCTGCTAAACTGCACGATAAAATTTTTGTTACAGGTAAACAAAGCTTACATTGCGCTTTTAAATTTTTAGACGACTTCTCAGTGCATTCAAAAACATTTTCATAGCTAAGCCAAGGTAAATGAAGATCACCGTTTTTGGTGGTCATTGTAATTATAATAATCACAATCACAATATAACTCACAATTACAAGATCGACAATTGCTCTTCAAGGGCTGTTTAAAAAGTGGCTGCAAATTTTGCAAATTCCAGCTTTTATATTAATCACAAATTTTGTAAAAAAGTTCACAACAGCACCACTGGAAAAAATTGGGTTTTACATATTACACAAAACTTTTGCCAAAGTTCTTTTTCTTCTTGTTAAGTAAAATTTAAAGCAAATTTCAAAACCATGAAGTGATATTCATAGATTTCAGTTTAACTAATAACGGAGTACCACGAATATCAACCCAATCCCAGTCTTATTATTCAGAGAAATGCAAAATGCAATTCACAGAAAAATACATCTCAAAGTCGTTAAAATAATATTTGAAGAACTTATGTATCATGGTTTCCTAAGAAATTCTGTGCTAAACTCGTTTTAGATTTTGACTCTTTACTTGGTTAAAATTATCTTTATAAAAATTTAATTTGTTTATTCGGTTTCTAACACATTGATTTGTCGACTGTGTCGAGGTTTTCAAATTTTTCTGTTTCCTTTTGTTATAAGGCAGTTACCAAACTCATAGTGTAATATTTGGACTATTGAAAAATTCTTAGAAGATGGCGTTAGTTTTAAGATTCAAAATTTAAATCTTATGTGGTATCTCATCGAGTAAAAAGTAATTTTTTGCTAAATTTTCGTTGGTCTGCATCTTAAAATTGTCAAATTATGATTAAGTAATTAATTATCGTTTTAAAAGTACCAAAATAATAAACTAAGTGGTTATTTTACCACGATCTAATTTTAATAACTTTCCAAAAAAAATAAACCGAAAACTCAAATGTCTAATATTAGCCCATTACGTTCTAATTTTAAAAGTTGGAGAAAATTTGCAGCTTAGTCTCAAATATCTAATATTAGTCCCGGGCGCATCCTCCCCCATTCATCCCTCTCCGCCGCACGCCAGCACTGCACTCCTCTACGACCCCTTTTTTTCACGGCCATCTGCCGGTATCGATCCGCACTACGCCGCTCCCGAGCGCCCCCAGGCGCCGCAACGTAATCGGCGCCGCTATTCTTTTCGCATATTTTCTATATATCTATATATTTTTCTCCGCTCTCTCTGCTAACCGTCTGCGTCTGTTCGTTTTCAGGGCGATTACCACCGATACCTGGCCGAATTCGCAACGGGCAACGACCGCAAAGACGCCGCCGAACACTCGTTGGTGGCTTACAAATCGGCGAGCGACATCGCCATGACAGAACTGCCGCCTACGCATCCGATCAGGCTCGGCCTCGCGTTGAACTTCTCCGTATTCTATTACGAAATCCTGAATAGTCCGGACAGGGCCTGCCGCCTCGCGAAGGCGGCATTCGACGACGCCATCGCCGAGTTGGATACGTTATCGGAGGAGAGCTATAAAGACAGCACGTTGATAATGCAGTTGCTGCGGGATAACCTGACGCTGTGGACCAGTGATATGCAAGGAGATGGTTTGTATTTTTCTCTTTTATGATTTAGGTTCAAAAATACTGAAGTCGAAAAAGAAATAGTCGAAACGGTATAGCGCTTTATATCGTTTATGGTAACTGACCGAAAATTACTGCAAGTTGTAAGCGTACGAATAAGTTTGAAGTGGTCATTTGTGTCACATGCCCGAAGCATAATCTCATCGTTTGCGATATGAATATTTTCCAGTGAAATTTTTGGCGGTTTTTGATTTAGACTCAAAACCTTGTACTATATTTAGAATCTCTAAATTCTCTAGGAACTCTAGAATTGTTGGAGTCTTTGAAATTTTTGAAATTTTTACAACCAATTTCAGGAATCTTTTTATAATCTCTGAAATGTTTAGAATTATTAGAATCTTCAGAATCTCTAGAATGATTAGAATCGCTAGACTCTAAAACTTGTACAATTCTTAGAATGTTGACATTCTCTACAATTTACATAATTACTAGAATCTTTGGATCTCCGAAAACTCTTGAGTCTCTAAATCCCATGGAATCTCTAGAATCTTTAGAATGTCTCCATCAAAAGCAAAATTTAGAATCTACAATTGCTGGAACCGCTAGACTCTATCTTTGAATCTTTCGAGAATTTCCAGAATCTTTAACATCTCCAGAATCTCTAGAATCGCCAAAACGTCTCGAATTTCTAGAATTTCTAGAATTTTTGGCGTTTCTAAAATTTTTCGTATCTTTAGAGTGTTTAATCTCTAAAGTTTCTGTAACCGCTAGACTCTAAACCTTTGGAATTCTTGGAACCTTTGGAAAATCTAGAATCTTTAACGCCTCCAGAATCTCCAAAATTTCTAGAATCTCTAGACCCTTTACAATCTTCAGAACACCAGAAAGATTGAAATCGCTAGACTCCAAAAATTCTACAATCTCTAGAAGCTTTGGAATCTCTACAATTGTTGCAACCGGTAGACTCTAAATCTTGGAATCTTTCGAATTTCCAGACTCTTTTAGGGTCGCTAATCTGTTACCGCTAGACTCTAAAACTTTGGATTTCTTGGAATCTTTGGAAAGTTTAGAATTTTTGACGTCTCCAGAATCTCCAAAATCTCTAGAATTTTTATACTCTTTAGAATCCCTAGAAAGGTTGAAATCGCTAGACTCTAAAAATTATACAATCTTTAGAATCTCTACAATTGCGAAACCGCTAGACTCTAAAACTTTGGATTTCTTGGAATCTTCTGAAAATGTAGAATATTTGACATGTCCAGATTCTCCAAAAACCTCTAGAATCTTTATAATCTTCGGAATCCCTAGAATTACTGAAACTGCTAAACTCTAAAACTGATACAGTCTCTAGAATCTCTAAATCCTCCACAATCTCTAGAATCTTTCAAATCTCTAGGATGGCTGGAATCCCTAGACTAAAAAACTTAATACCATATTTAGAACCTCTAAATTTTCTACAATCTCTCGAATCACTAAAACCTTCGAAATTTTTGGAATCTTCTGAATCTTTGAAATTTCTAGAATTTTTATAATCTTTGGAATCTCTAGAATGGTTCGATTCGCTATACTTTATAAAACTTATACAGTCTCTAGAATCTCTAACTTTCCTACAACTTCCAGAATTACTAGAATCTTTGGAAATTCTGAATCTCTAAATCCTCTACAATCTTTAGAATGTCTGGAATCTTCAGAATCTCTAGAATTGTAGAATTGCTGGAACCGCTAGACTCCAAATCTTGGAATTTTTCGAATTTCCAGAATCTTTTAACTTCTAAACCTCTAGAATCCCCAAAAGGTCTCAAATTTCTAGAACCTCTAGGATTTTTGGAATTTCTAAAATGTTTCGAATCTTTAGAATCGCTAATCTTAATCTGTGAAGCTTCTGTTGCCACTAGACCCTAAAATTTTGCATTTCTTGGAATCTTTGACGCCTCCAGAATCTCCAAAACCTGTAGAATCTTACAATATTCAGAATTCCTAGAATTATTGAAACTCCTAAACTCTAAAACTTGTACAGACTCTAGAATTTCTAAATTCGCCACAATCTCTGGATTCTCCGAAATCTCTAGAATCTTTCAAATCTCTAGGATGGCTAGAATCCCTAGACTCAAAAACTTGCACCATACTCTCTCAGAATCTCTAAATTTTATGCAATCTCTCGAATTACTGAAACCTTCGAAAATTTTGAAATATTCGAAATCTTTGAAATTTCTAGAATTTTCAGAATCTTTGGAATCTCTAGAATGGCTATAATCGTTGGATTCTAAAACTTGTACAATCTCTAGGATCGCTAAATTTTCTACAACTTCCAGATTTCCTAGAATCTTTGGAATCTCTGGAAATTCTGAACTTCTAAATCTTATAGAATCTTTGGAATATCTAGAATCTTTAGAATCTCTAGAAAAGCTGAAATCGCTAGCGCCTAAAACTTTTAGAATGTTTGGAATTTTTATGATCTTTCGAATCTCCAGAATCTTTGGCATCTGCAGAAATTCTAGATTCTCTAAAGCCTCTAGAATTTTTAAAATCTCTAGAATTTTTAAAATCTCTAGAATTGCTGGAACCGTAGGCTCTAAAACGTTGAATTTCTGGAAATCTTTACAATCTCTGAAACCTCCAGAATTTCTAGAATCTTTAGAATTTTTGGAATTTATAAAATTTCTCGAATCTTTAGAATCTCTTAATCTCTAGAAGCACTGTAACCGCTAGATTCTGAAACTTTCGATTTCTTGAATATCCAGAATCTCTAAAACCTTTAGATTCTTTATGATCTTCAGAATCCCTAGAATTCTGATATTTCAAAACTCTAAAACTTGCACAATGTTTAGAATCTCTTTTTCTCTATAGTCTCTAGAAATACTAGAATCTTCAGAATCTTTCAAGTTTCTAGCATGGCTGGAAGCGCTAGACTCGAAAATTTGTACCATATTTAGAGTCTAAATTTTATACAATTTCCCGAATTACTGGATCTTTCAAATTTCTAGTATCTTCGGAATCTTTGAAATATCTAGAATCATCGGAATCTTTAGAATCTCTAGAGTGGCTAGAATCGCTAAATTTTAAAACTTGTGCAATCTAATCGCTAGATCCTAAAACTTGGAATCTTTGGATTGTTTATAACACTATGCAACACTAAAAAATTCACAGAAAGTTCAGATAGTGTTTGAGGTTGGGTATACTCCATATACTAAAGAAAAAAATGTTTTATACTCATATCACATCACAAAACATAGATAATGGGTGTTTTGTTTTTCTTACTTTTTGGGACACTTGATTGCATTTAATCGTAAAAATATCGCTTTTATGTATCCACCCATGCTTGCAGACTTCTGTTGGTGTCTTCAGAGGGATACCGCGAGATCTGGCTACAATAGGAATGCCAATCGTTCGAAAAAAAAGACCTTTTCTAATGAAAAATGAAGTATTGTTTTATTAATTTTGTATGATTTCAAAAAATTCAATAAACACTTTTCATTGTGATACCTGATGTGATAGGTACGTACCTATACTCCATATACTAAAGAAAAAAATGTTTATACCCATATCACATCATAAAACATAGTTAACGGGTGTTTTGTTTTTCTTACTTTTTGGGACACTTGATTGCAGTTAATCGTAAAAATATCGCTTTTATGTATCCACCCATGCTTGCAGACTTCTGTTGGCGTCTTCAGAGGGATACTGCGAGATCTGGCTACAATAGGAATGCCAATCGTTAGAAAAAAAAAAGACGTTTTTCAATGAAAAATGAAGTATTGTTTTATTAATTTTGTATGATTTCAAAAAATTCAATAAACACTTTTCATTGTGATACCTGATGTGATAGGTTGGGTACCTATACTCCATATACTAAAGAAAAAAATGTTTTATACTCATATCACATCACAAAACATAGATAACGGGTGTTTTGTTTTTCTTACTTTTTGGGACACTTGATTGCATTTAATCGTAAAAATATCGCTTTTATGTATCCACCCATGCTTGTAGACTTCTGTTGGTGTCTTCAGAGGGATACTGCGAGATCTGGCTACAATAAGAATGCCAATCGTTCGAGAAAAAAGACCTTTTTCAATGAAAAATGAAGTTTTGTTTTATTAATTTTGTATGATTTCAAAAAATTCAATAAACACTTTTCACTTTGAAACCTGATGTGATACGACTCTTTCAAGCACAATCCTCAATTGAGTTTGAGGTAAGAAATTTTAACTACATACTGTGCATTCTGTGAATTTTATTTTTTTTTAATTTGTTGCATAGTGTAATCTTTAGAATCTCCAGAATCTTTAGCATCTGCAGAACTTCTGGAATCTATAAAACCTCTGGAATTTTTAGAATCTCTGGAATTACTGGAACCGTTAGACTCTAAAAGGTTGAATTTCTTGGAGTCTTTACAATCTTTAAAACCTCTAGAATCTATAGAATCTTTAAAACTTTTGGAATCAATAAAATTTCTCCGATCTTTGGAATCTCTATTCTCTAGAATTACTGGAACCGTTAGATTCAAAAATTTTGAATTTATTGGAATTTTTAGAAAATCCAAAATCTTTCACTTCTCCAGAATCTCTAAGACCTCTAGAATCTTTATAATCTTCAGAATCCCTAGAATTCTGAAATTGCAAAACTCTAAAACTTGTACAGACTCTTGAATTTCGAAATTCGCCACAATCTCTGGAATCTTTGAAATCTCTAGAATCTTTCAAATGTCTTGGATGGCTAGAATCCCTAGACTCGAAAACTTGTACCATATTTAGTATCTCTAAATTTTCTACAATCTCTCGAATTACTGAAACCTTTGAAAACTTTGGAATCTTCGAAATATCTGAAATTTCTAGAATTTTCAGAATCTTTGGAATCTCTGGAATCGCTGGATTCTAAAATTTGTACAATCTCTAGAATCGCTAAATTTTCTACAACTTCCAGATTTACTAGAATATTTGGAATCTCTGGAAATTCTGAATTTCTAAATCTTATAGAATCTTTGGAATATCTGGAATCTTTAGAATCTCTAGAAAAGCTGAATTCGCTAGACCCTAAAACTTTTGGAATGTTTGGAATTTTTATGATCTTTCGAATCTCCAGAATCTTTGGCATCTGCAGAAATTCTAGAATCTCTAAAGTCTCTAGAATTTTTAAAATCTCTAGAATTGCTGGAACCGTAGGCTCTAAAACGTTGAATTTCTGGGAATCTTTACAATCTCTGAAACCTCTCGAATTTCTAGAATCCTTAGAATTTTTGGAATTTATAAAATTTCTGGAATCTTTAGAAAATCTTAATCTCTAGAAGCACTCCAACCGCTAGATTCTAAAACTTTCGATTTCTTGAATATCCAGAATCTCTAAAACCTTTAGATTCTTTATGATCTTCAGAATCCCTAGAATTCTGACATTTCAAAACTCTAAAACTTGCACAATGTTTAGAATCTCTTCTTGTCTATAGTCTCTAGAAATACTAGAATCTTCAGAATCTTTCAAGTTTCTAGCATGGCTGGAAGCGCTAGACTCGAAAACTTGTACCATATTTAGAGTCTAAATTTTCTACAATTTCCCGAATTACTGGATCTTTGAAATTTCTAGAATCTTCCGAATCTTTGAAATGTCTAGAATCATCAGAATCTTTAGAATCTCTAATCGCTAGATCGTAAAACTTGGAATCTTTGGAATGTTTATAATCTTTTGAATCTCCAGAATCTTTAGCATCTGCAGAATTGCTGGAACCGTTAGACTCTAAAACGTTGAATTTCTTGGAATCTACAATCTCTAAAACCTCTAGAATTTATAAAATTTTTCCAATCTTTGGAATCTCTATTCTCTAGAATTACTGGAACCGTTAAATTCTAAAACTTTGAATTTATTGGAATCTTTAGAAAATCTAGAATCTTTATGATCTTCAGAATTCCTAGGACAATGTCTAGGATCTCGAAATTCTCTACAATTTCTAGAATTACTAGAATCTCTATAATTTTTAAAATCTCTAGGATAGCTGGAACCTCTAGACTCGAAAACTTGTACCAAATTTAGTTTAATTCTTTAAATTTTCTACAATTTCTCGAATTCCTGGAATTTTTGGAAGCTCTAGAACGGTTGGAGTTAACTAGAATCTTCGGAATCCCTGGAAACTCTTGAAATCGCTAGATCCTAAAACTTTTGGAATTTTTATAATCTTTAGAATCTCCAGAATCTGTAACATCTGCAGAACTCTTGGAATCTCTAAAACCTCTGGAATTTTTAGAATCTGTAAAATTGCTGGAACCGTCAGGCTCTAAAAACGTTGAATTTTTGGAATCTCTACAATCTCTCCTCTAGAATTTTTGGAATTTATAAAATGTCTCGAATCTCTAGAATTGAATTACTGGTACCCCTAGATTCTAGAACTTTGGATTTCTTGGAATCTTTAGAAAATCCAGAATTTTTAACCTCTAGAACCTCTAAAACCTCTAGAATCTTTATAATCTTCAAAATCTTTAAAATGTCGAATTACCGGAATCTTTAAAATTTTCGGCATCTTTGGAATCTTTGAAATCTCTAGAATCATCAGAATTTTTAGAATCTCTAGAATGGCTAGATTTACTAGAATCTTTGGAATCTCTGCAAACCCTTGAAATCGTTGGATCCTAAAACGTTTGGAATCTTTAGAATCTTCAGCATCTGCAAAGCTTCAGTAATCTCTAAAACCTATGGAATTTTTAGAATATCAAGAATTGGTGGTACCGTTGGACTCTAAAACGTTGAATTTCTTGGAATCTTTACAATGTCTAAAATCACTAGAATTTTTAGAATCTTCAGAATTTTTGGAATATATAAAATTACTCGAATCTTTTGAATCTCTATTCTCTAGAATCCTAAAACTTGCAATCTTTGGAATTTGTAGAATCTTTAGAATCTCCAGTATCTTTAGCATCTGCAGAACTTCTAGAATCTCTAAAACCTTTGGAACTTTTAGAGTCTCTAGAGTTGCTCGAATCGCTAGACTCTAAAACCTCTATAATTTCTAGAATCTTCAGAATTTTTGGAATTCATAAAATTTCTCGAATCTTTGGAATCTCTAATCTCAAGAATTACTGGAACCGTTAAATTCTAAAACTTTGGATTTTTTGGGGTCTCTAAAACCTCTAGAATCTTTACGATCTCTCGAATTACTGGAATATTTGAAGTCTCTAGAATCATCAGTATCTTTAGGATCTCTAGAATGGCTAGAATTACTAGAATGTTTGGACTCTGGAAACTCTTGAAATCGCCAGATCCTAAAAGTTTTGGAATCTTTGGAATTTTTATAATCTTTAGAATCTCCAGAACCTTTAGCATTTGCAGAACTTCTGGAATCTTTAAAAACTCTGGAATTTTTAGAATCTCTAGAATTCTAAAACGTTGAATTTCTTGGAATCTTTACAATCTCTAAAACCTCTGGAATTTCTATAATCTTTGGAATTTTTGGAATTTATAAAATTTCTCGCATCTTTAGAATCTCCAATCTCTAGAATCGGAACCTCTAGATTCTAAAACTTTGGATTTCTTGGAACCTTTGGAAAATCCAGAATCTCTAGAATTGCTGAAACCGCCAAACTCTAAAAACTTGCACAATCCCTAGAATCTTCAAATACTCTACAGTCTCTATAATTACTAGAATCTTCAGAATCTCTAAATTCTCAACAATTTCTAGAATATCTAAATTCTCTACAATTCCCAGAATAACTAGAATCTTTGAAATCTCTACATCCTATGGAATCTCTGGAATCTTTAGAATTTCTAAAATTTTCACTAGCTTTAGAATCTCTCAAAAGGTTGATATTACTTCATTGGATTTTGTAACAGTTGTAAATATAGAAAAAGTTTTGGAGTGATCATTTATTCGTCTAAAAATAGTCTAATTATTTGGCAACATAACTGCGAGCATTGTTGGAATGGAATTTGTCTATCTGACGAATGCCAAGCTCTATGTTTTCTGGACGTGTCTGTCCAGATTTTAATTAGACAAATCTTCGAAACTACCGGACCGATTGCTGTCATGTTTTTTATAAAATGACATACTCCAGTACTTCTGGTTTATGAATTTGCCTTGATTTTTATCACAATTACTTTTCAAAAATTGTGCATCCTCGTCAGTTTTTTTTTTGTCTAACGAATTGAATTTAGTAATATACTTTTCTTTTCCTAAATACACAGAGTGAGAGTAAGAAGTCTGTGAATTCATATCTAGCAATAATAAAATTTTTAAGTTCTTAATTAAACGTTTGCTTCATAGACCTAAAATTATTAATTACTTTTTTAAATGTTAGTTTCCACAGTTGTAATGAAAATATAATATAGAGTAAAACTTATCGTTTTGAATGTGATTAAGATAAAAAAAAAAAACAATTAAAATAAAAGATAAAATAGCTTATCAACTTTTTTTGAAGGCACTACTTAACGATGATCCGTGAATTTCGATAAGGACCGGAAAGCGTTTCCAGGTGCAGTATTGCGATAAGCTTAATTAAATTTGCCGATTGGATCATCTAAAGGTATTTAATTTCATGAGTATGATTAGTTTATTTTTCGGATTTTAAGTTTTGACGTCACCTTATCGGACTAAAGGAGTTTTTTTTTTTTTAATAGAGTAATAATCGCTGGTTTTTTGTTATCAGTTGATTTCTGACTAAAACTAATGAGACTTTTAAAATGAAATTTACAAAAACGAGACGAGTCGAGTTTTTTAATTTTTCGAGATACTGTCACAGCTAAAGGAATTGTTTCTGAAATAATTGCGGCAGCTACTATTTCTTACAACTACCACTTGCTGCGCTTAATCGTGTAATTTTACAGTTATACATATCAAGTAATTGCGTTTCAACCGGAAAGTTCCATTTAAAGTGATGTTAATAGCAATAAGCGGCAAATTTTGTGGTGTTGTTTTACGTGGAATTGAGATTCTTAAAATTTGATTTATGTAACAAAAACACAACCAAAATTTGACTAAATAATATTATTAAAAGTAAATCGCTTTTTAACTGTTCTGAATTTCGTCGAAAGACCACCGACAAAAAGTCGCATTATTCTTGGCGATGAGATTATGCGATGCGGATGTGACTAACGTACGAAAGCGGCTTCACCAGGAACGAAGTTTACGTGACTGGTGAAATTGACGTTGTTTAAATTCGTAGTCAAAATTAGTAAGCGCTAAAGTTACCACAACGTGAATAAATATCGCCAGATATCACCAGCTGCCGCTGTTTTCAGACCGAGTGTTTATTTGCGAAAGACTTTTTACTTTAAAACAAAATTGTTAAAATAAATTCAGAGCCGACGATGCGAAACAGTGGCGTAAATCGGGCAATAAATTAACCTGTAAAATTAAATATGATGGTCACAAATTGCGCCTTATCAGGCAAATATTGGTATTTATCGATGACTAACCGAGCAAATTCTAAAGTTGAAAGATTCGATAGCGACTTAAGTCGTTGTCTGAAGATAAGCAAGCAGAGGTCAAGAATATCCAAGGTGTTGGTACGCAGATGAAATTGGAAATAAAATCGTCTTTATCGGACTTTTATTGCTCGGAGTAATTTATTGTTGCACTTACGCAAGTAACTGCGACGGAGCCTTGAATGCGTAGCGTTAGGTGGGATTGATTAGGTTTGGAGGGGAAAATTTTGCGATGGGGTAAACGACGCAAATGTATGTAACGTGTTGTGGTTTTCAGGAGAGGCGGAGCCTAAAGAGCAGCTCCAAGACGTAGAGGACCAAGACGTGTCGTAACTTGACTGCCGGTCATCACCATACGAACTAAACAGTGCTGTGTAGTGCGGGCCAGGCCCAGACATTCGAACAGGGACGGTAACCGTCTCGATCCCAGTACATACTGTATTATTATAATTATCTTAGCCGTAACTCTATATTGTATCTGTTTGTCTCAATTTGTATGAATGAGAGAGCCTCTCTACGAGCGACTGTTCTCTTCATTTTCTCTCTCCTCTTCCTCCTCCTCACCTAGTCCTCGGCACGCGCAATGTTAATCTTTTTCTATCAAACAGAGAAAATCAACGTACTCTCGGTATAGTAATCGCTTTGCCCCTCCCGTCGTCCCCTCCCCCGTTTTGTTTCCGTTGGTTTCGATCATGCATGGTGTCTCCAATGAGAGTAGTGTGGTGGTGTGGATGAGATCGGCTGGATAGATTTCTCGTTTTTGCTTTAAGTATTTATAATTTAATAGCAAAATTGTCAGGCAGCAGTTTCAAGGATCTTCGGAAATTCACGTTGGTTCTAGTATTAAGTCGGTATACTAAAGGTTGGCGACAGTATTTCGTTGAAAACACGCATAGTTCCGTACAAATGGCATTCCGTATAATTTCTTGCTACTTTTGTTTCGAGTACTTAATGGTAGATTTTATGTGATGGTGATCTGCATGTCAAAATCCGCGCGAGCAATAAGTTATTTGGATTTTTTTCACGTTGTGTTGACATCCAGGTTATCTCTAAAGAATTCTTATTTTTTTAAAGTCGTTGCATCACTTATTTGTCGGAAAACTGGTGAAATTGAAGTTTCAGTTCGCTGTACTTAATCATTGTTGTCACCACTGCCAGAGAATCTCGTGGAGGGAATTTTGAAATAACGAAATTATAGAGTTGGGTTGGTGCAGGATTTTACCAGTTTTTTCAAAGATTATGACAAATTTTTTGGCTGTTAATGTTTTTTTAACTGCATTTTTAACGTGCGTATGAATGTAAAAAACATGCTGTGTAGATTGATTTAAAGAAATTGATGTATTATTATAAAATTATTTAAAAACACGACTTGTTTATTTACTTTTACATTAAACACACACTGGTTTTACAACAACCTCCCTTTACATTCTAAGGAACCACAATGACAATATAACACTCTTCCTGGCACGCTGCCGATGTCGTAGTTGTAGTTCCAAGTCAGCTCCGTACCGGCCCTTATGAACTGAGAGCAGAAGAAGGCCACCCAGGGGAACCTCAGGTCGTGAGTATCGACGAAGACGTTCTGGACGAACACATTCGGCGAACAAGAATGCTAAAAAAATAAAGTTACTAGATTTGACATTTTTATCACTAACAAAATTAGTGAGGTTATGTAAACAACCACTGAAGTCGCAGACGAAATTTTAGTCGCTTCATTCGAGTATCAAAATATCCAGTGAGACCGATAAAAAACACGATCAAGGCAGCCATTTGAAGATTTGTTTTGGATAGAATTTTCGTCGTCAGTTTCATGGCTACCTTTGATCGTGGTTTTTATTGTTTTCTGAGTAGAATAACACAAGTGACACATTAAAAAAAAACAAGTTTATACATTCACTTAACACAACTTAACATATAAGTGACACCGTTAACTTAAACTATTACCACATAGAATTGTGGTTGACTTAGATCATATATTATTATTATATGACGTAAGATGGTTGAAGCTGACGTTTCTTTATTACTAAGTTTTGTTTATGACTTGACAAAATGCAAGCAAATTTCAATGATTCCAACTTTCCAGTGTAGTTCAAACTGGAAAGCCACGATTCAAGGGATTTACTATTGGAAGGTCGAATTTAAAATTAATGTATGGCGCCATGGAATCGACCCTTTACTCTAGGCAACCCATCATTCATGAGTTGACAAACAAACAACTTTATTCGAAATTTAATTTAACAAGTTCAAATTTTGACGCGTAAGATCTAATCAAAGACATGAAAAAGCATTTCCGTAGCCTACTCTAACCTGAAAGTTTTCAGAAAGGGCAAGACATGCCTGTCAGTGAGAGAGGGTGATTAAATTTAAGAAATTGCTAAACTACACTGTTAACAGCAAACTTTGAAGTTGCTTACGACTTATTATTGAAAAATGTTGATTTTCAAAAACTTTTTTTTAAAATCCTGGCATATACATTTCGACGTGCTGATTCCAAAAAACTCGTATTTTAATGAGTGATTTTGGAAAAACAGCCGGAGTTACTCAAAACATGAGGCAGAAACTAGATGAGGTCGGAAGGTACAAGAAAATGCCTTTAGTTAAGTGTGGAAGATGACGGAAAAAATCCAAAATTTTCATAATCGAAAAAATCTGGTTTTGAAAAAGTTGGCCAAAAATTCTCTAGAAATTCTGGGACATGGTTTTCGATGCTTTGTTTCCAAAAATAGTGTGTGTTTGTGGTTCCGGGGCAAGATTTTTAGAAATATTGGGTTTGAAATATGTATTTAAAAAAAATCCAAAAAAAAAAACAACTCATCGATATTTCAATGGGCGATTCTACAAAATGACTGAAAAATTTTGGTTTTGATAAAGTTGCCTAAAGATCCTCAAAAAATTCTGTGATATAGATTTCTTCGACCTAATTCCAAAAATATAGTGTTTTTATGAACTCGGAGCAAGTTTTTAGAAAAATTCATTTTCAACTGCAAATTTAAAAAAAAATCCAAAAAAATCATATTTCAGTTGGCGATTCTGAAAAAGTACTCAGAGTTATCGAAGAAATAAAGGAGAAAGTAACTTTTAGAGGTCGAAATGTAGATGAAAATGTCTTTAGTTAAGTTTCCAAGATGGTTGAAATTTTGATTGAAAAATTTTAGTTTTGAAAAAGTTGTCTGAAAATCCTTAAAAGGCAAAATTTTAGAAATGTTCGTTTTGAAATCGCAAATTAAAAAAAAAATCAAGAAATAAGGCCGTCTGTAATTTCTGAAGGTCGAAATCTACAAGACAATCTCTTTAGTTAAACTTCGAAGATGGTGGAAAAATCCCAAAATTTTTATACGAAGGGGATTTTGAAAAAGTTTACAAAAAAAATCTGGAATATAGATTTATGCTAGGAATCATGGAAGAAATGGGGTCGAAATCTACAAGAAAGTCTTTAGTTAAGCTTCGAAAGTGGTCAGAAAATTCAGAAATTTTCATAAGAGTGGAATTTTGAAAAATTTCGGGCTTGAAAACATTTACAAGAGCCTAAAAAAAATCTGGAATATAGTTTACGAGGTGCTGATTTCAAAAATATAGCGTTTTCAGGGTCCCGGGGCAATATTTTATAAATATTCAGTATGAAATGCAAATTTTCAAAAATTCAAAAAACTGCCATATTTCGCGTTCTGCAAAAACGGCAGGAGTTATCAAAAAACTGAGGCCGAAAGGAACTTCTGGAAGTCGAAACGTACAACAAAATGTCTCTCGCTAAGTTTCGAAGTTGGTCGAAAAATTCCAAAATTTTCATAATTAAAAAAAATGTTTGGTTTTGAAAAAGTTGTTTAAAAATCCTGAAAAAAATCTGGAATATAAATTTGGAGGGGCTGATTCCAAAAATATGGCAAGATTTTACAAATGATCGGTTTGGAATCTTAAAAAAAAGAACTGTCATATTTCAATGTTCAATTTTGGAAGTCGAAATGTACAAGAAAATATCTTTGGTTAAGTTTCTATGGTGGTCGAAAAATTCAGAGATTTTCATAAAAGGGATTTTGAAAAATTTTGGTTTGCCAAATTTGTCTAAAAATACTCAACAAATTTTTGAATGTAAATTTCGATGTGCTGATTCCAAAAATAATATGGTCTCAGGGCAAGAATTTCGAAATTTTCGGTTTAAAATGTAAGTTTCAAAAAAAAAAAAAAATAAAAAATCAAAAGCTCATTTCAATAGGTAATTCCGGAAAAGCACTAAGAGTTGTCGAACAAATCCGAAAATGACTACAAAAGATAATGTCTTTAGTTAAGTTTCAAAGTTGGTCGAAAAATTCCGAAATTGTCATAATTTTTGTCTTGAAAAAGTTGTATAAAAATCCTCAAAAAATTCTGGAATACAGATTTCGAAGGGCTGATTCCAAAAATATGGCAAAATTTTAGAAATGTTGGGTTTGAAATGCCAAATTAAAAAAAAAATCCAAAAAAATGTCATATTTCAATGCTCGATTCTGGAAAAATGGTACGAGTTATCAAAGAAATGAGGCCGAAATGTACACGAAAATATGTTTAGTCAAATTTCGAAGGAAAAAAAAAAGTTCATAAAGAGTAAAGAAAAATTTTGATTTTGAAAAATACTGTCTAAAAATTCTCAAAAAAAAAAAAATGGGACAGATTTCTACGTACTGTTCCCAAAAATATAGTATTTTGATGGCCTCGGGGCAAAATATATATTTCAAAAAAAAAAAAAAAAAACAACATGGTCTTATTTCAACGGGCAATTCAATTCTGAAGAAAATGTTCGAAGTTGTCGAAGAAATGAAGCCGAAGTTAACTTTTAGAGGTCGAAATTTACAAGAAAATCTTTTTTGCGAAGTATCGCATATGGTTAAAATTTAATTGAAAAATTTCGGTTTTAATGAAGTTGGCCAAAATCTCAAAAATCCTAAAACATAGATTTCGACGTGTTAATTTAAAAAATATAGCGTTTTTATGATCCCGGGGCAAGACTTTAGAAATATTTGGTTTGAAATGCAAATTTAAAAAAATCAAAAAAACTCACAATATTTCAATGAGCGATTCTGGAAAAATGGTCCGAGTTATCGAATTAATGACGCCAAAATTAACTTCTTGAGGTCGAAATGTACGAAAAAATGTCTTTAGCTAAGTTAGTCGAAAAATTCCGAAATTTTCATAACTGAAAAATTTTGGTTTTGAAAAAATTGTCTAAAAATCCTCAAAAAATTCTGGAATACAGATTTCGAAGGGCTGATTCCAAAAATATGGCAAAATTTTAAAAATATTCGGTTTGAAATCGCAAATAAAAAAAATGTCATATTTCAATGATCGATTCGGGAAAAATGGTACAAGTTATCGAAGACAAAAATTTCGACGGGCTGATTCGAAAAATATGGCAAACTTAGAAATTTTCGGTTTGGAATCTTAAATTAAAAAAAAATCCAAAAAACTGTCATATTTCAATAAGCGATTTTGAAAAAATGATAGGAATTATAGAAGAAATAATGTCGAAATCTACAACAAGAAAAATTCCGAAATTTTCATAAAAGGGATTTTGAAAAATTTTGGATTTGTAAGATTTCAACGTGCTGATCCAAAAATATAGCGTTTTTATCGCCCCGGGGCAACATCTTAAAATATTCAGTTTGAAAATAAAATTTTCAAAAATTTGAAAAACTCATATTTCAATAGGCGATGGGAAAGTGGTAGAAGTTATCGAAGAAATGACACCGAAAGGAACTTCTAGAAGTCGAAACGTACAAGAAAATGTCTTTTGTTAAGTGTCGAATATGAAAATTCCAAAATCGTCATAACTCAAAAAGTTTGGTTTTGAAAACGTCCAAAATTTTTAAAAAATTTTCGAATATAGATTTCGACGTACTGGTTACAAAAATATAGCATCTCGGACAAGACTTTAGAAATATTGGGTTTGAAATTCCGAAATTTTCATAAAAGAAGTTTTGAAAAATTTTGGTTTTGCAAAAGTTGTCTAAAAATACTCAAAAAATTCTGAGATATAGATTTTAATGTGCTGATTCCAAAAATATAGCATTTTTATGGTCCCAGGGCAAGATTTTAGAAATTTTCGGTTTGAAATGCAAGTTTAAAAAAAAATCAGAAAACACAGTTCAATGGGTGATTCTAGAAAAATGGTAGGAATTATTGAAGAAATGAGGTCGAAATCTACGAGAAGAAATCTTTAGTTAAGCCTCGAAAGTGGTCGGAAAATTCCGAAATTTTCATAAGGGAGAAATTTTGAAAAATTTAGGGTTTGAAAAACTTTACAAGAGCCTAAAAAAAAATCTTAAATATAATTTTCGACGTGCTGATTCTAAAAATATATCGTTTTTATGCCTCTGGGCAATATTTTAGAAATACTCAGTTTGAATCGCAATTTTCAAAAATTCAAAAAAATGTCTTATTTCGCGTTATGGAAAATGGTAGGAGTTATTGAAAAAATGAAGCCGAAAGAACTTCTGGAGGTCGAAATGTAGAAGAAAATGTATTTCGTCAGGTTTCAAAGGTGGTCGAAAAATTCCAAAATTTTTACACTGAAAATTTTGGTTTTTAAAAAGTTGCCCGAAAATCCTCAAAAAATTGGGAGATACAGATTTCGACGTGCTGATTCCAAAAATATAGTGTTTTTATGGTCTGAGAGCTAGATTTTAGAAATATTTGACTTGAAACACGAATTAAAACTTAAAAAAAACTTCATTAGTTATGGAAGAAATGAGACCGAAAGTAACATCTGGTCTAGTCAAGTTTCAAAGGTGGTCGAAAAATTCCAAAATTTTCATAAAAGTTTTGAAAAATTTTGGTTTTGCAAAAGTCGTATAACAATACTCAAAAAATTCTGAGATATAGATTTCAATGTGCTGATTACAAAAATATAGCATTTTTATGGTCCCAAGGCAAGATTTTAGAAATTTTCTGTTTGAAATGCAAGTTTAAAAAAAAATCAGAAAACTCAGTTCAATGGGTGATTCTAGAAAAATGGTAGGAATTATTGAAGAAATGAGGTCGAAATCTACAAGAAGAAGTCTTTAATTAAACCTCGAAAGTGGTCGGAAAATTCCTAAATTTTCATAAGGGAGAAATTTGGAAAAATTTACAAGAGCCTAAAAAAAATCTGAAATATAATTTTCGACGTGCTGATTCCAAAAATATATTGTTTTTATGACTCTGGGCAATATTTTAGTAATACTCAAGTTTGAAATGCAATTTTCAAAAATTCAAAAAATGTTTTATTTCGCGGTATGGAAAAATGGTAGGAGTTATTGAAAAAATGAGGCCGAAAGAACTTCTGGAGGTCGAAATGTACAAGAAAATGTATTTCTTCAAGTTTCAAAGGTGGTCGAAAAATTCCAAAATTTTTACACTGAAAATTTTGGTCTTGAAAAAGCTGCCCGAAAATCCTCAAAAAAATTGGGAGATGCAGATTTCGACGTGCTGATTCCAAAAATATAGTGTTTTTATGGTCTGAGAGCAAGATTTTAGAAATATTTGGCTTGAAACACGAATTAAAACTTTAAAAAAAACTCCATTAGTTATGAAAGAAATGAGACCGAAAGTAACATCTGGTTTAGTCAAGTTTCAAAGGTGGTCGAAAAATTCCGAAATTTTCATAAAAGAAGTTTTGAAAAATTTTGGTTTTGCAAAAGTTGTCTAAAAATCCTCAAAAAATTCTGAGATATAGATTTCAATGTGCTGATTCCAAAAATATAGCATTTTTACGGCCCCATTTTTTTTTTTTTAGAAATTTTCGGTTTGAAATGCAAGTTTTAAAAAATCTGAAAACTCATTTCAGTTAGTGATTCTGGAAAAATGGTAGGAATTATCAAAGAAATGAGGTCGAAATCTACAAGAAAAAATCTTTCGTTAAGCTTCGAAGGTGATCGAAAAATTCCAAAATTTTCATGGGAGGGAGATTTTCAAAAATTTAAGTTTTGAAAAACTTTAGAAAAGACTCTTAAAAAAATCTGGAACATGGATTTCGATGTGCTGATTCCAAAAATATAGCGTTTTTATCGTCCCGTCTTAAAATACACATTCAGTTTGAAATTCAAACTTTCAAAAATTCAAAAACTCATATTTTAATGGGCGAAGGGAAAATGGTACAACTTATCAAAGAAATAACGCTGAAAGGAACTTCTGGAAGTCGAAACGTACAAGAGAATGTCTTTTGTTGAGTGTCGAATATGGTAAAAAAATTCTAAAATTGTCATAACTGAAAAATTTTGATTTTGAAAAAGTTGTTTAAAAATTCTCAAAAAATTCTGCAATATAGATTTCGAAGTACTGGTTCCAAAAATATAGCACTTTTATGCTCCCGGGGCAAGATTTTAGAAATATTCGGCTTGAAATGGCAAAATAAAAAAAATCCAAAAAGCTGTTATATTTCAATAGGCGATTTTGGAAAAATGACAGGAGTTATCGAAGAAATGAGGCCGAAAGTGACTTTTGGAGGTCGAAACGTACAAAAAAAGTCTTTTTTTAAGTGTCGAATATGGTAGAAAAATTCCAAAATCGTCATCACTGAAAAATTTTGGTTTTAAAAGTTGTCTAAAAATTGTCAAAAAATTCTGGACTATAGATTTCGATGTACTGGTCCCAAAAATATAGCACTTTTATGTTCCCGGGGCATGATTTTAGAAATATTCGCCTTGAAATGGCAAATTAAAAAAAATCCAAAAAGCTGTCATATTTCAATAGGTGATTCTGGAAAAATGACAGGAGTTATCGCAGAAATGAGACCGACAGTGACTTCTGGAGGTCGAAATATACAAGAAAAAAATCTTTTGTTAAATAAAAATTCCGAAATTTTCATAAAAGGGCTTTTGAAAATTTTGGTTTGCAAAAATACTTAAGCAACTTTGAAATATAAATTTGATGTGCTGATTTAAAAAATATAGCAGTTTTATGGTCCCAGGACAAGAATTTGGAAATCTTCGGTTTGAAAAGCAAGTTTAAAAAAAAGTCAGAAAACTCATTTCAATGGGTGCTTGTGGAAAAATGGTAGGAATTATCGAACAAATGAAGTCGAAATCTACAAGAAAAAGTCTTTACTGATTTCTGAATTTTTCGACTTTTTGTTACTTTAATTTTTAGATTATTTACAAATTTTAAATTTATAATAATTTTTCAATCATATGATTTTTGTATGCATGATGTGATTTTTCGATACTCGAAATTTTCGATTTTACGATTTTTCGATTTGCAATTTTTTGATTTAATAATTTAATCTACTTTTAGTTTTAGATTTGCACTTTTTGGAGTTTTCAATTTTAAATTTTTCAACTTTTCGATTGTCATTTTTCAATCTTAGAATTTTTCGATTTTACAATTTTCCGATTTTACAGTTTTTTTCCATTTTCCCGTTTTTTTAATTTTAAGATTATTTACACCATTTGTCGTAAAATTTGTAATTTTTCGATCATAAAATTTTCCGATTTTACAGTTTTTCGTTTTTTCAATTTTTTTAACTGATTGATTTCAACTTTTGAATTTTTTATTTATTAGAAATTTCAATTTTTCATTTTTACAATTTTTTGGTTTGCAGTTGTTTGCATTTTTCAATTTTTAATTTTTCGGTTATTGTTTCGTTCCTTTAATTTTTTAATATGTGATTTTTCGATTCCGGAAATTTTGGATTATTGTTACTTTATAATGTTGCTATTTTTCAAGTTTTCTATTCGTAATTTTTCTATCTTAAAACTGTTTAATTTTACGATTTTTCGCTTTTACAGTTTTTCGTTTTTATAATTTTTGGATTTTTCAACTTTCAGATTTTTCGATTTCTACATTGTTTTATTCGATTTTCTGTTTCGCTTTTTCGATTTGGAATTTTGTGCGTTTTCAGTTTTAAAACTATTTAATTTTTGAATTTGTCAATTAATCAGTTTTTGTTTCTTCAATTTTTCGATTATGTATTTAATTTTTCGATTTAAAAGTTTTTCTGTTATAAATTTTTCAATTTTTCGTGTCTACAGTTTTTCGGTCTGCAATTTTTTAATTTTTCAATTTTTAATTCTTCCGCTAATGATCACAATCAAATCACAAATCAAAAAATTAAAGAAAAGAAATGTTTCATTTTATAATTTTATCTATTTTTGGTTTTAGATTTTTCAGTTTCGTTTCTGTGACTTTTAAGTTTTTACAAGTTTTCGATTTACAGTTTTTCGAGTTTTCAATTTAAAAATTTTCAATTTTCCGATTTGTCATTTTTCAGTGTTAATTTGTAATTTTTCGGTCATACAATTTTTCTTTTTTTCAATTATATAAATTGATTGATTTCACCTTTGGAATAAAGCTTCGAAAGGGGTCGGAAAATTACGAAATTTTCATAACAAGGGAATTTTGATTCTGAGTTTAATCAAATTTACAAAAGGCCTAAAGAAATCTGGAATATAGTTTTCGACGTGCTGATTCCAAAAATATATCGTTTTTATGTCCCTGGACAATAACAAATGTTGAAAAATTCAAATTAAGGGGTTTTGAAAAATTTTGACTTTGAAAAAGATGTCAATAGATTCTCCAAAAATGTTAGAATATAGATTTCGAGGTGCTGATTCCAAAAATACAGCGTTTTTAGGGCCCCGGGAGAATATTTGGTTTGAAATACAAATTGAAAGTGTAAAAAGCAGTAAATATGTCGTTATTATAAATAAAAAATAGAGTTTGACTGACAAAGGATCCTTGAGAAACCTAGTATGTACAATTATTATTACCACCGTCTTTGAAAATATATATTAGGTAACCTTTTTTTTGGTTGGTACAACTACATTCCCCTAAATACAAGTTCACGTCAAATTTCATGAGGTTATAAAAACTGTCCCTATTAAAAATGTCTCGATTAAAACCCACTGACCTCCATTGGTACCGTAAATACTCAAAATATCTGTAACAACTAACTCACCAAGTTTTTTGAAAATAATAAACTTACATTCAAAAACCTCCCAATATTGCCAGCATTTTTCGTATCCATAATATACGGCTCCTCCTCTGCGAAGAAACTCCGAACGGACACGTGCCGGGGCTTACTCTCGTCCAACTCCGACCCTGACTTCGGATTAAAACTCAACACCTCTTTCGGATCTACAACAAAATAAACAAAAAAATCACCACCCCCTCCCCACAAAAAAAACCACCCACCATCCTCGTCATCCGAAATGGTAACAGTCTCAATTTCGTTCGTTATAGTATCCGTCGACACCTTCCTCTCCTCTTTGATCTTCTCCTTCGTCTCCGGAGGCTCAGTCTTCGGCTCCTCCTCCTTCCTCCTCCGCAGCTTCATCGAATTCTCAAAGTCGCCCCGTATCAGCGGATACGCCGGCGTGAAATCATTATCCTCCGGTACCTTATTCCACCTTCGTCGCCTCCCATCGAACTTCTTCTTCTCTTCTTCGTCCTCGTCGTCGTCGGGCGTCACCGACCGACTCCGCGGACTATCGGGCTCGTTCACGTCGCTCTCGTAGTCCTCCTTGTGCTTCTCGCAGTTTTCGATGTAGTCCAACTCGGCGAAGTACTCATCCCCGTAGGTCACCCCGTCCTACAAACAAATAAATATATAGTGAAAAACCAAGTCCATCTGTTCGGTAAACGGTGTGGAAATTTGATTTATACCTCATTGGCCATCTGCTCGGTATGTATAGTCCCGGCATAAATACAAATGAACGTCCCTTGGGGTACATCGTTGACGCACCTGATCCCCCAGCCGCGATTATGCGTTCTAAACACCTGAAGTTTGATCGACATGGGATTTTGGACCACCCTGTTCAAACAAGTCGGGCCACATTTACATCTGGTATTGCACTCGTATATTCCGGTTAGGACTTGTTCGTGGAGGCGGCGATAAACATAACCTATGCTGTTAGGGTCCACGTTTTTACCCATGTATTTGGACCCTTCGAGGGTCAGCTGCCAACAAGCGCACTTCGACTTATCCTGAAACGACGAAGTTAGTGTGGTTGGGACGTAAACGGGGGCGGAGTTACCGCGCAGTCGTCTGTACAGTCGCAGCCAATCAAAAACTCGGGATTGGTGTTCAAGGGGACGTCCTCCATGGGCACGCGCTTGGTGGCGTAGTTGCAGAAGTCGAGCATTTCGTTGTTGATGCCGTTGATGACGGGAACTGGGACTTGCTCCAGACCTTTATTTTAAATTTAGTATTATTATTATTATTATTGATTTGTTATAGAGTAGAGCTCATTGGACCTATTATACTCTTATTAATGATATTGTGGCGACACAATTACTAGTTTTAAGGGGACTCGCTAGACGAGGTATAACATTTTTTTGGTTTTTTGCATGAAAAAATGATATTAATATAGATGTGTCATACATCAAACTGCAGTTTTTTTCATATTCTAGGGCGCAGAGACCAGTTCAATCAACTAAAAAAACATGGCTGAGAAATATCGTAAAAAAGCACCATTTTATGTTTTCTTTTCAAGGTTTTTGAGTTATAACCATCATAAAATCGCTTGAAAATTCGCACATGGATAAAACATCACTTTTTACAGGGCGCAGAATCATTAAATGTTTGTTAGTGGTACAATTTGTTTAAATAATAATGTGTTTATTAAAATCAAAATATACCACAAATTAATGCAAAATACGTCGAATAATTTTAACAGGAATATCAGAGGAAAATTAATGATCTATTGGTTAGCAGAGTTTTTAACCAAAACTAACAGTTATTGAAAAAAATGGGTATCAATTCGACGGAATTTGAGTTCGTTGAGTTAGTTCAGTACTTTGCCGATAGGAGCGCCACTAAAATTTACGGAAGCGACTTTCAGGTAAAACCCTTATCGCCTGCTTTACCATAAGCTGATTGTTAGAGTTCTCGGCTGATTTTTCTAATTTATGGCAAGGAACTCAGCTTTATAACAAGCCGCCAGGACCGGCCGTAGTAATCTATTGTTAAGAAAATTAACTTTTACGCAATGAGGTACTATCATAAAACCGAATTAAAACTGGGGAACTATAATATTTTTACTCCACTCAGGATGCTGAATTCAATACACATGATTACTAAAAATTCATTGTAATATTATTGTTAATATATATTGCTTTCTTAATTAATAAAACTAATAAACATATTTATAATAATAATAAAAAAATATATCTATAAAAAAAAATATCTACAATTATCGATAGAAATGAAATCCATGTTAAATCTTAAAAAAATTTCAATTCTACCCCTAGTTATCTCTAATGTAGGTGTAGTTCCAAATAGCTTAGTTGAGAATTTAAAGTCTTTACACTTGAATGATTCAATAATTGTCAAAATTCAAAAAGCTGTTTTGTTAGGAACATGTCATATTGTTCGTAAGTTTCTTGAACAGTCTGATCATGTCAGTCAGATTAGATTAGCACCAGTAGGTCAGAGTAGTGTAGGTCACTTTTCATGTGATGCGCGGATAAATGATCGGTAGTTACGCTTGACTCTTGGGGATGGGGTGAGATTAGAGAATAATAGCAGACTAATTTGTATGCTGTAATTCTAGAATCTCGAAAGTTGTTCTGTTAATATAATCAAAGCATATCATTACTTGGTCTTAGTACCCGTAATGATAGAAGTCTTGCCTGAATGCCGGTCATTTCCGGGTCAGTGGTGGGTCTTAATAAAAAATATGTAAAATTCAGCTTTTGTTTAACACGTATAAGTAGCTAAGTGTTATCCCAGAAAGGAGGTGTTTTAAAAAAGCCCTACGCCCAGTAACTTCTCCCTTCATTGTTTACTCGAAAAAAGTGCTCGTATATGTTTTCATTTGCCGAGAGATCATTTTCAAAATATATTTATAATAAAAATATGCAAGTCGTGGTAATGAAAAATGTACTCCTAATAAATTATTAAAGTACATAAAAAAATAGAAACAAATTTTATTTATTTTAAAAAATCTCTCGCAAAGGCAGGTTCCTCTTTCTTCTTAAATCAATTATTTCGGGCAATAATGCGCCAAAGCAAAATCTGCCAAGTTTATCTGCCATCTTTTTACATATACTTCTTCGTCTTTATAAATTTTTTCTATATTTATTCCATTGGGTGTCCATACAACAAAATAAACTTGTGAAATACCCGTAACAAGCATTTGTCCCTGGACTTGAAAGTAGTAATCATGATTTTTTTTTAGTTTCAATTCTCTGTCTGTCAATGTACAAAATTTGATTATTTTTTTTCTAACCGCTTCTTCGGGAGACAAATCTTGCGATTTTGAAGGGCATTTAATTTCGACTAATGCACTCCTATCCTGTAGAACCCTGTCCGGACTAGCAGCCAAGTAAGGAAATTGTTTTGAAATAAACAAGCCACACCGTTCAGTTTTTATATTTTTATTTATTTCAAAACACTTGACAGCTTTTTCCTCACTTTGCTGTCCATAGTATGTATAACTGTTACCTCTAAATGTACTATACAACAGAGACTCCACAGTTTTAGCTATTGCTGTAGTTGGTCTAAGTTTGTAAATACGTCCAAAATTTGAACCGTAACTCTAATTTCTCTTTCTTTTGCCCAAATGTGCCTGTTGCCTAGTGTCTATTTAAATTTGGTCTAAATTCAAAGATAATTTTCTCAAAAAAACCTCTTTGGCTGTCACAAATGTTTCTACATCCATGACAGGATTTTCTAAAAAATATTTAAACTATAATCGCAGTCGGGACCAGCATACGTAAATTTTTTTACGACATATTTTTTTTACGAATACTTTGTCTAAGACGAGCTTGTTTTATAGACGAACAATATTTTTTTGTTATTAAACCAGGACCGTTTTAATCACAATATATTTACTTATCCCCTCTAAAAAATTGATGAATAAATCCTATCTAAATTGTGTAAAATATGATGAGTCTCTTGTTGTGATTTATCATTCCATTCATGTTTTTTGGATTTGCATATACAGGATGACCCCAAAAATTAATGAATGCGTAAATTTATTTTATTGATTTAATCAGGAACTACAGAACCCAATGCTTTGAAATCTTGCAAATGTTTTAAGGTTATAAAGAGCATAATAAATTTTTAGTCCAAATATATTTGCTTATCCCCTCCAAAAAATTGATGATGTCAGCTCAAAAGTTTGCCGTATAATCCTATTTAAAATTTACAAAATATGATGAGTCTCTTCTTGTAATTTATCATTCCATTCATATTTTTTGGATTCGGATATACAGGGTGACTCAAAAATTTTTATGAATACGCAAATTTATTTGATTGATTTAATCAGGAACTACAAAACCGAATGCTTTGAAATCTAATGTGAAAAAAAAAACATAATAGGCATGCAGTCGTCACGTTTCCGATAGCGAGGGAAGTACTGTCTAAACTCTTTAGACAAATTTTTTTGATTTTCCCATTTTTCCATTTCTCAATTTTTCAATGTTTCAGTTTGGGATTTTTTCACTGTTTCGATTCTTTAATTTTCCTTCCATTTTTAGGTTTTTCAATATTTCAGCTTTGGAATTTTGCAATATTTCGTTTCTTCAATTTTTCAAATTTTTGATATTGTGTTTTCTCGGTTTTTAAATTTTTCGATATTTTAATTTTTCAGTTTTTAAAGTTTTAGGCTTTTAGATTTCTCACTATCTCGACTTTTCGATTTTTCAGTTCCATGATTTTTCAATTTGTCGAATTTTTAAATTTTAGATTTTTTGTTCTCGATCATTCAATTTTCTGAGTTTTCAGGCTTAGATTTTTTTTGTTGTTCAATTCTTGGATTTTTAAAATTTTTGTGTTTTAAATTTTCCTATTTATCAACTTACTGGGATTTCAATGTTTTGATTTTTTGATTGTTCAATTTCTCGATTTTTTGAATTTTTAGTTTTTGATACGATTTTTTTTTTCAAAAATTTTCAGTTTTTCAATTTATTAACTTCACGATATTTCAGTTTTACGATTTTAAATTTTTTTTATTTTTCAGTTTTTAATTTTTGACGTTTCTAAATTTTTCGACTTTTCAATTTTTCGATTAACTGATTTTTTGATTTTCCCATTTCTGTATTTCTTGATTTTTCAATTCTTTCTACAATTGTGATTTTTCAATTTTACGATTTCTGGATTTTTCAATGTTTCAGTTTTGGATTTTTTCATTTTTCCGATTCTTCAATTTTGTTTCCATTTTTCAGTTTTTCAAGATATCAGTTCTGAATTTTTTCACTTTTTCGATTTTTCAATTTTCCTTCCATTTTTCAGTTTTTCAGTATTTCAGTTCTGAGATTTTGCAATGTTTCGGTTCTTCAATTTTTCCATTTTTTGATGTTTCGATTTCTCGGTTTTTCAATTTTTCGATAGGTATTTTAATTTTTCAATTTTTAAGTTCTAGATGTTCCGTTAATTTTTTGTTTTCCTTGATGTTTCGATTTTTAAATTGTTTAATTTTTAGATTGTTCAATTTCTCGATTTATAAATTTTTCAATTTTTCGGTTTACCGATTTTTTTCATTTAAAATGTTTCAATTTTTCAATTATTAAGTTTTCGATTTTTCAATTTTGGTGTAATTTGAAAACGGTATTAATAATACATTTAGGCGAATAAACTAATAGACGGGCTTGATAAGCCTTGTTTACTCTACAGTGTCTAAATTGTGTTTGAATAATATAATAACTATCTCGAATATTAAAATTAATATGTCAAAAGAATACGAGAAATGATTATTCTGTGCTGAAGGTATGTTGTGGGCCGCCTGTCATAAATTATCATTATTCTGCATTATCGGCTTACGATACTTTTATGACTCACGTCCGGTAGTCGTCTATCCCAGCGCGTCAGGTGGATTAAAAGAAGCATTGCTGGTTGCGTTTAAGCCAACAAATGGCGCCCAATTCAAACTTGTCTCTCGTCTAGCGTTCCCCCTTAAGCCGCTCCGTGGTCTAGTGGTAAGGGCACCTGTCCGGCGTTTTTACCTACAATATTATTATTCACTTACCCTTCGACAGATCCTTCGGATCCGGCGTACACTCCACATTGAACTCCGCCAAACACCTCACCATGTGGTTAAAATCGAACAAATCCACCGTCATTTCGCTCTTCGTCATCCTCAAATACTGGTGAATTTCCGCCATATTCCGCAAAATGCGACTGCACGGCGCCTTATAGACGATCTCCTTTCTCCCTTTCACCCTTTGGGTGATACGGGCCCACCCGCACAATAAGGGTTTAGACAGAGGGTTGTGACCCCTCAATTTGCTCAAATTGTGTCTCACGTAGTCTTTACAAGACGGAGAGCACACGTGCGGGCGGTAGAGGCGCTGCGTGATGACTTGGTCACGTGGGGTGAAATACTGCAATGTCAAAGTTTAGACCACAGACGACGAAGTCAACCGTTCGACTATACCATGATCTTGCTGGTGGGCTCCATCGCCATGACGTTGTTGTTGACGGGGGGCAAGAAGGGGACGAACTGACCCGGGGCGGTAGTTTCGGGTCTCGCGGTGCTTTTTCTAGCCACGGCGCGGACGCTTCGGGTGTTGTCGGTGGGTTTCTCGAAGTCGCTGTTTTTGGTGTACTGGACGATGGTGGCGGATTCGCTCTGAAAAAAAAAACAAAGTTGAAAACTGGCGCCCGACTGTAGTGAATCGACCTACCGGATCGCCTTTCCTGATGGACGTACGACCTCCGGTGTGTCTTTTCGCCGCGTTCTGTTCCTCTTTAAACATCGGGCTCAACCTTGTCGACCCTCTGTAAATCCACTCAGTGCGATTCAACGAGTCGAAAAACACCAAAACCAGCGAACAATCCACGTTCAAGATGGTGCAGAGGACCCATTTACCGTTATACTCCACTCTGACGGTCTGTCCTTTGGACAACTTCACCATGGGTCTGTCGGGACTCTCCAGATACTTCTTGATGAACGCGCGCGAGTTCACGTGCATGTCCTCCCACACGTTCTTGCTCCACTCAAAGACAACATGGACGTTGGTGTAATTCACGTACTGTGAGTACCCGATGTCGAAGAATATCAAATATCTGTACTTGTTTTGAGCGACGGGGGGCTCCGCCACGATCCCCGAATAGTAGTAGTCGTGGCGGGTTTTGCGCACCTCTCCCGTGGGACTTATTTCTCTGAAAGCCGCGATCACTCGAGTTCCCGTTTCCAGGCGAATTCGGGAGTGTTTCATCGAGGCGATATTTTTGCCGTCGACCACTCTTTCCTTGTGTTGTTTGAGTTCGAGCATTTTGTAGAGGGTGTTAGTGGAGGCGTGGCCGTTGTGGATGATTCCGGGGAGCACGACTGACCTGAGGCGCGCTTTGATCCAACAACCGGCCGAGTTTTCACGGGAGATGTAGTAGACGTCGTCTACAAGAAATTAATTTTTGGTTTGACTAAGAGGGAGAGGTAGAAAGTTACCTATGTTGACTGAAGGGGGCTCCATTTTTCCCACGATGGGTACGTCTGTGGGGACTTCGCCGCTTTCGGGATCTTTCGGTTTAGGGCTGTTACTATTGGGGCTGTCCACTTCTGCGTAAGATATGCGTTTCGAGGCGGTTCTTTGGCTCTTGCGTTGCGGCGGCACAGTGACGGACTCTGGGGAATGGGAAAATGTGTTCTCAATTTGACTACATGCTTAACTTTGACTGTTTATGTTTATACAGCATCAGGTGTGGATTTTGTGTTAATATTGACCAGTAAAGAATTGGTCGAAGGTTAAGGACAATCCGACAAATCCAACTCTTTAAAAAAATTATAGAATTTGATTTTACGATTTTCGGTTTGTAATAACCGCCGTAAAGTCAAAGTCAGAGGCATAAATAACACCCCTTGTCCTTCCACACTAGGTAAAAGCAATCTGAAGCTCAAGTGTATATTTATGTTTATACATCGAAATAATGTCACGTAGAAATTAGTTTGATTTGAATGAGTTTGTGTTCTCAAAATAGGACTAAAATTATTAAATCACAATCGAACAAAAATAGAAAAAAAAAAAAAAATTGGTCGAAGGTTACTTCAACAGAACTTCCTTCGCCTCTCAAGTGCAGCCAAATAAATCCCACTTCTCTGAACAATTATAATTTGTTTGCGGTTTTTATTTCTGATAACCTCTATGAACTAAAAACCAGTGACATAAATCCGTTCCCGAAGCTTATTTGACTTGATTTTTTTCTTCAATTTTTCAACTTTTCAATTCAATTTCTAGATTTTGCATTTTTTCGATTCAGTTTTTTGTTTTCTTTATTTTTAAAATATTTCAATGTTCCGATTTTATAATTATTTGTTTTTTCAATTTTTCGTTTTTGTTTCTTTAATTTTACGATATCTTTTCGAGTTTTCATTTTAAATTTTCCAGTTGCAAATGATTGAATAATAGATTGACTTCATGTTTTTTATTATAGTATCTCTTGTTCTTTGCGTCAAAAAATTGTTGAAAGAAAACTATGTACATAAAGAAAAAAACAAAGATTAAGCCCCACCCACCCACCCCGATCTCAATTGTGATGAATTTTTCATTCCTAATCAGACGAGGGGCGGAGTTCAATTGTTAACATATTATTTTTCTAGAAAATTCTACCCTTTTAACAACACAGGTCATATGGTAATTTCTTGTACAGAAATGAGAAACTCCGCCCTTCAGCTCATGATGAATAAAGCATTCATCACAATTGAAAAGGGGCGGGGCTTATATTTGGTCCATTTTTTTAAATATACGAAGTCTTCTTTTCCCAACAAGAAACTGACAATATGTTTAATCTGTTATTAAAAGAAAACTATATATTAAAAAAAAATTAAGCCCCACTACTTTCATTAATATGTGTAGTCTTCTTTTCACAACAAGAAAGATAAAACATGTTCAAAATGGTAAAGGATTTTGCAATTAGGCTCCGCCCCTTGGTCTGACAATGAATGAAAAATTCATTACGGTTGAGATCGAGACAGATGGGTGGGACTTTTCTTTTGGTTTTCTTTTTTAATTAATATACTTATTTAGTTTTCTTTGTATAACACGATTACTTAAGACCATATTTCAAATGGCAATTTCTCGTAGAAAAATAAGGATTTTACAATTAAGCTCCGCCCCTCGACTTACGACGAATAAAAAAAAATCATCAGAATCGAGATAGGGTGGGTGGGCGGGGCTTGTATTTTGCCTTTTTTTTCTTGATATACATAGTCATATTTTCACAAGAAACTTAAAACCTGGTTAAAATACTACATTTTTGCAAGGAAATATGGATTTAGCAATTATGGATCGGGGCCTAATTGCAAAATCGATATTTTCTAATACAAATTGTCCATTTTAAATTTATGTTGTGAAAAGAAGTCTACACATATTTACAAAAAAGGAAAAATGTTAGTAATGTTTTTGTTTGTAGTAGGAATGGAAACTAATAATAGAATCTAGAAACTAAAAAAATGTCAAAAGTGCCAAAATAATGTTATTTTAGTACTAGCCCCGCCCACCCGCTTTCTATTTTCTTGAAAGGTATGTCATTTGCCAAAATCGGTCTTATCTTAACAAGTACTAGCCCCGCCCACCCCGCCTCTTCTCATTTTAACGACTAATTTTGTTTCTGTTCAACATAAGATCATTTATTTCATTAAAATTGAAGAAAATCAATCACTGAAAAAGAAATAGGGTGGGTGGGCGGGGCTAATTATCTTCTTCTGTCGAGTAAGAACTAAAAATAGAATCTAGAATGTAAAAAAAATAAAAAAGCGCTAAGCGTACCTTTTTTTTGTTATACTATTTGCTAGAAAATTGTGGTCGAAAATGTTAAAAGTGCCAAAATCAGTCTTATCCCCGCCCACCCACCCTCTATTTTCTTAGAAGGTATATCATTTGCCACAATCAATCTTTTCTTAGCATGTACTAGCTCCGCCCACCTCACTCTTCTCATTCTAATGACTATTTTAATTTCTGTCCAGTATAAGATCATTCATTTCATTCAAAGCGCATAAAATCTTCTGTTCAGGTTAAGATCATTCATTTCATTTAAATCGCATAAAATCAATCACTGAAAAGGACACAGGGTGGGTGGGCGGGGCTAATTATCTTCTTCTGCCGAGTGAAAGTAAGAACTATTAATAGAATCTAGCATGTAAAAAAAATAAATAAAAAAAACGCTAATCGTGCCTTTTTTTGGTATACTATTTGCTAGAAAATTATGTTCGAAAATGTGAAAAGTGCCAAAATCATCTTATTTTAGCAGGTACTAGCCCCGCCCACCCACCCTCTATTTTCTTGGAAGGTATATCATTTGCCACAATCAATCTTTTCTTAGCATGCACTAGCTCCGCCCACCTCCCTCTTCTCATTATAATGACTATTTTTATTTCTGTTCAGTATAAGATCATTCATTTCATTCAAAGCGCATAAAATTTTCTGTTCAGGTTAAGATCATTCATTTCATTTAAATCGCATAAAATCAATCACTGAAAAGGACACAGGGTGGGTGGGCGGGGCTAGCTATGCTTTTGTTTCGATTAGGAGTGGAAACTGATAAAAGTGCCAAAATCAATCTTATCTTATCAAATACTAATATTAACATTTTAAAATATTAAAAATCATCATAAATGAGATAGGGCGAGTGGGCGGGGTTCCATTTTGGCTTTTTTTCTTAATACGTGTAGACTTATTTCGGCAACAAGAAATTTAAAACATGTATAAAATGGTAAATTTTTGTGCTAATCGACTTAAACCCTCCACTTTTCTTCTACAACCCCTTTAAATATGGCAAAGGTTGAACTTCAAAGTTACTATCAACGGCAACAGAGTTTATAAATGACAATTTTGAACTCTAAAAGCAACGTTAACAGCAAGTTTATAAAGCCCACTTTTGGATTTTTTTTTCAAAAAATCTGCATGTCAAGGGTAGAAACAGAACACGAACTTATAGATATTGTTATACAATTTTAAGTTTTTTTTTTTCAAAAAACTAGACGTCTAGGGTAAGAATTCAACACGAATTTATAAACCACAAGTGCAGGTGTCTGTCCGGACCTATTTCTTTGTATTCTAGGGGTCATGAAATGTCGAGAAAACGTAAAGTAGACTCGATTACAATTAATATATAGATTATAAAAAATAGTGTCATTAAAAAAAAGGTGAATGTCGTATATTTAAATCATTATCACGTAAAATTTCAAAACAATTATAGGTACAACAAATTCACACACTTTCTATACCTTGTTTAGATTTTTACATTTAATTGAAATGGTAAATTATGACTTACGTAAAAATTCCATTAATGGAAGTTTGACTGTAATAAACGCACATACCTGTTCTGACTATCGGCACTCCTGACGTATAATGATCATCAATAATCGAAATGACGCTCGTCTCCAACGTATCAGTCCGAAACTGGTTATACAAATTAATCTGTATCGTATCCAGCGAGTTCCTCGTCCCCTTAATCATCCCCTGAATCTCATTAATCGTCTCACTAATCTTATCCTTCTTCGACTTCAAAAACGCGACCTCCTTCTCCGTCTGCCCCTCGAAATTCAACTTCGCCAACGTCTCGCTCAACACCCTCTCAAAATTCTCCTCAATAAAACTAAAATTCTCATCATCGATCGGAGGAATCCGCAATTCCTGGTCCTCCTCGTCGGAATCATCAATCTCCACCGTATCATTCCTGATCGGAACCTCCACATTACACAATACATTCCCGCTCTTCAACTCCGTCGCCAACATATCGTACTCCCTGATCGCTATATCGTAGCAGTCCGTGCACACCTCCTTCTTCCCGTTTCCCGCGTTCTTCACCCGATAGTACGACAGACACAAATTCGGGGCGACCATCAGCTCCTTGCCACTCATGCACGCGTAGTTGATGCACTTGCTATTCACGGACTTCTGCACCAAATCGATGATCTCGACGCCGTCGTCGTCGGCCTTCTTTTTTGATTTTTTTGTCGGGACGGGTTCGTCTTCGTCGTCATCCAGTACCACTACGTCGAGTTTTTTGGGGGCGGGTTCGGGGGGCTTCGGGGTTGGGGGCGGCTCGATGGAGGATGAAGACGTGTCCATTTTGTTGGGGTCGCTGACGTTGGTGGGGCCCCCGATTATGTGGACGCCGGACGATTCGCGGACTATTATTTGTGCATTGGGAGTGGTGTCGTCGATTTCCATTGGGTCGTCTTCTTCCATTTTGTCTTGTTTGTCCATTGTTGGTGGCTGGGACGCTTTCGCTACAAACATAACCTCAAAAGTGAGTTATTAGGAAGAATGGAATTTGGGTGGATTTACACTGATAGTGGTGTGGATGCACGCTATGTGGTGACTACAGCTGCTTATTCATGGTTTTTCTTAATTTTATCACTACATTTCACCGATAATTAGTTATTAAGTTATGAAAAATTATTGACAGTAACTGCTGCCGCTGAGGGCCAATGACAAATTCTGAAGCAAAAACCCCTATTTTAGCTGTCAAAAAAATTTGGGATGAATTCTAGTTTTATCCCACTTTTTGTAAAAAACATACCATTTTTTAACTATCACAAAATCTGACTAATAAATCAACCAAAGCCGGTCTAGTTATGCAGTTACAATTAGGTTACATTGCAACAGTTACAATAGGGGTTACAACCTGTGCGATTACATTTGGCGACACTGCTTAGTCACCTTCGAATACGTATACTACCACAAGAGATATACTGGTTTTACGACTTTGACTGTTGTCTGTTGTCAATAATACCGCTTACTAGGTGATTTTTCTTGATGAGGGGTTTGGAAAAGTCAGTTTCTTCTTTTAAAGCAGTTGTGGTTAGATCATGATCATGAAACACGGTGTTCACTAACTTCACGTTTTGTCTCTCTATGTTCTTGGGGTACAAACTTTCATCCCCTTTTTTTAAATTTGATCTTTACTCGTACATTGATCAATTAATCAACTTCGAGAGTCGGCATCACCGGTGCGTGTGTTGTGTTTTGGTGCTCCAGTAATCTCGGCGATTTTTTGAGGTTATTTGTTCACTTAAATTTTTAACTATTAGGTGTCATCCCTGGTCTAATTTCTGCATTCCTGTGGTGGTGAGTTCGTTCCAAAAGGGTGTTTCGGTATGGGCCTCTTTTGAATATGGCTCGTATACCCTAGTACTTAAGATCGTTTATTGAATACACCATTTTCTTATAAAGTTCTTATAAACGTATTTTCTGGTACAGTTTTTGCGAATTCCCCCTTTTGGGGGAATTATACCTTGCAATGGCGGTTAAATGTAAAATGTGCAACAAGTATATAAATAGAAATGACGATTATATAGCATGTCGTAAGGGATGTAGCGCTAATTACCACCTGTCTTGTGCCAACTTAAACAAAAATGATGTTATTTCTATGAAAGAGACAGGCTTAATAAAATCTTGGAGTTGTGATTACTGCAGTTCAACTTCGACCTCTGTAACAAACACGGAAAATATTCTAACTTCTGTACCATCCATGTCACTTTTTGATAGTGCCGCAATAGGGAAGCTTCCAGATTGTCTAAGAGATATTTTTGTTGATTTTACACGCACAGTTAATAAAAACTTTACTTTCTTCAGTCAGCAAATCGAGGATTTAAAACACGAAAACACACTATTACGCGAAGAAATTAAAATGATGAATCAACACTATCATAATCGTGAATTACAAATTCCCACAGAATCAGTTGCATCGTATGCTGCTACCCTCAAAAACGCGTCTGCCATTGTAGTCAAACCAAAAAATGGAGCTCAAAGTATTGCTCAAACTAAATCTGACATTCTAACATCAATCAGCCCTGGAATTTCTGATGAAATCGGAATTGCGAAAGTCAAACCCATAAAAAATGGTGGTGTATTTTTAAAATGCCAAAACCCTGGTGAATTTAAAAAACTTGCACATGATAATAATTTAAACGAAAATTATGACATTCGTGATGTCAAGACACCCTTACCAAGAATTCGTATTTCAGGTATATCAGAGGATATAAGTGAAGAAATGATAGTACCTTACCTATTGAAACAAAATAAACATATATTTTCAGATAATTCGCAGTGTACTCTCTTAAAATATTTGCCTATAAAAAGACGACGAAACCTACATCAAATAATACTGCAAGTTGACATTTCCTCATATAAAAAAGCACTGAACCTAGGCCACTGCCTAATTGGTTTGGACGGCTGCAATATTTACGATGCTGTAGATGTTTTGCGTTGTTACAAGTGCAATGGTTTTAATCACTCTGTAAAAACTTGTAAGAAAACTCTTTCTTGTCCAAAATGCTCTAAAGAACATGAGTTAAAAGAGTGTAAAGTTCAAAATGATCAATGGAAATGTATCAACTGCTCTAGTATTCAGGCTAGGGATAACTTAAATACAGAACAGATCTCTCATGCTAGCTGGGACTACGAGAATTGTTGTTTTTACAAAAATTTAATTCGGAAATTAAAATCAGAAGTTTTCGGCTTAAGCGACTTGTAGCAACCAGTCTCTTCAACTGCTTCTCCTCAAACACCAATACCTCCTACTTCCTCGATGGTCTTAAATACGTCACCTGGACTACAACTCCCGCAACCTTATATCTATAATTCTAATCTTATTTGTTACTACCAGAATGTAGGAGGTGTTAATACAAAATTAAAAGACTTATTTCATGCAACAACTCAGGTACCTTACGATATCATCGTACTGACTGAAACGTGGTTACACGATAGTGTAAAAGATGGTGAAATCATTGATTTAAATTCTTACCAGATATTTAGATCCGATCGTAAATTTACTGTTTTAAACTACAGGAGAGGAGGTGGGGTATTATTGGGAATATGACATAATATTAAAGCAATTAATTTAGATGTCTATAGTATTTGTAATGATATCCATAAAGTTCCGACTATCGATGTATTACTGGTAAAGATATTTAATAACTGTCGTTGCACATATATATGTGTTTTATATATTCCGCCATCGTGTCCTACCAACAGTTACTCCATCTTATTCGACTCGCTTATGTCAATGCACGAACTATATGATTCCGACCTGCTCATCTTAGGTGACTTCAATATCCCGGAATTTATTGACTGGTCACATCACCAACCGAGCTCTTCTATCCATGCATCCTATTCATCATTTATATCTTTCTTCAATTTAAGTCAACAAAATCGTGTTATAAATAAAATGAATAGATTGCTAGACCTTGTGTTGTGTAGCAAGCAATGTAAAGTCTCGAAGGCAAACGATTTAATTCTCGCTGAAAATGATTATCATTCAGCTCTCGAAATTGTAGTAGAATCGCTCAAGTCAAAAACAACTAAATATTTCATCTACTGGTGTTCTTGAGTACAATTTTAGAAAAGCTAGACTACATGACTTGTACAATGAATTGGCACTGGTTAATTGGTCGTTTCTTCTAAATATTTCTGACCCTAACATTTTGGTTTCTTCCTTTAACAACATGTTGTATAATTTATTTAACAAAAGTGTTCCTAAAAAATCGCCGTCACTTGGAGCCTATCCAGCCTGGTTTGACAAAAATATTATTTTGCTTATAAAACAAAAACATGCAGTCTGGCGAAAGTTTAAAAAATATAACAAAAATGACGATTACAATGAGTTTAAACGATTAAGGAGTAAAATAAAAGCTGATATTAAGACTGCCTACTCAGCTTATATTAAAAAATTGAACAACGATATCAAATTTAATCCGAAACGTTTCTGGAGCTACATAAATTCGATTAACAATAGTACATCCATCCCCTCTGTTATGAAGTCTGGTGATGAAATAATTACTCAGCCACAACAAATCGTTGACGCATTTGCGGATTGTTTTTCTGATTCGTTCTCGGTGGATAACTCTTCCGTTATCTCTGATAATAATATTGCGCTATATTCAAAAACCTTACATTTCAAAAATAATATAACAGAAGAAGAAATTTTGAGGTCTATTTCTAAAATAAAACCTAATTTAATAACTGGACCAGATTTAATTCCAGCATTTATTGTCTCAGACTGTAAATCGGCTTTAGCTTATCCTCTAAAAATAATTTTTAATCAAATACTCAAAACAAGTACCTTTCCTTTTGACTGGAAAATTGCTCGTGTTTGTCCAATTTTCAAAAAAGGTAATAGGTCCCAAGTAAAAAATTACAGACCTATATCTATAATTAATAACTTTAGTAAAGTCTTTGAACTTATAATGCATGAAAGGATGTCCCGTCACATTTTCAATCAGGTTTCTTTATGTCAGCATGGTTTTGTGGCAAAAAGATCAACGGTCACAAATTTAATATCTATCACGCAATTTCTTTGTGAACATATCGATCAGGGAAAACAGGTTGATGTATTGTATGCCGATTTGTCGAAGGCTTTCGATCGAGTCGATCACAATTTGCTTATAGCTAAATTGGAACACTTCGGGTTGTCACAGGATTTATTGAATCTGATATCATCATATCTGTATGATAGATCTTCATATGTACAGTACCGGGGTTATAAATCTAAATTATTTAAACAAATTTCGGGCGTTCCTCAAGGATCTGTTTTGGGACCTTTGTTTTTCATTGTGTATATAGACGACTTATCTTCTAGACTAAACATTCCTCATTTACTTTATGCGGATGATTTGAAAATATATTGTCAAGTTGATACGCTGGAAGACTGCATTAAACTGCAGGGTAACATCGATATACTTCAACGGTGGTGTACTGAAAACAATTTGCTTTTAAATGGAGAAAAATGTTTTACTATAAGCTTTACTAAGAAAACTGATGTTCTACTTTTCGATTATTCTGTAGATGGTACAATAATTAATCGTTCCGACACTTTTAAAGATTTGGGCGTAATTTATGACAACAAGCTCACATTTAGGTATCACATAGAAAATACAGTTTCTTCAGCTTGTAAAGCTCTTGGTTTTATATTACGCAACGGTAAATATTTGAACAGCGTCGATACTCTTATTCTATTATACAAAACATTGGTTCGATCTCGCCTGGAGTATGCCAGTGTTGTGTGGTCGCCTATCCATCAAATACATATCTCTAGTCTTGAAAAAGTTCAGCGACGGTTTGCTAAATTCATCTTCTTCGTTTCTAACAACCAATATCCTGAGAGAGATTATCCACATGATATTTTACTACAAGAAGTTCAACTGCCTCAGCTAATTAAAAGAAGAAAATATTTTTCGTTAAAATTTTTAACACAAATATTAACGAATAAAATCGATAGTCCTTATTTATTGTCAAAAATCTTATTCAAAACCCCATCATTCAACAGCAGGAAATTGAACACGTTCGAAATTCCAACGCCCAGAACAAATGCACTGCTGATGTCTCCAATATATCAGATGATTCTGAACTATCATGATGTTAATGACAACATAGACATATTCATAGTAAACGATTGTGTGTTAAGAGCAGCTATCCTAACTTGATATACAACATAATAGAATCAGCCAATTAAAATTGTTTAACTTTCCTATAGGATAAGGTAGTAATAATAGCTGCCTGAATAGTCAACAATTTTTCGTAACACATGTAAATACATAATCTTTACATATCATTCGGTTAGTCTGTAATTGGGTTCCACCACCTGTAGACTGGCTTTTAGTACTAATAATAATAATAATAATAATAATTGATCACGATGGAAAGTTTAAAGACTTTTGATAAAATTGAGAAGAAAAAGTCGTC